GATCATGCAGATTTGGGCTGAGAGGGGTTAGGGAGGCACAGGGTTGGGGGAAGCCTCTCTTCGCTTTTGTCTGCAAATTTTCCTGCTCTTAAGTCCATGGAGTTCTCTCCCCCTTCCCTCCCTCCCTCCCTCCCTCCCTCCCTCCATGTGTGTGTGTTATAGAGAAACTGTGTGTGTGGGTATGTACACACAGAGAGAGACAGACAGACACAAGAAAAGGAGACTGAGAGAGACTCTCTAAAATGCGTTTATTCATAATGTTTATTTATAACATTATCCACTCTGTTTTCCTTTTCTCCAGGTGGCATGCAGGCCACATTTGAGGTGAAAAGCTGTAACGGCCATGGTTTGCCATCCAAATCGCGGACAAATATAAGACATTATTACATTGCAGCAGAGGAACTCATTTGGAATTATGCCCCATCTGGAATAAATTATTTCACAGAAAAAGAGTTAATTAACGATGAGTGAGTACTGCCAATCAATCAATCAGTGGCTGAGCCGGGGCATACAAAGCAAATAGAACATTTTCCTTCCAGTGAATATATGCCTGGGAGACGATATGGAGCAGATTACTCCTGGAGGGCTCTTTCTGTGTCCTTGTGCTCAGTGTGTTAGGGGGAACTTTAGATCAGCAGAAGAAAGCCATGTGCTCCATCAGTACCTCCTGGCCTGGAAGAGCTGTGGGGGATTCAGGGCCTCAGCAGGGTGCAGCAGTTCTACCCTGGGTCCTCCATCCTAAGCAGCTGGGTTCATGTGATTCTCCATTTTGATTTTAATCCACAGCCAAGAGCCAAATATGTCGTCTGCTGTGGGACATTGTGGGAAATTAAAATAGCAGGACTCAGCCACCCTTGCAGTGCTGTTGCTGACGTTACTGCTGATAAAGCCTGGGCAGGTTCCATCAGTGTTAGACAGAGCTGAACAGAGGGCACAGACCTACCACTAGAACTGGATCTTGTCAACAGTGGGCTATAACACTGGCTTGACTCAATGCCTTACCCTATATTATTGGTAGATGGAAAGGTCAAAGAATGGTGAGCTCTTCTCTGGTCTTCTCTGATCTCTGATCTTCACCAGTCTTTCTTCTTGTCCTGAACTGAGGCCATGGTCAGGTCAAATGTATATGCCCAAGCCTTCTTCTGCAGTGTTTTGACTCCAGGAGGCTGTTCCAGCAGGGTTGAGAATGCTTAGGAAGAACCAAAACTATCTGTCAAGATGATATGTCATTGATTAAAACTCTGATGAAATATGGATGTAGAATATAAACAAGCAAAAGAAAGCTTACATCTATCTTTAGCTATGGCCATATTGGTTCCCTGAATAGGTCTAGGGAAATACCATGGATCTCCAAAGTTGCCAGGGTAAATGATGCATCAACTCACCTCCCAAGGCCAAGAACAAAAGAAGGGCCTCTTGTCATGGAATTTATAAAGTTCCCCTCTCCCATCATCGCAGAGTCCATCAGTATTCACACATACCCCAACTGCTGTGGGGGATGTTGAAACTGATTCAGTAAGCAATAGTTTCATTCTTACAGCTAAAGCAGCCCTTATCTGTGGAAAGTTTCGGGGAGGCAGTTTCAAGGCAAGTATCTCTGGTGCCCTTCCTTCCAAATAGAAAGCTGTAAGGCCTTGGCCTGACTTCAAGAAACTATGGAAGTTTCAAACAGTACCCTCTTCCACCTTCATGACCTCCTCACCATTCTTCCAAAAAAGTGCATGCAAGGCATGCCACTGATTCAGTTCTTTACAAACAGATGTTTCTGACTAAAACTTCTGGCATCCTGGAAAAACTGGATTCACTTCATCCCCAGGATGCTTTAATGGTCCCCTGGATACTCACTGGATGAACTCTGGCCATTAGTCACAAGCTCTAAGCTCATCTTTCTCCAACTTGTCAGCCTCCAGAGGTGTTGGACTGCAACTCTCTAATTCACAGCCTTCATGGTCATTGTGTGTTGTCCTTGATGGCTGAATATTATGGGAGATGAGATCCAACACATCTGAAAGCTGAAAGATGGAGAATACTGTCTTAGCCTAACCTGTCTCACCGGTTTATTGTGAAGATAAAAAGGTAGGTGGGGGAGGGGGCAGGTGCAGACTGTGTGTGTGTGTGTATGTATAACCAAAACCCAAAAGAAGGCAGAGCTGGGTCTACAGTCAAAGGGGCCAACCAAAAAATATTAGCAAAACGTAGAATATCCTTCTCTTTGCTGTTATCTGAATGCAACTCTTAAAACAGTTTATTGTGCTGCCTAGAGATGCCAAGACATTTTTTGAAGAAGGTGACAAAAGAATTGGTGGAGCCTATAGAAAAGCTGTTTTCCGTGAGTATGAAACTGATACATTTGCAACCCGTGTGAGGAGACTCCCTGAAGAAGAACATCTTGGAATTTTGGGTAAGGCAATTCTAAGCCAAAGGTATTTGAAAGCAGATGAGGTTTTAAGAATAGGGACAGCCACTTTAACACTGCATTCCTGTGCATGCATTCAGTCAGACTTGCATGATTTCAGTAGAAATTGCCCCTTGATAAATGTGTATAAGGCCACTGCCTAAAGGAGCAAAGCTAATAATTCCACCATTCTGTTGTCTAATGAACCGTGCATAGGTCTATTTTGCCTGAAGGGGCTATAGATACAGTCTGGGGTTTAATACACTAATACCGTAATATTCCTTTAATGCTGGAATACTCTAACATGGTGTCCAGGGACCCTCCCTCGGCAAATGCTAACCTCCCTATCACTCCTGTTTCTTATTTTATTTTCAAGAATTTTAAAAACAAACTGGAAGGTCAGCATGCTGCAAAGAAAAACTTCACCTTCCATTTTTATCTTCATAAGAATGTCTCATGTCTCTCAACCTCAGCAGTTGAGCCCTCTGTGAAATAAATTCTGGAAAAGAAAAGTGTGGGTTCAGAAAACTTTGTTGTTGTTGTTGTTCTGAAGCTCACCCACCAACTCTGTTGTGTGGTGGATGAATAATCCCCTGCTTCCCATGGCATCGATTTTGTGAGATTCTCCATACATCTTAATCACATTTCAAATGTGCCCACTATTCCAGAAAAGTTGTATACTTCAGTGCTTTCAAATGTTCCCCAGGATGTTTTAATGAATGGGAGTGGTTACCAGAATTGGGATCATCCATAGGATAATTGGATGGTCCCTAGGGCGCTTTTAATGAATGCTGATGTTCCCCAAGATGCTTCAATAGATCGGGGTGGTCCTCAGGATGATTTAAAGGATGGGGATGGGATGCTCCCCAGGTGGTTCCCAGAGTGGACAGTTCCCTTGCAGAACAGAGGTGAGTGGCAGAGAGACCAAAATCAGAAGTGGGCAGGAGTCCCAGGCAGAAGAAGGAAGAGCTGAGAAGGAGTTGTGTTTTGGCTACCTGCTAGGACTGGATCCCGGGCCGAGTGATCTTTTGGCAAAGTGATGTTGGTGTGCTCCATTGGCCACAGGCTTGCCAATGACAATAGTAGGCAGCTCTCATGCTGCCATGTTAAAATTTGCACAGTGCCCCAAAGTAGTCAGGGTCTCCCACACTACCTTTCTGCCAAGAAAAATGGCAATCAAGGTGGCTTGCAATGACCATAAAATATAGTAAAACAATAATTAAAAAATTCCATTAAAATGCATTTAAAAATGCATCAGTGGAGTAAAAACAGCATCCAGAGCAAGAGACCTGTTCACACACCTATAGCCCACTTGAATAAAAAGGCCTTTGCTTCCTGGCAGAAGGACAGTGGAGAGGGGGCAAGCCTGGCATCCCACAGCAGGATGTATCACAGGCATTACCATTTTCTTTTCACCGAGGAGCAAGGGATGACATGTATGGTTCTCTTCTTCCTTTTTCAACCTTGCAAACATGTGAGGTAGGCTGGTGTGAGAGGTGACGACTGGCTGAACTTAGCTCAGTGTGCTTCATAAATGAGGGTTGTGTCCCAAGTCGAAATCAGAACCCAGGTATTCCCAGTTCTATGTCCAGTGCTCTAACCCAATTATCCTATGGATGATCCCAAGCCTGGTGACTACTTCCGTTCATTAAAACATCCTGGGGACCATTCTGGGCTCCATCGGATATCATTAAATGAGAACGCTTACCAGCCTTGGGTATTGACTATGCTGTTTGGAACTACATGTTGGGAGTGTGACAATATCTGGACAGTCAGAGGTTTTTCTTCCCTGCTCTGTTGACAACAGTTCTCAGTGACCCTTAATATAAGTATGTTAAGGTACACACACAGTATATCCATCTTATATACATCTCATGTTTATAGATAGTTACAACAAAGACAGATCATATCTCAGCATACAGCAAACCTGAAGCTTCCTTTGTCAGTTTTGCATGTTGGAAATGCATCTACCAAAGATTGCTGCTGGCAATCTTAATATGACCCCTACCCTGAAAGGAAAATGGTGCAAGCCACAGAGGTTTCAGAATCAAATATTTTTCCCTGCATCCCAAGATGAGATTTCTGTTTGTTGTGGGCTGTAACAGAATGTTCTCCATCTGGGGAAGCATAATGATAGAGCTGGGATGTGGGAGTCAGGGAAAGGAGTGAAATTCTTCTGAGGAGTGTCCTGGCTGTATGATAACCTTGGCTTTCCTGATGGGTACATTATTAATTGACTATTGACTCTAATGCAGCCTTCCCCAGACTACTGCCCTTTGGATGTTTTGGACTCCAACTTGTGTTAGTGGAAAATGCTCAGAGAAGACTATCTGGGGACACCAAGTAGGGGGAAGACTCCTGTAATGATGATTACGATACAATATTTTAGATATGTATCACTGTTGTTTTTAACTAGGACCCATATTCAGAGCAGAAGTTGGTGACTTCATCATGGTGACTTTTCAAAACCGCGCAAGTCACCCTATAAGCATTCAGCCTCATGGTCTAAGCTACAGCAAGAGCAATGAGGGCTCCTTGTACAACACCATCTCTGGAGGTAAATATATATATATATATATTAAAGGGTTACTGATGCTCTTGAGGTATATAAATTGGAAGAAATTAAGAAATATCTTGGCATATTACCACTGATTGCAGAACTGGCAACTTCTGACTGTCTGTGGGTGTTTCTTTTCATTGTGACCGCATTACAGGCACTGCAAGTCCATCTTCACATGTGAATCCTGGCGACACATTTATTTATGAGTGGGAAGTGCCAGAAACTGTGGGTCCTACTCCAGAAGATCCGGATTGTTTGACTTGGATTTATTATTCAGCAACAGATCCAATTAAGGACACTAGCAGTGGCCTGGTGGGCCCACTTTTGGTGTGCAGGAAAGGGTCATTGCTTCCCTCAGGAAAACAGGTAGTGCAAGGAGAATTGAAATAACCTACCCAATTCCTAATTGTTGCTCTTCCTTCCTAAGCTATGGGTGAGGTTGTGTGTAACAATCCACCCTGCAAATAATGTTTTGAACTCCAAGTGTGTGCAAATATTTTCATTTTTGGTAAGTGCTTGGATTTGTACAAGTGTGGAGATGTGCATTTGCAGGGGTCTGAAAAGAAGCCTCACCTGGGTAATGTCCTGTGAGGTTTCTGCTATCAAAGTTAGCTGTCAAAGGACAGGCTTCCTTTTAAACTGAGGTTTTTGACAAGGCTACCCAGGGTTGTTGATGTAGTTGGGGGGTTTTGGACAGGATACATACATCACTTAAACAGCAACAGCAACAAACCTGATGGGAAGGTTATGAGTGGAGTCCAAAGATTCCTCATAAAAGCCTCATCTGGAAGCATGTTTTATGTGCCTGTCTTGAAATAATTTATTGGGTACCTTGTCATATAGATCGTATGATAAATATGCTTGCTATCAGACTACACACAATGTGTTAGACAAGTGATGTGATTAAATCTCTAGGGGTTCTGTCCTTTTGCAGGATCTGTCTAGCACCAGCAGGTCCCAAAACATGACTAGTAGACTGCATTCCGCTTAAACCTAGAGTGACTTTAGGGTGACTTTTGCATGCATGCCATGATGGTTTATTTAAAAAGAGAGTTTCAAAATATTTGCACATTTTTTCATAATCATCCCAGAAACTAGTCACACCTTTACATTGAGAAACAAGTTTAGGTTAGCTCAGCCTTCCTCAGTCGGAAGCCTTCCAGATGTGAACTACAGTTCCCATCAACCCACCAGCTGTTCCATTGGCATTTTGGCTGGGGGTGATGTGCATTCTGAATTGGATACTTACCTGCGTGTTGCTGAGAGACAGATGTTAGGCCACTCAGTTTAATAAAATTCTCCACTCTGTTTTTCCCTTTTTCCTTCCCATAGAAAAATGTAACCAAGGAATTTTTCCTCCTTGCAACTGTATTTGATGAGAATCTGAGTTTGTATCTTGATGAGAATATCAAACTCTTTACAAAACACCCTGAAGAGATTGATAAGGAAGATGAAGACTTCCAGGAATCCAACAAGATGCATTGTAAGAGGTTACATTTTGTTTCATTACTGAATGGAGTAAGATAAATTCTTTATTAGGCCACAGTTCTAGGGACAATGATATCAGAAGAGATGTCCCTGGTGCACTTGCATCCTTGGATTGTCCCTGCATCTCACTGGCAGTGTTTTGCAGGAGGTAGGAAGGATGCTGGAAGTGGGTTCAGGGCAGTCTAGGATCCACAGGGGCCGATGCCCCCTATTCCCCTGACAGTTACCCAAGAGGCCACCAGATACACCACCCCTAGCTTTAACCTAGATAATTTCCTCCTGCTAAATCCTCCCAAAAAACCAACCAACCAACCAACCAACCCTGTACCAGAACAATAAACAAATCTGAGATCTCCCCATCCTCTCCCTTGACCTAAGATTGCATCTCTTCTTGGGTAAGAAAAGAAGCCATTCCAAAGGTGACTCTGTTAGGTTAGGGGCTGCTTTTATTCTGTAATTGTGTATTTGGATAAAATCATGGAACAATAGAGATAGGAGAGGCCAATAAGGTATTCAGGTCCAACCCCCTGCTCAGTGCATGAGTTCAAGATAAAGCATGGTTTAATGTATTGTTCTATTGTTTGAATCAATTTTAATTTTTTTTGTAAGCCACTGTGAGTGTGATTTCTGGTTAAAAAGTATAGCATGCATGAAATACAAAAGATAGATGTATATGCAATTCAGCTTGGAGATTTAACTATTTAGGCATAAGCTTCATTACAAAACACAACTTACTTCTTGGTACTTGTGCATAGGATTGATCAACATGTGTTGTTAAATATCTCAGATAAACAGTTTTAAGAAATAGGTTTATTCTCATGGATTCCCTAATTTGCTGAAATAATATAGGTATAGACATTTTTGTCCTTTCTGTTAGCAACAGTTCCTTGGAAATATATGCAAGTTATATGAAATAATTGCTTGGAATTTTGGCATGGGCTATGTTTAAACATTAATTTGCATACTTCTTTTGCAGCCATAAATGGGTACATGTATGGAAACCTGAAAGGTCTTGAGATGTGTAGAGGAGACATTGTTTCTTGGCATGTGATTGGCTTGGGATCAGAGGTTGACATTCATGGAATACATTTTTCAGGAAATACTTTTTTGACTAAAGGGACAAGAAAGGATACAGCTAATGTGTTTCCCCATACCTCTGTCACAGCTATTATGGAACCGAAGTCAGAAGGTGAACAATGAAAAGTATTTACTGTTATAATTGCTATCTAGATATTGCTGGAGTGGATCCCAAGATACACATTGCACACTACTCTGAGTTTTTCAGGTGTGAAATAGGCTGCTTCAAGACACTGAATTCAGTTATATGATCCTGCCTTATTTATCCCATAGTCCCTAATTGCTGAAGATTGTACGTCCCACTGAAACCCATTTTTTCATGGGGCTTTTTTCTGGAGTGAATGTGTTCATTCAGCCACTGGATCCCTACAAACCTCATATGCTCCAAAGGAACCCTCTGCGTATCTGAATAAGGAGAATATTCTGGGCCAGAACTGTACTTGTTGGCTATTTGAGTCAAGGTATGATGCTGGCACGGCATCTTCCTCTACCACGTCACATTTAATACTTTGGAAAACATCTCTCACTCTTTACATTTTTCCTAAAGCACCAGTCCAAAAGTGAAAGATCTGGTGTATATATTCTAGGGCTTGTGTGGAGTTGGTTTGCTCCTCTCATATACTTCCCTTGAGAACTTCCAAGCATGTTATGAGTAAATATGGATTTTGTACATTATGTTTATTAATATACCCATTTTAGCACATTTTCCCATAATTGATGTGAGTTTTTATCAATTTTGATTGGAGAAATGTACTGAAAAATTTGGAGGATACCAAAGGATAGCCTCATTTCACTGGAATTAAGTGGGCTGAGATTAAATGTGAAGTGACCAAATCCCTCCCTGATCTTTAGGCCAGGTGTAATAAAATCTGAAGAGTACTGGATTTCCATTGGTTTGCTTTCTGTTTGGTCTCATCTGTGTGCTTTCTGCTTGTTTACCTCCAGGGATCTTTGAACTGGCCTGCCTGACAACAGATCATTACGCAGGAGGTATGAGACAGACATATGAAGTGAAGAGGTGTGCATCATCACCACGGTACAATGATGCAGAACCTAACCTACGTACAATTTACATTGCATTCGAGGTGGTCGACTGGGACTTTGGCTCTGACAGGACATGGGAACAGGAGAGGCATCAGTTCCATGATGAAAGGTCAGGCAGAGCAAGTACATAAAACCCTAGAAAAGAATGTCAGAGGCTAGCTGTTCTTTTCTGTCCTTTTTCAAGTTGGTGCAAATGAACATGCAAAGGGGATGAATACATAGATCCAGTGTAGTGTGATGGTTACATTGCTGAAATTAGACCAATGAGACCTGGGTCCCAGTGCCCCCCAGCCCAAAATTCACTGGGGTGACTTGGGGCAAGTCACCATTTCTGATCCTAATTTACTTCCCAGGACTGTTGTGAGGATTAAATACAAAGGGAGCAGTTGGGCTATGCATGAGTTCCTTGAACTTCATTGAGGGAAGGCTGGATAAAATAGAGTCACACATACTTGCAGACAACATGGTTCTTCCGCACTAAATGTTGGATGGAAAGTGTAGTATAAATACTGGCTGATTCATCTGCATCATTGCCCAACCAGAGGCAGTCTTGTTATAAAGCATGATGAAGTAGGCACTTCATGTAGCAGATTCCAGAGGAAGCATGTCTTTTTCCTCTTGTAAGGAACTAAAGGTGGTTTACATGGTCATCCTCCTCTTCATATGATCTTTAGAACAACCCTATGAGGCAGCTTAGGCTGAGAGTCAATGAATAACCAAGAAACCCAGTGGACTTCATGGTTGAGAAAAGACTGGAACCTGGATGGGTCTCAGTGCAACACTCTAACCACTATGTCACACTAGCACTGTATCACCTCTTGAGGATAATCAGACTGCCAGCCTTTTAATTAACCTCGTATCCAACACCATGTGAATGGTGTTTCCTAATTGGCTATTGTTCATTAGCTATTAGCTGAACTACACAGATCAATGGGGACCTTATTTTAAATTTGTGTGTGAACCTTTAAAAAAATTGAAATCTGTATATAATGTTAGCCCTCTACTTATATCCCCTAAATAAACTCTCCACTATTTTTGGTTGATAAAACCAGCCACCTTGCAACATTTGATTGGTTAAGTTTGGCAAGGCTATACTTAATTACCTGGTTTGCACAGCACAATAACTTATGGTGGGTTGCCAGCCTTGTTCATTTTGGGGAGCAGAGGTTGTTGAAACTGCACCTGAACCCAGTGTGGTTTCTTCAGCATGTTTTATTAACCATGCACAGGCCACTGTGAGAACCCATGGCTTGCTGTTGGGTTGTTCAGGATGGCATGTTTTCACAATGGATAGTTGTGCCATGTGAACTAGGCAAGAAGGCTTGTGTGAGGCTTGTCAGAAAGCACTGCAGAGCAGCCTGGCAAGAGCAGCAAGAAGCCCAGTCATTCATCATAGTCTTGCTAATAATATCTCCTGTATATTATGTGTATAATGACACTAGTCAATTTACTCCTCTGGTTCATCTCTCTAGAGAGAGAGACAGCATTTTTTCAAGTTCAAGGAGATTTGTGCAATTTTAACCCTTTTCTCTTTTAGAGAGCTTTACACAAACTTAACTTTTAGTTTTAATTTTTTTTCACAAAAATTACACAAATTCACTTAAGCGAGTAGTTACTGTGTTTTAGCAAATTTGGATGAATCTCTCTGCATTTATTTTTTAAAGGAAGAGGTTTAATTTGCGGAACTCTCCCTGAAGGTGAAAAAGAATGTTGCATTTGTGCACATCTCTCCAGAGGTGGGGAAAAATGACAAAAACCTCTACTCTGGTAATGAGTGCATTTGGTCCAGCAGTGTAGCAGGGTGCTGAGGCTGCTTTGCAAAACCTGATGGGATACATGCTAGGAGTGGACAGGAGGGCTAAAGGAAACTATAGCAAGCCAGGGAATGCTTAAGCATCCATTTGGGAATAACATGGATTAGTGATGGCTAAATCCTCTTCTTTAATGTCGGCTAGCCACAGGCATCTCACTAATTCCTTTCAATAAAAGAGTGACAACACAATCTCTTGGAATACCAACCTGGTTGAAATACCATTTCAATCCAAGGAGAAAACAAATGTCTGGAGATCCATGCTTTTCAGCTTGAACATTTGATCATAGTTTTATACCTATAAAGATGTAGGAAGAGGAAACATATGCACATGTTTGTTTCATTCCTACCCCCTTTCAGCCCAGGGAATCCATTCTTAAACAAAGAAGATAAATATATTGGGTCAATATACAAGAAAGTGGTTTATCGGGAATATACGGATGAAACATTCAGTACACCCAAGAAAAGGAAGGAAGAAGAAGAGCACCTGGGAATTCAAGGTATTTGGCTCCATGAATTGCAGGAACAGATACTGACATTTATATGGACTGGGATGAATTTAGGCATGTGACCTTTGAAGCAACTGTTGATCGGAACACTACTGGGGGCTTCTGTTTTTGGAGGCCCTCTACAGGTGTGGAAACCCCAGTGTGTACCTACAGATCCACACATGGGTTGGATTTTTGCACGCAGTGTAGCAATATAGATTTACACCCAGCTGCAGAGATGCCTCAGACACAGCCAGGAATTCTGTGTGCACACCAAACACATACGGATCCTGATCCAGTACTCTGGGCTACATGCGGAGGGCCTTGCTTAACTTTACCTTACTTTATGGGCATTAAACATAAAGTGAAGGGAGCAGCCCCTTTCAGCTTGAAACCCAGTATGGCCCATCACAGTCCTGAAAAACCAATTTGGTCTGCATGGAATGCTAATCCATACTGTCTTTCATTTTAGGCTTCACATAGTCCTCTGGTGCAACTGTGAAGAAGAAAGTGAAAGCATCTTCTTCCTGGCTTAGACTAATGACATTTTCTCATTCCTGGGCCAAACTCTGCTTTAGTTAAGAAGTATGGCTTACTGAAATAAATCCAAAATCAAATTATGGCTTCTAATCCTAGCTTGTTCAAAGAAACCATGGTTTAATCTGACTGTACTTTCTGGTTTGGACACAGTGAAAGACTGAGGCCAGTTCAAACTGAGGCCAGTGGATACTTCTTCTTGGCTTTCCATGACTGGGAGAGGGTTAGGGAATAACTGGGAAGGGAAGTATGGCTCATTTGCATGGAGCTAAATTATAATTTAGTTTACAGCAGGTCATCTCAAGGTGGCAAAATGGCACTTGCACACCTATAAAGGGTGTGGTGTCTACAGGCACCCAATTAAAAAAATAATAATTCTGTTTCTCAAATGTAAAATACATGGATTTGTATGAAATTCTAATACATTTCTAGCAGTTATAAATAGTCTTCAACAAAAGCAGGCCAAATAACCATTTGAAGTGCGTATATGAAAAGTGTTGTAAGGTCCTCAATTCATTGCATTATCGGAGGTTTTAATTCTTCCAGTATTGCAGTATCAGTCTGTTAGCTGTCAAAAGGGCACAGAAAATCTGTTTCCACTTCTATTTGTTAAACTCCTGGAAGCAGGTGAAGAACATGTACATCTGTGAACATTAGAGATAGTTCCAGTGCAAAATGTGTCTGTATAATAGGCTCCTTCAAAAAACAAGCAGAACTGGACCTCTGTGACTTGCATATGGAGTTTTAAGACTGTTGTTTGAAACACTGGATTCAGTCTAGATAGAAAAGTTCAGCTTGTTTAATTAAACTGAATTTAATCATACAATTAAGTGCTTAAAAGCCCTAAAAATGTAAATATGTCATATTGTGCATTTCCTCTGTACTGATGTATTATTTGAAGTTTTATGCCACTAATCACACTGACATTTTCTTTCACACCATGCCCTTTATAGCATCTTTGTTTTTCCTCTTTCCAAAGGCCCCCTCATTACTGCACATGCTGGAGATAAAATTGTGATTGTTGCAAAAAATAAGGCGTCTAGACCTTTTTCTATTTATGCACAAGGAGTGAAAACTCCCTCTCCAGATGTAGCAGAAACCAGTCCAGGTAATTGCATCATGTATTATTTCTTCACCCTGTTTCATTGTAAGGGCTAAGTGTAACTGATAATAGAAAAATGAACATAACAAAAGACATAGAAATAAGGCAAAACCCTTAGCTAGTAAAAACCCATAATTACTTAAACCTGCCCATTTAATTTTAGGGAAAAACATGTTTGGAGTTTGGGTGATAAAGAATCATAGAATAATAGAGTTGGAAGGGGCCATGAAGGCCATTGGGTCCAACCCCCTGCTGTTGCAGAATACCCATTTACACTATCCCAGTCAGGGCTCAGGGACAGCTGAGGGACAGACACTGCACAGGGTTCAATCCCTAGAAAGAGCTGGGAAATAATCTTGTCTGAAACTGTGGTTGGCTACCACTCTGAGCCTATGTTCCTAAGATCTGGGCTTTGGTGAATCTCCAGGGAGAGGAAATTTTCTGACTGTGCATCTACTACAAATGCATCTGTTGTGTTACATATCATAGTGATTCAAGGCTTTTTTTCCTGAACTATTAAGCATTCCTGGGGAAAAAGAAGCACTGTGCCAGGCAGAGAGCAGTGTAATGTAGTGGTTAAGAGCATGGGACTGGGACTCAGGAGATCTACATTCTAGACCCCATTCAGCCATGGAACTCACTGGAGCCAGTCACAGACTCTCAGTCCAACCTATTGTGAAAATAAGCTTAAGAGGAGGAAAATTATATAAGCCACCTTGAGTTCCTTGAAACGAATTAATTAATTAATAAGAATTGTGCACATGTGTATTCCTTGGGACTTTCCCCTTTGGAGTATTCCAAGTGTGCATCTGATCCTTTCCTCATTTCTGCTTTTGGAGGGCAAAAACAACAACTAATAAATACCTTCACCATTCAAGTTCAGAGTCAGCTTGTATCTTGTATCCTATGTATGTATATTGGACTGAGACGCACCATGGGTCCATCTATCCAGTATTGTCAGCACTGCCTGGCAGCAGCTCCCCAGGGTTTCAGGCAAGAGTCTTGCTGCCCTTCCTGTGGCTGTAGAGTAGCGGGTTAAACTGGAACCTTTTGTATGCAGAGCAGGTGCTGTGCAGCTGAGCTTTGTTCTGCTACTACATTTGGGAGATGTGGTGGGGTGCAAAAAGGACAAGGAGCCGATGGATTGCATATACATCCAGTGTATGAAGTGAAACATAATGATAAATGTAGAATAAAAAACAGCAGTAAAATTCTTAATGTTGCAAAGTTCTGAAATCAGAAGATCCCCTTTCATCTTAATGGAGCATACTTTGACTTAGTGATTTGAAACTTAAGATAGGGCTATTTACAGAGGAAAGACAGCAATAGTCCAGCCATCCTGTTTGAGACAGGGATGAAGCTCAAGGGAACTATAAGTAATAAAATAAAGGACCATCTGCTCTCATCTTTTGTTTAAGTTGCAAGGCTCTGTCTTCCCTGGTGCATTGCTATCATGGGCATAGTTCAGTTGTCACGTAGGAAGAGGGGAGAACAAAGGCCTATGATTTTGACAATTTCCTCTGTTTTTCTGAAGTTGATGATGAGGGAAATGATTTAAAAGCTGATTGGTAAGTCCATATCTACACATTTGTTAAAAAATAATATTTATTTCACTCAGGTGCAGTACAGCAGTATGTCTGGGAAATCCCAGAGAGTTCTGGTCCTGCAGAAGGGGATTCTGATTGCATCCCTTGGGCATATTATTCAACTGTGGATAAAGTTAGGGTAAGTTTGAAATGGTTGTGATCAAATTTGTTCTTTTTACAAGGCATTGCTAAACCAGGGAGCTGGAGGGCCACAGGTCTCCTGTTTTTAGCGGAGGGAAGTGTACATTTGGAGTCTAAGGCTGAGATACCACCCCTTTCAAGTCCTATAAACTTTGTTTGGAAAAGACAGATGATAATTGGCACAAGCCAAGTTTCACCTGCCTATTCCTGTTTATAATGGATACATATAAAGGGTTGGATCCAGATTTCATTGCAGTTCAGTTCTGTGTTAATCAATGACTATATTTACACATTTATGCTTATATCCCATCTTTTTCCTGCAAGGAACCCAAGGCAGTTTATATAGACCTCTTGCCCCTCCTCTCCATTTTATCCTCTCAACAACTTTGTTTGGTTGGTTTGGACAAGAGTCAGTGACTAGTCCAGAGTTACCCATTGAGACACATGGCTGAGTGGAGACGAGAATCTGGATTGCCCAAATCCTAGTCCAGTACTCTAACACAATACTACACTGGTTCTCACTTAATCTGGGTTCAGCTGATTAAATAAAAGTTTTAGTGATGTTGGTGCTTCCCCATTGGTACTCAGTATGGGCTAATAGTATGCTATTTCCCCTCCCCTATTAATAATAATATTTTGTTCTTTCAGGATCTCTACACTGGATTAATTGGGACACTCTTAGTCTGCCGCAAGGATCAGCCTCAACTCCACCAGCGTCAACTTCAATTAGAAAACTCTCAAGGGAAAATGTTTGGCCTTCTTTTTATGGTATTCGATGAAAATCAGTCTTGGCTTATAGATGAAAATATCAAGACCCATTCTGCCAATCCAGAAGCTGTGGACAAAAATGATGAGGAATTTATAGAAAGCAATAAAATGCATGGTATGTTTGTATACATGTGGATTATTCCCAATGTCCAGAATAACCAATGGTGAATCAGGCCCAGGGGATATTGTGCAACCATCCTATGGCACTCCGTAATCAATAACTGGCAAAAATGCTCCTATTCATCACCCTTTCCATATTCATAACTTTGATATAAATGAACTGTGGTGTAGGATTATGGTACAGCTCTAAGCCCACAACAACTCAGTTCTGTACATATCTACAGCAAAGTCAATCTCATTGAGTTCAATGGGACCCAATCCCATGTAAATGACTATAAGATGCCAGTCTGTCTCTCATAGAAGCTGTGCTGGAAGCATCCTTCCAGCTTCATTTTCATGAACAGCTGGGGTAGTATCCAATGTTGTGCCAGTGTCAGTCCTAGTGATGCACAACTGTGCAATGTAACCAGCATTTGCTTGCCAAATGGGGGGAAGTGACAATTTATCCCATTGCACTAGCAAAAAGTACTTACATTGCTACTTCATTAACAACTTCACTAGTGCTGGCACATTCTTGGATATTTGCCATCGTGTCAACCATACCAGATAGTTAGAGGCATCATTGTGCATTAAGGGTAACATCAAGCATCGTCTCTTTTCTTCATTAATAGATTGGTGTAAGTGCCTTCTACGGTGAAAACATGTTTTGCAGGTGCTGAATGGAGAAGAGGGCCAGCAGTACTGGCAGTAGCAGGTTACACACCCTCTTGCTCAAGTTCCAGGTTCTTTAAATTCCGTTCTGCGAACATACATTGTCAGAGCATCGCAGCTCATTAGATTACATTCTTACACTTCTGTTAAAGTAGCATTCTGATTTAGCAGGGCTGTCAAGGACAGGGCATTTTGGAGGCCATTCTTTTATAGGGTGGCCATAAGTTGGAGATGACCTAACGGCACGTAACAGTATCTGCTTCTTTGAGACTTGCAGGAATCCTTTGCATACTTAGCTGGGAGAACATTATTTGAACACAGTAAGACTTACTTCTGCGTAATCATGCATAAGAGTTCACTGCAGGTCTGGTCTGGAGTAATGTGAAATATCCAGGTGGAAGTCCACTTATGTTGTCATCAGATTTCAGCTAGTCCTGTCTATGTCATCAACCTTGCTACATGCAATTTTACATGGGTATATGATATTGTGATATATGTTCTTTTCATTTATAATCGCATTGTATCAATAGCACTATATTCTGTATCAGTTGTATGATTAGTATAACTATATGGCAATAGCCATCTCAGGTCCCACACATCTGGATGGCACCAGGTTGCGGAGGCTGGATTAATCATCTGTGAAAGTATTTCCCTGCAAAACAGGTCACTTTTTTACTTTCATGATAACACTTCTTTCCCCTAGCCATTAATGGAAAACTTTATGGAAACTTACACGGTCTTACTATGCACGTCGGAGATAAAGTCAGCTGGGCCTTGATTGGAATGGGGAATGAAGTTGATATGCACACGGTGCATTTCCATGGCCATAGCTTCGATTATAAGGTAAAGACCCTGATTATTTTTCCAGCCTTGTATTTTAAACTGAAGGAAAGGTAGACATTTTGAAAGACCACTTTCTCCTATATGAACCTGTTTGGTTCCTCAGAGCTTCTAGAGAAGGCTTTGCTTGGAGTTCTCCACCTTCACAGATGTGTTTGGTAATGACCTGAGAGAGGGAATTTTTGGTGGCCACTTCCAGGCTGTGGAGCTCCCTCCCAAGGGAGGGCTGTGATCCTCACTATCCTTCTGCTGGCCAACACGGATCGCTTTATTTATCACTTTAGGCCTTTGGGTTCTATTATAAAATTTTCCTTGTACATTTTAAATCATATATTAACATATTGTAAGCTACTCTGTGGGCCATTTTTGGTAGGAGGTGGTATGCAAACAAAAAAGGGGGGACCCAATCTTAATCCCAAGTCATTCAAAGCTGCTTTTTGTATGCTTGAGTCAGATCATGGGCCCCTCTGGTTTGACAGGCAGGAGCAGCTTTCCAAGGCTTCCAGCCAGATGTTTCCCAGCATCTGTTACCCAAGATAAAATCTGGCATGTTATCCCAAATAACTCACCTCCTTAACACAGCATGCTCATGCTGATATGCCGGAGCAGATTTGGTCTTTGCAGCTGAGTGGAATTCATGCTACATTCTGCTTCTGTGCTTAAAGCAGGACTCTGTGATTTGAGTAAATATCTCATCAGCCTTCCAGCTCACAACAGTTATGGGCCAGGGCTTTCTGTCTGAATTCAACTGAAATATAACTTTTAAGATGGAGAGAGATCGAGGCATGGGTGGGGAACTTTTCTTGGCTGGGGAGCTACATTGGCTCTAGAGAAGCATATTAGGGGTTGCATGCCACAATGTAGACACAAACACATACTCAATCCCATTTAAATGCAAATCTTGTGGAGGGAATTTCCATGGAAGGAAATCATAATTTCCTCCAAGGGCAATTTGCTTTATTTTGTTGTTGTGCAGTGCAAAAATTGCTCTATTGGAAAGAAGTGTAGCTTTTCCCTGTCAGGAGAGAGGGATAATGGCAGTAGAACCTCTGGAGTCCATATCCAGCTTACAGGCTGGAGATTTCCAATGCCTACACCCCCAGGCTTCACTTCAAAAGGGCCCTGATAGCAACCCCATTGTCACAGCCAGTGATTTTACCTCTGAATGCATGCTGGGGGAAGGGGAGGTGCTACACTGGGTCCACATGTTGACCTCCGATATAGCAAATTGACTATAAATTGGAGTGGAGGATAAATAGCCACAGATGTTTAGCTGCAACTCCAATTGGGAGCATATCAGGATTTAGCAAGTGGCTTTTGCCAAACATCTCACTCCTTGCAGGAAACAGTTTAGTGCTAGGATCAGCAGCTTGAGGCCTTTTTGATGTTTTGGCTGACACTGTCCATCAGCCCTAACCAGCATCACCAATGGTGAGAAATCATGGAGTTGTCGGCCATAGCACCTGGAAGTTGCCTACTCCTGGATTAGGGTGATGAGAAAGATAATTTTATAATAATTTGATTTTCTTTTGTGACTTTTATTAATAAAAAAGAAAAACATGTTAGACCACCAATCACAGACATCATTTTGGAGAGAAGTAATGTTGAACTCATTTGAATTGAGTTTTGTGTTTTACTCTGGAAGCTCACCAGAACCTACACGGGAGATGTCTTTGATCTGTTTCCTGGCACATTCCAAACTGTTGAAATGATTCCAAGCAATCCTGGAACTTGGTTACTGCATTGTCATGTGACAGACCATATTCATGCCGGCATGGAGACTGTCTACACTGTCCTCCCAAAAGGTAAGCTGTAACCAATCTGCTTAGAGGAAAGATGTTGCTCTTACAAGGTTAATATGCAGAAGCATTAACACAGAAGTGAAAGATGCAGAATGTATATAATGCAACAGGTGTGATGAAGACTTGCAGAATCATGGGTAATATTTTGATCCCCTAGGTAGGAGCTCTTCGTTAAAAATTGAATTTCTTTGCAACATGTTGTGATTCATAAAGTCGTGTAGCTCTTCTTGCAGAAAGAGCAGCTTGGGATCATACAGTGCCAGGTGCAAGAGTGGGACATGCTCATGTTCTCTCTTTGTTCATTAGTCTATGGCTGCACAATGCACAACAGGAAGGGAAGAGCCAACTTTTATTCAAATAGGCCCACCCTTCCTCCACACACACTCCCTCCTTTGCTTTTATTGTGCCAGTACCAGAGCGGGGGGAGGACCAAGAGGTGCACCAAATAACTGCCTGTGCATATCCATTTCAACCTTTTCAAGAAGTTTCTAAGCGAGAGATTAGGGATCAAGTTGTTCATTGTCAGAGTTGGGCAGGATGCATGCATAGCAATATCCGATTCCCTAGAAAGGAAGTTATAAAAGGGATTGCTGTGGTACAGAATGGCTGGTAGCTAGACAGGAACAGGTTAAGAATGGGTTCCAGATATTGCATCCAGGAATGATGCCCTATTCTGGTTTTTCTCCTTGATTTCTTCTGAGCAGATCAGGACAAAATGTGCCTCCCAAAAGTCTTTATTATGTTTAAATTAGAAAGCTAAATTGGCTTTGTGATACAAAAGAGTATAGCAGACACAAGCCAAGTTAGAATGCTGGTTATTAGGAAAATATCCTAATATCCTCTCCACAGCCAAAAAGAGCTGACTCCACTTTTAGGGAAGTTCATGTTGCTTATGGGCCAATTGCTGGGAATGTCTGATGCTACTCAATCGGTTTGCTCTTTTAATCTGGTGCAATTGGACTGATTATATTAAGTGTACCCTCACCCAACTCTGTATGCTTAACCAAGTTTCCCACAGAACTGGTTACTGATTTTAACTGTCCTCTTGGCTTATCCATGGAGCTATTGACCTTGGAATTTCAGCTATGAATCCCAATCCCATTTTCTTCCAGTTTTGATTCAGAATCCGGGGCAACTAATTTTGAAGTATGTAGTTGAAAGCATGTCATGCAAGCGGTGACGGTGGGGATGTTGTGCAGATACCAGGGATGTTGCACGGATCTGTTTGCAATCCTTGTTATGTTGCTTGCTCATTTTGAACTGCTGTTGCTGGATAAATCTAGGATATAAAAGTGCTGCAGTGGTGCATGCATAGGTGCAGCAGGTGAGAATAATTTCTGCCTACCACATAATCAGACTTCAATAAAACAGCAGAGACTGTTTTAAAATGCTTCTATAGCACTGAGTCACCTGGTTAATACATAATATTAACTCGTGGTTTGTTTGTTGTTTTAATGTGCCAACAAGTTGTCTCCAACTTGTGGTGATCTTATGAACGTTGCTCAAAACATCCTATCCATGCTTAGTTGTTCTAAATTCAACATTTATTTAGCCCATGGTTTTTGCCCTACCCAGGACTTGTCCAAGCAGATGATCGAACAGACCATAATCTGCCTTCTTAGCTGTGGGTTTTTGTCTCTCTTCTTTGCCTGCTCCTTCCCTGTGTCCCAAATGCTGTAGTACTAGCATGCAAAGCAGGTGATATTTTGACCTCTCTTGGTCACCAGCTCTGCACCCTTATAAAACAACCGATAGTTCTGGATTCACATATAATGGCACTCAATGGTTTAAGCAAAGCAGCATTTACAACCAACCACAAACCATGGGTTCTCTTTCTGGATTGCTTGTGGTCAACAAACCATCATTTGTGAACATGGCTAATTTTACACATTGTGGCAACCAAAAATTCAACAACCCATGGATTTCTGTTATATGTGAACCACACTAGTGTGTTAGATTTTCAGCCATCACAAAAATTTAGGTGTTAAATATTAGGATCAGCTCGTAATAATGTATTGCAATGATAGTACTTGTATTAACATGTGAATTAACTCAAATCAAACAATAATTTACAGTCCTACTTCAACTGTATTTTTATTATTTATAGAGGAGAAGTGAAGGTGATACAGAAGTTAAACTCCCATCACTGAATGGCTTTGGGGAAAAAACGATCATCTATTTCCAAGTGACATATTTTAATCCCTGGTGATCACAACAAAAAACAGAATTTCCAGACAAAAGGAATCTAGCTAAGTCACAGAAATAACTAGTCTTTTTGTCTTAATCATTTTACAGCTCTTCTGGTAAAGATTTTTTTTTAAAGAAATTAAACACAGATTAAACAACAGCATTTGTTGTCATTGGTACAGAAAGTCTGTAATAATACAGGGCCCCAGCTTATAAAACAGCTCCACCACCTGGTTGCAGTCAAGTTTTGAGGCAGAGGCCAACTGAAGAAATTTAGGTCTTGAAGAATAAGTGGGCTACAATAGACACTCTTTGCTTCGGCTTTGCAAAAGCGAATCCAAATTGTACAAGACGTTTTTCTCCCTTGTATTGCCAGATGCAGGGACAGTTAAATGTTTCTCTGGATGACTATCAGATAATTTATGTTTGGATTGATACTGAAACACCAGCACACAGTTTAAAAAAAATGTGATCTGTATCCACAGCAAGAGTATCCTTGGCATGTTTACCTAGTACAGCATTTGGTCCCCCTTCCTAAGAATGGTTTCCCTTGAGTTCACTTGCAACACAAGTATTTTAGCAACTGTAAGGTTGCCACAAGGCAATAAAAGTTGTAGATGTTCTGTACAAAGTTTTAGAGTTATCTTTAAAATGGACTCAGGCCGTATGCCATGAAACTCTACTCTTCCCATACACACGGGAATATGCTAGGAGAACAAAACCCCTAATGTTCCAAATTCATTGTTTTTTGATGAGGTTGGGTCCAATCATATGAACAATTCCTCTCCCAAATGGTGGGTTGTGAAGATGATGCATGGTTTCTGGGTGTGGTTAGGTCACTAGCCTCCTTCTGCTGCACTGAAGCAGGTGCGGGAGGAAAAAAGCAACGTTCCCATCTTCTGGTAAAACATTAACGAAGTCCCTCAGCTCCAGTTCCATGGCGATGACATTCAATGTTTCTGGGTAAAGAAGACACAGATACCATGTTTCGACCCATTGGAAACAATTCGTGCTACACTGAAATAAATGTAGCCCTCACGATGTTGCAGCATGACACAAACGTGTCTGCGTTGACCTCACAAAAGCACGGCACCTGCACCACACCCAGTACTTCTGGGTATTTCCCCAAAGCACACCTGGTCCTCTGCTGCGTCCATCCGTGCATGAGACAGCCTCTGAGTGGGCTGCAAAGCCTCTTGCCCATCTACAAAGCTTACAAAAGCACATTTCCTTACCTTGTAGGGATGACAGGAATACAGGATAGTTATATCCAGCATGTCTGGTTCTTTGGCAGAGCTCAGGAAGGAGTTTGTTCCACCACAGAGCCTAAGCCAGCCACAAAAGAAGACCCAAAGAGAACATCAGTGGTGCTTATAACTGAATTAATCCAACCTCTTTGCAGCTTAATGCAATCTTTAAACAGGCAACAAAGCACAGAGTTTGCGTGAGCCAAAATGTGTTTTATATTTGCAAAGTATAACTTGGCATGATCATTTTAAAACTTTGTAACAATTGAGTGATAATGGCTCCCTCTAGTGCTATTAAGAGGTCAGAGAAAAAACAACTCCACATGATTCAGTAACAACAGAACACAGAGCAATGAAGTCTGAGCCTGTGGAATGGACTTCTACATTATTAATACATGCACTTTATTTGCAGATTTTTGCTTTTTATACATAATTTATTTCTGCTATTCCTAGCATAGACAAGGGAAGATGCAGGATGCTAAAATGCATCCCCAACTCCATAGTAGGTCTCAGAAAGATTTCCCTAACACCTGATGCTTTAATGAAATGTTGAACCACCACCCCTACATTACTGACAATTGTCCATGCGGATGGAGGCTCAAGTCCAACAGGGACAAGAAGGCCAGTCTAAGATTTCACTGGGCTTTTCCATCCAAGCCCATTTTAGCATCCCAGTACGAACTCAAGATTTCATTCTTGCATGAGATGACTTCAGGATGACTAACATAATGTGTTGTAGGTGGAAAGACAATACCCATCAGTAACAATGCACCAGTCAGCAAGAATGGCACAGGTGCCATTTCAAAAGAGCAGAAAATTATTACTTATTAATTTTAAGTGAGATAAACCAAACACATGTCTAGGAACCCTCCCTGGGGAAAGCGAAAAAGACAAACAAACCAAAAACAACTAGTCTCCTAGGTACACCAGCATGTTCCTCAATGCATACACAAATGCCTATTTCATCTTTCCCCTTTCATGCAGTGTTCAATACATGCTTTAACTTTTCTTGGGTCTTTAAATATCAAACATATGCGGTACCAAATGCACATGGAACAAATATATGGAAAATAGCACACTAAACTGGGAAGCGATTTACCCAAACAAACAACTGTATGAATCCCTCTATAGCCTTTTGTTTATAGAGTCTTTTGTTTGTTAAAAAGAAAAGAGCAAAGTAAGGGTGATGAAAGCTCACCTGATGTTCATCTTTCAACTCATGCTGGGCATAGGGTATGACTGCTTCAGGGCACTTCTCCAAAAGTTTGTCAATGCTTCTCTCATGCTGTCCTAATCGTGTACTGCAAAGAATATGGATGCTCAGACCAAAAATAGTATCTTCCGAAAGCATTTCCAAGAATGGCAGGATAGAAGATATATTGAAGGATGGACCACATAAAAGAGACTGAATGGAAGAATGAGGGAAATAAAAATATTACAACTTCTTTCAACCAAATGGGAAAAAAACCCCCAGCCATATCATCTTGATGTGGACTTTCTAAACATACCCGCAATTATAAAAAGTATGGAGGTGATACAGTTCTCACTGTAGTTTTAAGTTTTCAGGCTTAAGAACTGCTTGGTGGGCCAAGTAAGTCACAAAATACTGAAACAAATGCTAGTTCCAATGTCTCTTGTTTATCTTAAGTCTAAAGTTGCTTTCGCTATTTACATATGGATTCCCTCTTTTGGTCTGCTCTACACAAAGTTGGATCATGCAGCAGTTAATTTTCCTCAAACAGACTAGTTTCCTTGACTGCATGTTGGGAGAGGCCCAGCCTGATATGAAGCATGCATACATGGAATCCAGTCCTGGAAATCCGTCCCAATGACCTTCTGATACCTCTGCTTAAGATTCCAAAGGAATCCATGGTCAGAAGACACTTTAGAAAGGCTTTGCACTACAGTTATCTGATAGACTGGAGTTGCTTCCTTTGAATGTATCAACTGCTCCTGGGGAAATCTCATTTCCTCTTTTATGCTACAGTGATCAAACAAACTGTACTGGACAGCAGTGTCTTCCATCTTGTCTGCCTGGTTGGCAGGGAAGATGAACACAGGATTTAACGAGCAGGTGTTTACTATTAGAGAAAAAAAAACAAGGCCTGCATTTCAGTACCTAGATTACAAATGTATTTGTGGGAATCTGCCAGCCCTCCCTGTAACCTTGCTTATCAGAAGATTGCTTAGCTACAGCTGTATTTGCTAGGGTGAGAAATTGCACTTTCTTTTGCTAGAGCTAGGTTTCAATGCATCATGGCATTAGGAGCAAAATGAGTACAACCAGGTGCTTGGGCGAACCACCTCTTTGCTCAGGCTTCCCTGACCATCTATTCCAGCTGATAAATTATCTCCCTCTGTACCCATTACAGAGGTTCTGCATTCAGACTACTGGAGAAGGAAAAGAGGTCTCCATCCCTCTTCAGCCAGTGCCTAGAAGCTTTTTTCACAGTCTAAACTTTTGTAGATTTATTTATAAGACTGATATAGGAAATGCCTTTCAACACTCATGTGTACCCCCGATGACTAAAAACAAGTACTAGCACAATTCATCTGCTCAATTTCTACTTGATGTAGATGGGAAACTGGCCTCTTGTGGTCAGTTAAACATCATGATAACCTCTGCCTTTTCCCACTCCAGATGAGAACGTCGGCATGTTTGCAAGCATGGAACAGCTCAAAATTAGTACATACATTCAATGAGATCAACTCACATTGCCAGAAAAAGAGGGAGGAAGGGATGACAATAATAAAAAGTCATACTTGTAATTTTGACAAGTCATCAGAATCAATGTGATCAGAAGGAGATGCTAATGACATCATGAATATAACCCAAGGAAAAATTAGTCCATAATGACAACAAGAATTTATCTGAAAAATACAAATTAAAAAGCAGTAAGAAAAGGCCATTTCCATTTAAATAGTTTTAGGTTGCATTCTCAAGTCCCACTCATTTACTGTAATGAAGCACTTATTAAACTGGTCATCCTTAGTAATTAAAAACATGACCCTCCTCCAAAGCACAAAAAAATGAACATCATAACCTAACAGCGCCCCACCTATGGAATGCGCTCCTCACAGAGGTCCGCCTGGCAACGTCGTTGTTTGTTTTTCGGCGCCAGGCCAAGACCTTTTTATTTAAATGATATTTTAATTGTTAATTGCTGTTTTTATTTATTGGTTTTAAACTATTGCCGAGATGCTCTGAATTTTTAATGTTATTCTATGTTGTTTATCTTCTTTGTAAGCCGCCCCGAGGTTTTCTGTGATGGGGGCGGCATAAAAATGCTATAAATAAATAAATAAATAAATAAATAACATTTTATACCTCATACATTAGATAGATTTCTGAAGAAATGCAAAACCTTTATAAATGAAGTCATTACTTTTGATAGTCAATTGTATAGCTGAAAATAGATGGATATTCTAACTTTAGGTTCTGCTGGTACCTTCCTTTAGTGCTCCTAAAGGTATCAACAGTCCCTTTGGACTGAATGTACTAATTTGTTCTGAAATGGTATAGAGCACTGGTGGTGAACCTATGGCACACATGCCGCAGCAGGCACACAGAGCCCTCTCTGTCGGCACACAAGCCAAGTCACCCCAGCATCACCCCAGCAGCTGAGCAACGGATAATAGTGCACACAGGGGCCACACGCATGCTCAGAAAGTAGTAGTGGCACCAGGCGATGATGTCACGAGCTGAGACTCATTAGCCACGACTCTCCCGAGCTTTTGCATGGCCAGTCAGTGCACTGCTTGGACTGGCTGTGAGGTGTTTTTTCTAAATTAAAAACTCAGTATTCAGGTTTTATTGCAGGGTGGGTTTTGAGTTACAGTTTGGGTACTCGGTCTCTAAAAGGTTCACCGTCACTGGTTTAGGGTTAGAAAAACGAGGTGTCTGGCATGATTTTGATGGTTGGAATGTGTTTAGAATGGGCAGAAACGATGAGTTGTGCAGGAAAAGCATCTGTGATTGTAAAGCACAAAAATTAGGAGCGAGCATGTTTTCAATCACAGCAGCATCTTAAGAATGTTTAAGGCAAAACTAAAAAAAAAATACAATTGTTCATCAAAATCTTTTAGAAAATAATCTTTTAAAATCTTTTTAAAAGAATTCAACGTAAATTAAAGTTGCAACTTAAGGGTGAAACTTTCTAAGTTACGTGCATCTTTTGTGGAGAAAGAGATGGGTGGATCTATGAGGAAAGAACACATCCTGGAAAATTAAAGGAAAATGTATTCCCACTAAGACCTGTTTTTGTTCGGCTGCACATGTTGGAAGGGATGGATAATGTCCTCAACCTGTAACATTTAGCCAAGTTGCAGAATTTGGTTTCCCTTGGCATAGAATTTGTGTTTCTATTTTGATGCACATCATAACCAAAGTTTATCTTTGCAAACCTTGCTTTTTAAAAATTATTTAGATATGTTAACCTTCAAATTTAAGACGGAAATGGGCTTAAGGATTGACTGAGCATCAACACAAAAAGGTTATGAAAGGCTGTTTTCATATGTTTCTATTTTTAGTATGCAGCTGCTTGCATGTTCATTTCGTTCATTCATTCATTCATTCATTCATTCATTCATTCATTCATTCATTCATTCTAGCTCCCTCCCACGCATCCACACACAGACAGATTTACCAGGTCCTCAGTGGTTTTTAGTGGCTTAGTATCAGGCATCTGTTTCCTGGACAGCCTCCAGATATACTGTGTAGCAAGTTTAAAATGAAGCTCCTGAACAACACCTTGCTGGCCACAAGCTACAAGGAGAGCTTCCCAGAAGTCCACTAAGAGCTGGGGAACAGTATCTTCATCTTTGGCACTCAGCATCTGCTTTTCAAAAAATTAAAGGGAAGGAACCACACATAAAATAACATTTAGCTGTTGAAAGCTGTTCATAGGACACTAGCCATCTGATATTCAACAGATCTCTTTCACAGACATAGCCCACATAACAGCCAAAACAATGAGATTTTCAGATAAGTTACACAGGGTGACATATCTAGACCTGTCAGTGTCCATTTACTGGGTGCTATACAGACCAAAAAAACTAGGCATGCTCAGGAGCTGGTTTACAAAATCTGCTTTTCAGTGTATGACATTCTGATGGATCAATTGTATGGATCACCTTAACATGTCTACCAGGTATGATATGTCTAGAAACTCCTCCCAATATTTCTTCCAGGTTATGATCAGAAAAAATGTTGTTGGTTATTAACTGTGATGACCTGTTCACATGCTAACTTCATCCATGAATTCATACCTAAGGATGGTTTGGTACCATTTACGTAGAGGAAAATAACAGTGTGAACTGACACAGGGGCTATTCTTCAATTCTAAGATAGTTTTCCCAACTGAGTGCAAAGAAAGATGTTTGGTAGCTATGCTTGCGTAGATAATAGTACTTTTGGTTATACTGTTTACCAGTTAAGAGTCGTTTAAGTAACTATATGAAAAGAACAACTCCAAACTTTTATTTGTTGCTTCTGTCCTTTAATTATGAAACCTAGAGACAGGAACAGTGCTACCTGAGAAGTTCTAAGTAAACTGTAAAGGGAGAAAAACCAGACAAAACTGCTAAGTTACTGACCTTGATAAAGGAGTCCGCTTCCTCAAACTCCATTTTATTGTTCTCATGTAAAGCTAATACTGAAGCCACGAGGAATCCAGGTCTCGTCTCACAGAGGTATACTGCAAGGGCAGTCGGAATAATCTGCCCTTTAATTTGCTGTCTTAGAAGTCTTGGCTCCGCAATAAAGCCACACGCAAGCATCATCTGTAGAAAAAGAAAGCTATACATGCAAAATCGCACACAAAAGCAGGGATAGAAGATGCTGGCTTCTACCCCACACTGTATTTTGAATGAGGGCTGGTTCCAGCTTGACTCTGTGAATTCAACACAGCCAAAGGCAAAAAGGCACATCCTATTTTTACAAGCCAGGGAAGATGCAACATTCCCGACTGCTTTCCCATGGAAAAGGCTATGGAGTGGCATGAGCCCCTGTACCTGCTTCTTCCTTTGTAGCAGCTGTTTTCACTAACAGGTTGTGCCATTATTATTATAATTATTACATGACCAGCAGCATTAATCATGGTTTAACCACTAGCTAGTTTACTTCCAGCTCCTCAACAACCCATTCGTTTGGGTTCTCTCATCACACCAGCAGTGTCCAACCAGAAGTTGTTTACAGCAAAAGACGTCTGCCCACTGTGTGTCCCTGCAAATTATTTAACCAGGATTTGCTGCTGTAACAAGGAAATTGGCTCAATGTGTGGGAACGGTGATATGGGGGTTTGGGGGACAGCAGAAGAAAAAAGGCCTGTATGCATTCTAAAAACCAATGCTGATACCTATCTTCTACAAAATTCTCAATTAACACCAACCTACCATTTCCTACTCCTTTCTCTTTGCCCAGTGTGAGTCATAGGAGGCTACCTGAATATCTGTCTACTCCAAACTCATGCCTAAAAGGCAGAACTATCCATTCAAGTGGAGAATGGAGCACTTCACAATCCACTCCTCTCTTCCCAAATGCCTACAAGCAGGCAGAGAGGAACCTGCCCTATACAGGGTCAGGATGCCGGTCTATCTAGTCCAGTATGGTTGACTGATCAGCAATGATGGGATGGTGGGATGTGGATTATCCTTCTGAGCCAACGTGCCATGGTTGGTTTACCATGAACAACTCATGAAGGACGACATGGTTTCTTGATGTGGGCTGTTTGTGGTTAACAAACCACAGTTTGTTAGCACTGCTGGGTTCAGGCAACATAATAACCCACATTTCAACACCAACCCACAGTTCAATCTATACTCAACTTTTTAATGTGAATTATTGTGCTGTCAGAACCCAGCCACTGTCTGAACAGGAAGCAAGATTCTTCCAAAAATTTCAGTTTGCTCTGTCCCAAACCTTCACACACCCCGCCTCCCGCCCCCACCAACAAACATGGTTGGGTACCAGCAGTCTTCACCTCAGCATAGTTGTCCAGTTCCTTTTTACATCCATCCTGATCTCCCATCTTCAGAAACATAGATGCCTTGCTTAGAGTTACTACAATGGATGGCACAGCTGTTTCCACCATCGTCAGATACTTGATTGCCAGCTTAGGACACAGGCTCCCGAGGCAAGGACTGCAAATGACATGTGGCAGTTGGTTTGGCTCTGCAAGGTGGACTATTTGGAGCACTTTAGCTGCCATTTCCTGGTAAAATGAAAAGAAGCTTATCATAAGTGCTGGCGATCCTTTCATTTCCAGTACAAAGCCTCTCTCTGTTCATGAATGCTCTGTGAAATTTCACCAAAATGCCTCAGCGGTACTAATGGTGGAGTACGCACTGCATTTCCTTAACAATTATGACTGGCTTCCCACGCTTGCTTTTTAGAAATGGTGTGATAATGCATCTATATAATGCAGCATTTTACATTATGTAGTTGTAATGTTCAGTTGCTTTTGATATTTTGCTTTTAATGTTTTAAATTGTCGTAACTTGCTTTGATAGCTTTTTAGCAAATAAAGGGGTATGCCATCCTTGTTAATAAATAAAATCGATCTGATTCAAATCCCATTTCAAAGGCATGACTAGGCAAAGCCATTCTTTGGCTCATTGGAGGATTGGATGGAAGCCCTTCAAACCTTTGAAGGCTCATGATTTGGGACATCTGCTTCAAATATGACTTCCCAGTGTACTTAATAGGGAGTTGTAGACAAGTCATCTTTTGGCCACAACTTGCAGTGTGCTACATTTTCACACTTTTAACACCATGTTGTATTGGTATTGCTTTTTCTACATATTCAAGATAATATAATTCTCTTTGAGTGCAATCTGGAAACTTGTAGACATCTGATCACCTACAGTAGGTTGGGAGATTGTGGCAGATTTTGGTGGGTGTACTTTTTACAGAGGGCACTTTGGAGGAGGAAAGCAATTAAACATTAAAGCTACATAATCTTTTGCTGACTTTTCCCTTCTCCACTTGCTGAAATTCCCCTTTTCCCCTCCTCTGGGAATCCTTTTCTGACCTTAGAGGATGGTCGATGTGGTTCTTGCCACACTGGTTATGAGGGGACAACTGAAAGGCATACTTGCAATTCTCCAGTGTTGCCTTCCAGGTTGGAACATTATTTCTGACCTTGGAAGTGGATCTCTGAGCCCCTGGGACACTTGCTCAGGCACCAAAGGACTGCTGTTTTAATTATCCATATAGAAGGGGAATATTATATCCCCATTTCATATATCGGGGAGGGGGCAGTTAAGAGGAAAGATCTTCACGCCAAAAGACTTGCCTAAGACTTCTCAATTCATGGCAGAGAGAAGCCTGAGCCAGTCTTACCACACCTATGCTAATCTAGGTTAAAAAGCCACCTCTTTTTCAAACAAAGAGCTTCTTATTTAGCTATTTCCCACTCTTAATGCCTTTTCTGACCCAATCTAAATATTAACACACTGCTTACCATAAAAGGAATATGAGCAATATCAAATTGAATATAAAATATAAATTCCCAAGAGTGATAGACAGAAGCTTCTTTTATATGGACTGTTCAAATGCTACTTTTGGACACTTTTCACACTCATAAAAGTAATTTATTTCACACATGGACACTTACATCCCCTCAAAAGGCTTACTGACTACACCCACAGGCAAAGACTGCCCTATTTTTAAGAGGTACATCTGCAAGTTGTTCCTCTGAACACTCCTGAATTTCCAATTCATTGTTTCCAATTCATTGCACACACAGAGAGACTATTGTTGAGAAAATGAAGCAACTGAACACAACATGCCAAGTAATTTTATATAAAGAAAGGGAGAAAAGAGCCTCCATTGTCTTACTTCATTCAGCTCCTCATCTATGTCTTCATAAAGGGAATTATGCAAGTAAAAGATAAGCCCCTTTTCAAACTTCTGTGTTTTATCTTCAAGTGTTGAACCCATTCGCTTCAGGACATCCGTTATGGAGAGACCAGACATCTTGTAGTAAGGCAGTGCCAGGTGGAAGTCTTTGGTGTCAAACCTAAAAATGCCAAGGTGAACCATACTATTGAAACCGCCACATGCTGGATCCAGCTATCCTAATGCTTTAGTAAGAAATGATCTATATATATTGATTTCTTATTATTGTGATACTGGGACTAAGGTCATGTTGGCCACAGGTCAGCTTTACATAGCAATAGCACACACTGCCTAGAAAGCTTCAGCAATCAGCTGCCTAGAAATAAAAATAAATAAAAGCCTGATAGTAAACACAGGTCCTTACAAGAATTGTTTATCCATTCCTTTGGATTAACACTGGAGCCAACACTACATTAAACATAGTCCACTTGATTTGTTTGTGTGTATCTTTAAGCTTTCAAGAACTGAAGCCATGAAAATCCTTTTCTTTTTAAGATTTAACCAATAGTCACTTTACCAGAGATAGTAACAAACTGAATCCACCCTTCCTTCTCTTACCACTGCTCATCCCACAACTCAAAACACTGAAAACAAGCAGACAAAAATTTCTGCATTAAGAAGAAAAGCAAGGAAGATGGAGGAGAATGGCAGGAATAAAGCAAGTTCCCTGTTACCAGCATGGAGATCCTTAAATAGTGCTTACATTCTTCTCACATGTAGTCAAAGACCTCTTCGACAAAAGGTGTGGGCAACTGAGAGTAGAGGATTTAACTGCTGCTTGACCCGCATCCTTGGAAGCCAGTCTGGTATGCTGCTTAAAAGTGCCAGATTAAGGCTCAAGAGAGCTGTGTTCTAGATTCCCGCTCAATCAGTGATTTGGGCCATCCACTCTCATCCTAACGTTCCTCACAGGGCTATTGTTTGTGAGATTAAGACTGAGAGAAGGAGAACCTTATAAACTGCCTTGGGTTCCTTGGAGAAGAAAAGACGTGTGAGGTAAATGCAATGTGATGATAATATATAAGTCTGAAACATTAAAATCACATGTACATTTTAAGTGGGACAGAGGACAAGGGGCTCCATATGCAGACTTGCCAGATGATACTAAGGGTGAATGGACAGAATCCAACTGGGCACTTACGCAGCCAATTCCCTTGCAATCTCTCCACCACTTGCACAATGTCAATTTAACACTGCCAGGGCAACCCAAAACAAGCAGAAATGCTGTTTTCTGGAAGGATGGCAGTCAGCAGGAGACCTCCACCAACTTGCCTCCTTCTGGAAGTTAGCATTCTTACTTGTTTCTGGGCTTCCTCTAAGAAGCTCTAAATCTCCCTTGTGTGGGTGGTGGGTCCTACTTGTGGAACAGAATTAGCATGATCTATCACTTACAGAAGATAATCAGCAGGGAAGCAAGTGCTCTGTTCAATTCTACCCAGTGGTCCCTTCCCCCACCCCATGTCTAGGACCTTTTATTTATGCTCTTAATTGAGTTATACCCAAAGTTTCCAACAAGAAAATGGTGCTCAAGGTGGTAGGGACCAAGCTTTCCCCAATCAATTTGCAGGTGGAACTACAAGTCCCGTTATCCTCAGCCAGGGCTGCCACTGATGGCTGGGGATAATAAGAGTTGTAGCCCAACACAACTGCACAGCAACAGGATAGGGAAGTCTGGTATACACTTTAGGCTCCAGCTGCCCTTCTTTATCCTATTTCTTCCAGCAGAACTAGAGACAGAGGGAAGGCTCTGAAACTATTAGCCAAAGACTGGCTTGCTGGGTGATTGTGCTTAGAGATGGCTATTCCAGAGGACTCTTGTCTCTGGCAGACTCGTTCTTTCTTTTGCTTATGTCTCCACTTGTAGTTTAAAGAGAAGAAAAATAGAGTCAGAACAGTCGGTATCTTTGCACAAAAAATCCAAACCTGCTGTAACAGTCGCCTAGGAGAGCACAGCTTTCCCGAAATGCTGCTAGGAGGTCCTCCTTCTCTTCTGATTCTTTCAGATCAGGGTCCATTAAGGCTGTTCTGACTAATAAGTGAGCTTCGCTTAGAAGGTGGATGCAACTCTCCGTTTTAATATTTTCATAAGCCTTGCTGTATTCTACCTAGGGTCCAAATAAGACACACCATCACAGAAGGAAAGCTGCATTTATTCAATTAATACAATTAGCCTTCCTCAGCTTGGCACTCTCCTAATATGCCCATACTCCCATCACTCCCAGCCTCCATGGTCAATGGCCATGTTTGTACTTCCCCAGAGATCACTGCACTGAAACAATCTTTTTCCATCAAATCCATGAAAGTCACATTGATTGGTTCTATTGGTTCAGTGCAATATCTGGTTACACTGCTGAGCTTAAAGCAGAAGCGCCACTTTTCTCCTCCGTAAGGCTATTCTGGGATGTACCTACTAAGGATTGTCCTTTTCAGCAGAGCAAGTGCCGCCGCCTTTGTTCTGGACCTTCAGACTGGAAGGATGGCCAATCTAGATCTCAAACACCACCATTCTGGCACCCCCACTTTCTACATGCAAAAGCAGGCAAAGCAGCACTGCTGTTACAGCCATCAGAGAACACCAGCAAGCGTTTTACTAAGCTTTGCAGACGGAAAATGGCCAGATAAATTCTGCCCTGGGATTTCTGGTGACTGCCCTAATCCTCCAAGCAGGGGTGGAGAATCTCAAGCTTAGGGCCCCAATCCAGTCTGCATGAGGTTCCTTAGTTCTGTGGTTTTCAACATTTCCACAGTTGGGGACCAGCGAAAACCACTTCAGGGATCACTGAGGCAGAAACAAAAAGCACCATACACATAACACAGTATTCTGTGTATTAATTTTCAAACACAATACTGAAAAAGAAAGAGAAAATTTCTCCCAAACAAGAAACTGAGCAAGAAAAAATGCCAACAAAAGAACAAAATACTGAAATTTCCCAGCCAACTCCCACCAAGCTGTCTCTCCCCTCCCTCCCAACCTCCCAGCGGCACTGGCACACCTCCCTCAAATGTGATGAGGAGGTGGTGGAGCACAGCCAGCCCCCCGCTGGTCCTCAGTGAATGGGATGTGCCCCCCCCCCACCAAGCAGGAAATCTCCTCCGGGCGGGTGCTGATCTGTGGACCAGTGGTTGAAAACCACTGCCTTAGATGATTGTATCTCCTTCCCCTGTCCCCACACTCTTTCCTCTAATTAGATCATTTCCAAACTGCTTTTGTGCAGCTTCCCCCACCCAGCTTCTCAAAGGCTGAAATGCCACTCCTAGGTTCTTGCAGGAAGAGCTTTGTGCACATATATACTGGTGTATTTTTACCCCAACCTTAAGGAGAAGGAAGGCTGAACTCTCTTCCTTGCAGTGTTACTTCCAGTTTAAGCATTGCTCAGTGATGTAACACACAGCTGCACCAGATAAGCATGTTGTCCATTACTGCAGTAAATCAGTGAAACAAAAGCAGAGCTATACCATTTCTCGATAGAGCTGGAGAGTTGAAGCTGTGTTGATGATGTATAGATTCCAGCTAGGGTTAGCTTCTGAAGGAACCTTGGGCTTGATGCTGTCAGCCTTTCGGGAACTGAAAGAAGGGGATGTACACATATGAGCATGCTTAAACCACAATTACTGCTTGGGTATTTTCAGTTCTTTGCACGTCTTCTATACAAGTGAAAGGTTGAGAACACATCCCCATGACAAAACTCCTGCTGCCTCGTTCCATCCTCTCTCCACCCAGCCTGGATGTGCCATGAACCTGCCTTTTCTACAGTGGAGGAATGTTGGCACTTACAGAAGTCTTCTGGAAGGCTTTTTTCTCTCTGTAGTATCTTCTGTATCTGCTTTTGTCAAAATTATGATACGGTTCTTGAAGTGGGAGATCGCCTTCAGTCCTATAAAAAGCTGAATTCTCAAGGCACAGACATCCAGCGAAACAGGAGGACAAGCCTGTGAAGAAACCCCTAGTTTATCTTGGTGAGCTGATTAAATCTTGATTAAGCACTTGTTTGTAGCCAGTGTGCAACTGGTTTCCAGTAGAAGCAGGCAACCTAGTACCCTGTAGGAGCCCAGGCCAGCATGGTTAATGGGAGCTGCAATCTAAAACATCTGAAAGCTACCATGTTGTCTACCTCTAGCAGAGAATGTCTTCCTAAATTGTCAGCCACCCTTTGGACTACCAATTATCCAACCAACAGGCAATGTAAGCTCCAGAATAATTCCCTGTCACGCATGTGTCTACTGGACTGGGGCTTATCACTGCAATGCACAGCAAGAACTGGATTCTAAAGCAACTGAATTCACACAGGTCTGCTCATGCATGACTAGCACAGACATGTTCTAGGTGTCCCCGCAATCAAGGAGAGAGAGTAAAATGTGAATTGCCAATGCATGTAAGTTAGGATTGTTGCTAGTGTGGTAATCAGTGGTGTAATGAAACCAGGACTCAGCACTGGTGCCTTTTTATTAACAGGGGTGCTCACATCTTCTTAGCATTCCCTGTTTGAGCTTAGCTGCAGTCCTCATACTTGCATCAGGGAAATGAATCTTCCCAGCAATAGTGTACTGCTTCTTGTTGTCGTGTAAATACTTGTGGCTGGCTTGGTCTTGACCAGGCAATTATGATCCATTAACTTTATAAAAGACCTGCTCCTATCAGATAAAAACTTCTAGAATTGGTTTTCTGATATGGATCAACTCAGCATCCTGCAATGCTGGATGCTTCTCAAAAACATATCTCTGGGGACTACCATGATGAGCACCTGCATTTCAAACATACCACAGCTCTACTGGTAGTGGCTTGTGCCAACTTAGTCGTTTGCAGGCTGTGATCACCACTACAATTGCTGGTGAAGTGCTATGCTGCTTCACATAAGCACGTGCCCAAGACACCTATGGAGCAAGTAAGAAGCAGAGCAAGGGATGCAGTTTCATATTCCCAGCGAGATCATATTCCAAAGGGTCAACCTGTGAGGAGCAAATGGACCACAAACCACATACGTGAAACACAGACACTAACCAGCTAGAGTCTATGTTCAGGCAATATTTGTCTACTGCAAAGCTGTTGAACCCCTTTCGGGCTGAGAGCTGCATGCCATTTTGGAGAAAGTTTTAGGGGCTACACATCCTTGTTGGGCAGGATCAAAAATTGCCTTCAGATACTGTGCCTATGTCTGGACAGTATAAGCCACCACAGCCAAATGGAAGTATATAGCACTGTATGCTGAGTTTCAGATTTACTAGTCAGATCCCCCAGCTGCTACGGCACAGAAGAAAGCAACAACTGCATGTGGACAGTTGGAGGCAAGCCATTTGTCATTGCAATTGCAGAGAAAATCTCAGACTAGGAGGCTCATTTCAAGGTCAAATTAGTGCACCTTCAGCGTTGTATCAATATAAGGATCTTCATCACGAGCTGCTGCTGCACTGCATCTTACTGTGAAGCACTGCAAGTTGTTGCTAAGAGAGGAAAAGACAAGAGCAATTCAATAGCTTAGTATAAACTTTATGACCAGGGTTCTGTGCAAACCAACACTGTGAAATGCAAGTGCTCTTAAAAACCCTCAATGCCTACCTATCTTAGCCATAGCTGGTAAGCAAAGCTGGCCTAGCTGTGGTCCTTTTAGCAATGCCACTACAGCCAGGAAAAGCAGCTCTCCCAGCTGAGACTGGCAAACCTCATATACTCCAATTCCTAAGAGGATGCTGGTAAATTAGAACCTGAGGTGGGACAAGGACATCCATGCTGTGGTCAACCACACTGTGTTGCCACCATGTACAATTTCATTAATTTGTCCCCTGTCTTTCCACCAAGAAATGATGCTTGAGGTGATTAAGTATCCTAGGAACATATTTTATTTTATTCTAAATAAAAACTTGGTTAAAACTTTAACAAAACAAATGCATTAAACACAGAATTAAAATAGCATCCAATTCAAGATACTTACATGCCAAAAGTCAGTTTACATAAAAATATCTTTGCCTGCTAGGGGAAGGACCTACCTAACCTAGCCTCCCTCAGCAGGGCACTCCAGACCCTGGGAGAAGCCTCTTTCACATCAACACCAAACCTATTTCTGAAGGTTGTAGTACTGAGAGAAGGTCCCCTAAAGGTCTTGGAATTGGGCAGTCTTGTATGGGTGAAGAATTATTTCGATATCCTAGTCCCAAGCTGTATTGAGATTTTATAGGTCATAACTGGCATTTTGAATTCAAGGCATTCTGCACTGAATTCCAAGTATTCGAACATCTCTCTTTGGACGAATCACCATCTGCATGTAGAACTCTTAAGTATAGTTCTAAACACACCCACAAAATGAGTCATGCAATGCAGAGGGTGATGCACAAGAACAGGGAGTTTAATTCAGAGAGCATTCAATATGCGAATAAATGTTTTCCTAGCTTTCACTTTCCTTTCCAAAAGAAGATCCCTTTGTCTCTTCCTTGCACTGTACTATAACTTTGATGGTGTTTAAAGAATCCTCCTTCAGGTACAGAGAAACTGGCACTAAAGGTAGCTTTCCAGAACAACTCTTAAAAACTGGCTAGTCATGCTCATTCTCCTGGAGGGCAGCTTTGCAAATACCTTGGACCAACAGAAACACAAACAAATGGGTCCTAGATCAAACCAAGCAGCACATTTCCCGGAAGCAAAAATGAAGAAACTGAAGCTGTCATACTTTTGGCACATCATCAGAAAGCAAGACTCAGTGAAGAACACAATCATGCTAAGGTAGAAAAAGAAGAAAAAGACCAAATATGAGATGGTTTGGCTCCATAAAGGAAACCATGGCATGGAATTTACAAGAGCTCAGCAGGGCTGTGAAGGACAGGACTTTTTTTTTTGGTGGTCGGGGGAGCATTCATTCATAGGGTCACCAGAAGTTGGAGATAACTAACAACAAGCCATTCTCAAGCCTCTGGCACATTCCCCTGAAGATGGCTTGTACTGTCGGCAGGTCCTTTTAATCCTTAAGAAGAGACAACGGAGAAAACAAACCAGGGATATAAAGGGCATACCTTGTGATGACATGTAGAAATTGAGGAGTAAGTACTGCCTGCTGGGATTTCTCTGAATACTGGTATGTAGAAATCAGCTCTACTAAGTTACCACCAACTTTATATAGGTATCCAATGTGAGGCAGGGAGAAAAAGCAGAACAGACTCATGAGCTCTCGCTTCGTTGAATCTCCTTGGTCAGATTTCCCTGGATGGAAAAAGAATATACCATGACCTAGGAATGAAGGCTGGAATCCTAAATGTGTGCAGTGTCAGAACTCAACTGTACATTAGTAAACATACCTGTTTCATACATGGGTAGCAGCTGAAGAGAGTGCAGTTTGGCATCTTCAGCAGAGAAGAGGAATGTGGACATATCTAGGGCAAACCGTCTAGAAAGAAACATAGTAAGTGAAACTACACTCATCCAACACACAGGTCTCCATCCAGGGTAGCATGTCACAAAATAAAAGGGAGAAATAGTGCTTCAACATTTCTTATCCCGCTCCTCCATGTTGCATTTGAAGCTGATTGTGAAACTTTCAAAAGGTGTGTCAGAATCAGCTTCTAATGCATTCAGGGGTGGGTGCGGGAATAAATGCATACTTCATGAAGAGGCTCACTGGACCAACTTTTTAAGTTACACTGATGAAATCCACTGCACTGATATTCCACAGTGGGTTCAATGGTCACAGTAAAAATGGCCTCTGATAGCTGAAGTACAGAACTCATAAAACCAGCCTTTCCCTACTTGGTGGCTGTCAAATGTTTTGGACTACAGCTCTCAGCATTCCTGACTATTGGTTATAATAACGAGGGCTGACAGGGAGTGAGGTCCAAAATATCTGGAGAGTACCATGTTGAGGAATGCTGCAGTAGGTTTTTCCACAGCCCTGGCCATTTACTTGCATGGAAGTCAGGTCCATGGTATGTGCAACTCCTATGAAGTCAAAGGTGTCCACATTTGTTATTCCATAACAAATAAACTAAAACTAATTGTTGTAAGCCACCCCGAGGCTTTGGCGAATGGGGTGGCATAAAAATGTTTTAATAAATAAATAAACAAATAAATAAATTCCTCCTTTCATTTCCCAAATTGCTCATGGTCGGCAGAGCAAGCAGAACAAAATACTGGAACAGACACTGTGATCAACCTTGTCGTACCATCTCCTTCAATAACCTGTTTAGAAGCATGGAGTGAATATACTACTGCTGCTTAGACAGGCTATTAAGGGGATGGGCTAGCCAGGTATAATAGTGAAACATGGCTTAGCACAATGTGAAAAAGCTGCAGCAAGCGCATCAGGTTTGTCTTATATCCCTTCTCCTAATTCCCTTTGCAGAGAAACATTAAAGGCTCTTGCTAAATACGATATATCCAAATCGACCAACTGTGATTAACATCCACTCCTCTCAGTTTTTCAAAACAAGTCAATGTCAAATCATGGTTTATGAAGTTAGCCTGTTTGAATTAATCATAGTTTCCAGTTCCAAAAAAACAGGAAGCTGCAATAAAGTAGAAGCAGAAGTGTAAGCTTTTGAACTGTTTCTCAGAGCCAGATGGGTGGAGGAGAAGTATAGAGTCCACATCATGCAACACCTTGTTCATGTAACACCTAAGCCACAGGTATGCTTATTTCCAAAGGTAGCCAGCTATGGCTTCATCTAAAGAGGAATGGCTATTTAGCACATGTACTACCAGAGAGGGTAAAGTCTAGGTAAAAGCAAATCTTTAAAATGTAGTAAAATATAGTTAAACCAATAGCCTTAAATGAGATTTATATTGTATTTCCAATAAAAGTATATATTACCTGTACAGGACATATTGCATTTGGAAATTTGAATCTTCATTGATTAAGCCTGTGGACTCCAGAGTAACTGCTATTCCACACTGCTTACTTTGGTCCCCAAGGAGCTCCACAGGTTGTTGACAAATAACGAAGTCCTCTGACTCAAGGGGAGCTGAATCCTCTTCAGGTTTTACACCTTTAATAAAAATAGAGTGTCAGATTTACCAACTGGCAAAAAATTACAAAGTAATGCAATGCTTAGTCTTCTGTAGTGCAATATTTCAATTAATGTTAATATTAAAATGATCTGTGGGACTATCATAACATCTTAAACTTTTCCTTATATTTCACTAGTCATTTTTAAAGGGATACTGGAATTTTTCATGCAGTTAAAGCAAAACTGCACTGACCAAGAAAATTAGAAAATACTGTCTAATAATGGCCTCATTTGCATATCTGTCCCCCAGAACCCTGAGTGTCCACTGGAGTCAACAGAATTTTCTTCTTCTTCTTAGTTTAATTGGCAATTTTAAAGGGGACTGTAGATGAGGAAGAGAGAGAGCGAGGGGTTAACCCCCCCCCCATATTTCCCTGTGTGGCATGACAATTAAGCTTAGAAGGATCTTTTTCTATCAGTTTGAGATAACCTTGGGAATGGTTTAAATTAACTGAACTTAGTTTGAGATTATTTGGATGATAAATTAATTGGCTGGCTTTGACTACCATGAAAATTAAATCCTAGTAATTATTTGTACATTATAAATGTCATGCAGGTTTATGTCCTATGGGCCTGGGCCATTACAATTTTAAATGCCTGGCAGCATCCCTGCTGTGATTGAACCAATGTGCTAGTTTAAGTAGGTTGATTCCTTGCAGGAGCAACCTGGTTTTCAAGGCTGGTTTGCTGGGGGAGGCACAAGCCAGACTTCTGGGTTCAGGCATTACCATAAATGATACTGGAGCAGCCAAGCAGAAGCAATTAAGCTGCATGCTGGCCTGTTGAGTGAAAACCTAATGTTGTAAAACAACCTGGGATTCCATGATGTATAAACCAAGTTAGTATGGAGAAAATCTTCAAGCCTGTGAACATAATCAGAAATAGCACTACCATGAAATTGACATAAATTTAACCATGTTTATTTGCAAGTCTTCAAATTTCAATTTTTAAATTCAACTTTGGTGCAAAGTTTTAGATCATATTTATTCTATAAATTTACTGTGTGTATTTTCTGAAATTGCTAATTCTAACAACATTCCTACAAATGGGTAAGAATTTCCCACTTCCCAAGATTTAGTTTGTTTAAAAATGAAACCAGCATCAAGTTGTGCTGAAGACAAACTTGTGCTGAGGGGACTATTTCAGGTAAGTGCAGGGCTATATCTTATGGGAGGGGGAGGAAGAGGTTAAAAAATGCAAAAAATGAGACATTGGCCATGATTGCAGAAAATTCTATACCATAGCACTACAGAATTCTGCTAATTGTTCACAAGCAAGCATGCTAGTGCACCAATGTTTGCACTGTAGGCAGACACAGACCAGACTTGCCACTCACCTAGGAAGTCACGATCTACAAACTCTGGCTTAAAAGCCAATTAAAACTTTCCAGTTTTTAATTCTGGCTTAAGAGATAAGCCAGAAATCCAGATCCAGCTGCAGCCCTAAAGGTTTTGCACTCTATTAAGTGACTTTTAACTGCTCCTACTTGAAGGTGGAGATCAACAGGATGGACCAGACAACATGCACCACTATGCTTGCGTGTGAATGGTAAGCCGTGACTTTGAAGAATTCTGGTTTAGTGATTTGCATAAATGTAACCATTAGGCTAGAAATGTGAGCAGAAGTAAAGTGTGAACAGAAGGAAAACAGCTGCTTGCACTTGTTCAAGAGTGTATGAAGTACAGCAACAGATAAATCTGAGGCAGTGTTCATCCTCCAGTACATCAATTTTTTAGCAATTTCTCTTTCCTGCTGCACAGCATTTCAGCAAGCGCTGGAAGAGATGTGGACAGACAGGTTTGTATCATTATAACAGCAACTCTTTAAGTTCTTTAGAAAAGGACTGAAACCAACATTTTATCAACTTAATGTTTTGCTACCTCCGTCTCCAAGCCATGGGCCAAAGACCATGTAGCTTTAATCCAAAGATGTTCGATGTCATACTAACCTTCGTTAACCAACTGTTCAGGCACTATGGACTCATAGGTTTGCCTCCTACTATTAGCAGCCGCCTTCTCACTGGTTTCCAGCTTGAAGATTAGGACTTCCAGTTCAAATGTTATCGCTACATATCCAGCACAAAATGCAATTTCTGCTGGGGTGAAGTTCTTTATATGCATGATTAAGGATAGTTCAAAATCCAGCAGAGTCACAGTGCGACTCACAGCCACCTTCTTCAAGCAGAACAAGATCAATTTATTCTTGCAGCCAACAAGGAGGTCCCCCGTTAAAGGGCAACATGAGAAACATAAAGGGGGGTCTGAAAGAGGTAATTCTATAATGGACATCTGGTCTTTAGATGCTTCAGTATAGGCTGCTTCCAGGTTATGTCCCACCATCCGCACACACACACGTGAGCTCCCTGTTGACATGCATTGCCAGTTTACGTACACACGCAAGAAGAGGGCCTTGTTTTTCTCTTCAATAGTGGCCACATAGTCTCCTGAAAAGTAAGAACACATTTTGAAAACACAGGACAAACTGTGGATCAGAGAGTTTTATGTCAGGTGCGATCTGGGCTACCTGGGGTTCCAGTTTGGCTGTTTTCCCCAGACAGCAATGCCCACTTCCCCTCTCAGCTTCCTTATTCGAAAACACTGAAATGCAGTGCCTTTCCTGAACCTTAGTTAGAGGCACTAGTTGTAAACCACCCAGAGAGAGTTCCAGCTATTGAGCAGTATAGAATAATAATAGTCTCAAGCTAAATTATGTTAGTATTTTGGACATACTAACCAAGAAACTTCTCTGAAACTAAATTAGGCTCATGGGCCAAAGAAAGTTCAAACACATACAAGGAGAGATCGTTCTATAGTAAAACAGTAATTTTGTTGCAATGATGTGTACTTCTTGAATAAGTTGGAAATTCTATTGGAGGCACATGTGAAATAAGCAACAGTGCCACAGCAGTTTATGCTCTTAGCTTATCAGTTATTAGAACATTTTAAAGCTCTGTTTACCACATGGAGATCATGTGCACAACAAAGGTCTCTATGTTTTAGAGATCTTGTTATAGTTTAATTTTTTAAACTGCTTTAGATATTTCAAGCAAGCATCAGCCACAACACAATTTCTTCATTCATTATAGATTCAGCAATACAGAATCTCTTTTAGTTGGAGGAATACATTTTAGAGAAGTACTTGAGGGTGCATTCTAGTTGTGCATGGGACTGAAAAGGTACCTGACTATCACTAAAAGGTATAAGATGGTATCTGCCAGTTACAGGTATTTTATTTTAAAAATTTGTATTAAAAGAGAATTACTTTAAAAAAAATCTGTGATCCAATTAATTAAGTGCTAGTCATTCTTGTCAATCAGAAGCTTATAATCCTATGTCCTACAACTCCATGCTGGCTGGGGAATGTTGCAGTTGTGGGCCTTTGTATCTAAATATGTACAGGATTGTGCTCTAAGGGTGTGATTTAGTATCCTCTATCCAAGGGACATCTCTGAACACAGAGGTTTAGTGCATCCAACATAGCAAATGGGTTGGAGTGGCTGCACACCTCACTCCTTGCGTGGCCATTTTGGGTATCTAGATTAAGTGCCGAGGAGGAGAGAAGGAACCTGGGCCACCAACTGGATACAGCATAAGCTGTTGGCTCTAGTCTCCTCCCATGCACACCCTTTAGCCCTTTCCAAGGCCAAATTCCAATGTTAGAGAGGGAGCTGGTATGATTTTTTCCCCTGTGCCTGCTGCACGAGGGCTGGGCCTCTGTGTTTGACGTCCCAGCTCAGAGCGCACAGGACCCTGGAGGTGGGACTCCAAACCATCCTATTCCCCCCCACCCCACAATGTCAGGAAGCCATAGGACTGCACCCTAAGCGACTGAACAATTTGTTGACCAAAAATGCAACTTGATTGCACAGCAGAATCCTACACGTATTTACTCCTGACCTTGGGACTACAGCCTCAACTATCTTTCCCTTCTTACAATCCCAACAAACATATTTATTCAGAGGCCCTACTACACTTAACAGGCTTTACTGCTGACCCTATTTACAATCCAGACCTTCAACATCTGAATCCAGACTGAGTTCTTAAGCACAATTTCAAACTCTTTGTTAGTGTTTGAGAACATCCCTATGAGAACCTATGAGAACATCCCCCAAAAATGCTTTTTAAGATCTCCATATCTCTTTACCAGACAAAATATCAAAGCAAGATTGAGGAAGGAAGGCAGAGATGCAAAACATTTAATTTGGCGATCAAGTCAGTGCCTGATGTTCAGACTTCAAAATTAGGTCAGGTGATGGTTACAGGTAGGTCTTGCACGCTCCTCCTTGGATTGCTAGGAGCAAGAAAAGGGAACACTACAGACCCCTCATTTTGGAAAATGTGACACTGAGCTGCTGTTAGTGTCTTCTGTTCTGGCCAAAGCAGATGGGCTCCTTTTACCACAGCGGGAATTATAAAGAAAAATAGGCATAGTTACTATTCAGAGTAAATTCCTGCATGCTTAAGTGCATTTACTCCAGGGAAAATGCACTTTCAGGTTGAATTCCCTGAGGCAGTTACTAGACATTTGAATGGGCTAGAGCTTAGGAGAGCTAAGCCTATCATGCATACCCTGAGACAGTTTGATTATTCTAGTGTTTGGCCGTGTCATGCCTATCTGGAGCCTAGAGGAGTCATGCCTATCCTGAATGCCCTGAGAAAGCTGATAGGTATCTCTATTATGTCAGGATCCTGGGGAGTCAGGCATAACACAGGGCAGCGGACAGCCTTCTCTTTGGAAGCGGTGATTCACATGCAAATTCTTTAAAGAAAAGGAAGCAGTGATCCTTGAGAGACCAGGGTTCAAATGAAGCTCAAGGAGAGAATTTACCTTGCACAGCTATTGTGAGCATAAGATGGCGTACATGTGTGCATGCCTGTGACTGAGAGAACCATTCATGCAACTTTAACTCATCTTTGCCCAACCTGCTGCCTGCCTGGGAGTCTACTACTCCCAGCAAGCACAGCTGGCTGGGGATACTGGAAATTGTAGTCCCCGTACATCAGGAGAACGCCAGGTTGTGGAAGGCTATTTCACCCACAAGGAAAAGGAGAGAACAACGGTGCAACGAACCAACTGCAGGGCTCCGGATTCAACGGTCGCCGGAGCCCGGATCGCACTCACCCACTTCTCCGTACGCCATGCGCAGCACCCGGCCCAGGGTATTGAAAGAGCCGAGCGGCTCGCAGAGTTCCGGGCGGCCGGCGGCAAACGCCTCCACCTTGCAGGCGCCCGGGACGCAGGCCACCAGGAGGGCATCCCTCCCGCAGCAGAAGAGCGCGGGCTCCTGGCCAGTGGGCACCACCTGCTGGGAGCCGAACGGGTGCAGATTGTACAGCTGCACCATGATCGCCGCGGGGCTCGCCGGCAACACCCCCCTCGGGTCCTCCAGCCACGGCTGCTGCCGCTTCCGCAGCGGGCACCGCCCCACGTCGGTCAGCTGGAAGGAGGCGTCAGCGGCGCCCCGGATCGCAGCCAGGGCTTCCCACAAGGGCAGCATCTCAGCTGCTGCGGCCCTGTGGGAAGTGCATTTGTAGCAGGGACCATGCTTGCTTCTGGGAATAGGCCCCGCTTAGTCCAACTTAGTGGCGGTGGGAAATCACTCTGCATATGCCCATTGACGCACGTAGTCCTGTGATCTTTAGAAAGATTGTGCTCCCGGTCTTTAGCAAGTGAATCTCTGCGGATGGTATTCAGTGGTAGTCCTACCTTAGTCCGGCTCATTTCAGTCGGTCTCCTGTACTTGAAACTAACTCTGGATAACCCAGTAAGTTCAATGAGGTAACCGAGGTTTCTTGGGATTAAGGATTCTTGAATTCAGTGGATCATGCTGCTTGGTAATACTGCCCACTAGAGAGAAAGTCCACTGAATTCGATGGGGCTTGAGGCTGAGTAAACTGTACAGGATTGTGTTTAGTGTCCACACAGAAAAGAAGCTGCCCCCAGGGCTCACAGCCTCACTCATTTTTATTTTTTATTTTGAAAGCAAAACTACTGTAATAAACAGAGCAAGCACAAATGGACAATGTTTCCAAGGGAGTTCGATACAGAGCCAACCTGTACAATCAGCCCCTGGAAACTATCCATCAACACTCCATAAAAATGTAACCGAAAAGAAATACTAAATGTATACAACAAATCCTCCAATCACTTCAGATCCACCGCAGCTTTCCCTATCTTTTTTAAACACCTTAGATCCACTTATTGTGCTACACATTCCTTTAATAATCTTCTAAACACTGTACTCCACCAGTTTTCTGCTTTACGGTTTCTCTAATATTTTGTATGCATTTACTTTATATTTCGTTTATACTGCATTTTACATATTTCTTATATAAACTGCTTATGGCACAAACTTATTCCACTGATGGTAAGTGCATCTAATGCAGGATCAGAAGATTAGGGAGGCAATCTTTTCCTCCTAGGCTGGATTTTTGTTAGATCAAAAATGTTGCTGTTTAGAACAGGGAGGGAAAGAGGCTCGGAGAAGCCCCAGGATGGCTTGAATTCTGGCCTCTTTGGTTTTCTCCCTTTCCCATCTATGAAAATTAATTTCCCACACTCCTCTTCAAAGCCTGCAGCATTCTATGGCCCTTAAGATGCTGTCTAGGATTGTTTCCTCTGAGAATTTGTGTTATCAAGCAAAACATAAATAGTTCAAATAAATAAACTTCAAGCAAAGGGATCATCCCTTCCTTGCAATCCTTGTAATCTTTTTCTCTGATTTTTAAAATGCCAAATAAGGACTCTTTCAATAATAGTAATCCTTAAGTATTTAAATTATTCTAATTGTTTGTAAACTGTTCTATAATGATGCTCATAAGAAATTTGACCAGCACCTGTTCAAAGGGACTGCCTCTGTCCTTCCAGGATTATTTCAAAGAAAGAATTTACAAATGATCACTTTACATTCAAGAAACACCGAAACCTTCCAATATACCTTGTTTCCAGCTCCTAAAAAATGATGATAGAGAGAGAGATCAACAGAATGCAGTAGATTTTTAAAAATTAAAATACACTTCAAGTATCATTTCATTACATGTATAAATATCTTCCAATTTTCAGATTAAATATTATGGTGCATGCTCAATGGCATCAACTATGTCTGCAGTCTAATACATGCTTCCCAAGGATTTAATCCTGAGCAGGCATGCAAAGCGCCACAGCGCCAAACAAAATGAATCGCAACGGGAAACCAGGAAGCATATGCTAAATTGCCAACAAAAATCAGGGCCGACGCAGTTCTATACACATGTACGCCGCCTACTTGCCGATTTGCTTTCGAAATCCAAATTGCCTCGCCCCAACTTCGTTCTTGCAGCTGTTTGGACCATGAAGACTGTGCACAATGCGTTCAGTGGTGGATGAGATAGCCAATAGGTGGAGGAGACATAGGGTCAACCCGCCTAGTCTTCCCTCTCTTGGTGTCTTATTGGCTAAAATCTCCGAAGTGCTCCTTAGTTTGAAACTGTTCGTCCGATTGGGTCCGCCTATGGGGAAGCGCCTAGGCGGAGCACGGGTCTCGTCTTCGACTTGGTTGCGGCGTGCGTTTGTGCGGCTTGCCTCCGTCGCGGTGATCTGGAGATCGCGGTCATGGCTTGGCGGTTCCTAAGGTGGGTTGGGGGCGTTGGCGAGCGGCCTGTGAAGTCTTTCCAGGACCATGTTGCATTGAGATGTCGGTTGCATGTAACGGTGGGGCCTTTATTCCTCTCCCGCAGGAGGCCGTAGCATAAAGATGGAGCCCTTGAAGTAGATGCTGCTGATAAAAGGATCTGCTTTAGCTCAGTGGTATAATGCCTTTTGCATGCACATAGCACCGCATTCAGCTTCTGGCATCTCCAGGGAACTGCTGGAAGAATTCTGCTTGATCTTCTAGGGAGATGCTGCCAGTTTGTGTTGGCAGTATTGGGTGAGAAAGCCCAGCGAGAACAGGTCCGCCGAGAGTGTACTGTCCAAGTAACATTAAGGTTTATTCAGACATACAGGAAATACATGCAGCATGTAGGTACTCTGCATGGGACTGCAAGGAAAGGTGCTGTACGAGAAGCTTTTATAATATCGTAGGCAGATGTACAGCTAGGAAGAAGTAGAAGAAATCACCTAGGGACCTTGCAAGAGGCAAGGACAGTGGAACCCAAAGGCTGAATGAATTAAGAGAAGGGACAAATGGCAAATAGTTTTCAGGGCAGACACATATTAGCATATTGTGAAGAATCAGGACTAAAACATAGTTTATTGGTCAGATCAAGATGCCCATCCTAACAGTAAGTATAAAACTGTACTTGTCAGTTTCAGGCTTTTGATATGGCTCAGTGTCCTGACATGGGCAATATGGATCAATGGCTAATCAGGAATCACCATATAGGCAGCTTCATGTGAAGAACTTTGGTTTTCCCAGTTCCTGGAGGGTGGAATCTAGGCCAGGTTATTTGAGGTCCCTATTTTTAGAAAGTGGCTTTAACTCGGTGATAGAGCCCCTGGGTTGCAAACAGAAGGTCTCCTGCTCATTCCCTGGAATTTCCAGGTAGGAAAATTGCCTGCCTGAAACCCTGGAGAACTGCTGCCAAGTTTCTCCAAAATGTGAACTAATATATTAATATTATACACACTTTCTAGCATTCTGTAGAAATATGACCATTTGCAAGCAATGCCTAGTGAAGAAATTATCTGAGCAAAGCTATGGAGATCTTTGCTTTTAAAAATGTCACATGTTTATGCACTTAAGCAGAAGTTTGAAACAATTTTTAAAAACAGGCTTCTTCATTTTTTTTTCCTGCAGTGACTTTCCATGGGAGCTGGATCCTGATTTGTATGGAGACAGGCATTACAATGTTTTCACCCGTGAATTTTATCCCAGCCTAGAGGACATTGTGAGAACTAATGTTTCTGTGCTGACAGATGAAGATATAGATTCAGCTGTCTTATTTGGAACTTTGCGAGGCAATGTGGTTGGATTACGGTACTATACAGGGGTGGTAAGTACAGGAGCAATAAGAACTTGTTTAATAGAATGGAACTGCATGGAATCTAGCATGGGGGGGCACAGGGGGAGGAGGAATTGCCAAAAATTGTTTCCATCCCCATTTTGCTTATGAAGCCTCCACTGGTTTCCTAGTAATTTTGCGGGAGATTTCTGTATTTTTCATTGTGCTTTTGTACTTTTTAAAATTACAAATTTGCTTGCAGGTCAATAATAATGAAATGGTTGCACTTCAGCGAGAGCCTAATAATCCATACGATAGGAATGCTGTAAAAGTAAACAATGTGAATGGAGAGCAGGTAGGGCACATCAAAAAAGAGCTGGCGGCATGCTTGGCATATATCATGGACAACAAGCTGGCAGTACTGGAAGGGTAAGTATATGGACAGCCCTGAGAGGGATGGTTTATCTTGAAGTCCTGCACTGAGCCAGGGGTTAGACCTGATGGCCCTTTGGCCCCTTCCAATTCTACTATTCTATGATTCTGTGATATGCTTCAAAAATACTTTTTCTCAGGAAGAAAACTACTAGTTTTCTACAACAGCATTTATTTGTTTGTTAAATTCCTATCCTGTTTTTTTCTTACAAACTCAAAGTGGCTTACATCCTCCTCCTCCTCTCAATCTTATCCCCACAACAACAACTCTGTGAGATAGGTTGGGCAGAGAGTCAAAGTCACCCAGTTGGCTCCATGGCTGAGTGGGTACTAGAACCCAGGTCAGCTAAGTCCCAGTCTCTTAGCCACTATATCACACTGGCATTAACACTTAATAAAACAGAAGAGCAGTTTGTTATTGTTTCTATAGTAGAACCGTCTTCTTTGTGTCACTGCAACTAAGACGGAGACTTGAAAGCAGTATCATAATGTGCAGGAAGTAAATTATATAAACTAAGGACTTTCTCTTTTTTGTTTGGTGCCTTATAACACATCTTATGCATATATGTAAAATATGTAGCGGTGGCTTCACTGAGAGTTTGGGTGCAATCCTATGCCTATTTAGACAGAAAAGAGACCTCCAACTCCCAGCATGCTTGCTGGAGAATGCTGGTTGTCATAGAATCTTTCTGTATAAAAAAGCATAGGATTGCACTCTTACTCTGAGAATAGTGTGTGTATGATTATGGAGGATATCTGTAAAATGATGAAGTGTGATTAGATTAATGGGGTTTTGTTAAAGAGGAGCTTCAACTGTCTTGGTTCTTTGGTACTTGCATTGTGCTGTATGGATTTAATTATCCTTACTCTATCTTCTACAAAGAATAATTTTTTATTCTGGAATACGGTTTGAAAAGCTTTATGGCTTTGGAATCACACAGACCTAAGAGATATACATCCTTTCTTCTTGATTAGCTTAAAGGGAGTTATTACTGGTAACTGGTAACATGTAAATGCCTGATTGACATGCCAATAACCAACTGTGTAACTTACAGGAGTACCTTTGATCTGTAAAACATTTTACTGGGAAAAAAGGGCTCAATTTTGAAATTTTCTCACCCTCCAGATAGGTCAGTGAGGTTAAACTACTTGATGGCTCTAAATAAAACATTTTGTGCTAGGCTGTTTGTATAGCTAGATAGATGTAAATAAACAGACAAAAGTAACTTCCTTGAGTTTGTTGTGTAGTGCCCAGAAACAAGCTATTTTCCCCTTGCTTCGGCTTTTAAGCTACCAAAACCCTTTTATTCTAGCCCTGCTACTACCTTGAAGTTGGGGTAATTGATACTTGGAGGTTTTTGCTTAGGCATCCCATAGAGTGTCATCACTCTGCTCTGAGGATAGCCCAGGATGCAACTGACTTTAATACCCACGCTTGTCGCTCTTTCCTGGTATTCTCTGTTCTGGAGCCTGTGGCATGTTGGCAGGGCCAGAGTCACTGCTTACGTTTGCTCACTGAATCACCTTATTGTTACATTTTCCCAGAGAGCTGCATTTTCTTGAACACCAGGAGCCTGGAACCACTTTGAGTCTGACGGCCCAGTTGGCCTGGGGCTGACACAGCAAGAGCTGCTGGCATGCACACTCTCATGATTCTCTTTCAGAATTCACCTCCACATATTCTTCTTGGGCTAATTTTCCCTGCCTAATTCTGAGAGAAGCTGTACATTTCCACCTCGGTGACCCAGCATTTGAACCAGCACCCAAACTTTCACAGCTGTAGAGTCTGCCAGTCTCTGGCTAAGCCATTTTATCAAGTTTCTTTACCCTCCTTATTTGTAAACATTAATTTAGCCTATATTCATCTTTTTCTACCATTTCAATTTAGGCCTATTTGAACGGGTATATGTTATGTTGGAAGCCATCCTGAGGCTTATGCGAATGGGACAGCATACAAAAATTTCAAATAAATAAATAAGGGGTGGTATACTAACTCAGAATTTCCCCCCCACATACATGTCTATCTTTTGAGAACAAATCCATTTTAAAATTAAAATCTACACTTTTGAAAATTACCTGAAGCACTTATTAGACACAGTTGTTACCCATTTGAAAGAGCATATTGCATGAAGTTGCTGCACACATAGCTTAAAGGCCTCCATTAGACCCAGGTTAGTTGTTAACAAATGTGTACTTATATGTAGTGTGGCTTCATAAATGGGAATGCATGGCAACAGTTTGGAATTGAGACCAGATGTGCCAAGATTGCCTTACAATGTTTCTCCTTCTTGCAACACTGCAGAATTAAGTCTTAATTCTTGAAGTCTAGTTACTGAAGAGAGAGAAGTTTCTTTTTAGTGATTTTATTAACAGAATATTATTTTTTCCTGTTGCACTTAATGCATTTTTTGACAGAATTTTTCATGTGGTCTTGAAAGTGTTATATTGACATCTGTACACATGCTCATTTTGTACCTTTTTTTGCATGTTGTAGCCAAAACAAAAACTATTTATACATTGGTATATAAATATCATATAAACCTAAATACACAGAAGTTGTTCAGAAATAGTATTCTGCATATGTTGTCATTTTCAAAATGGTTTCCCTCTCTCCCTAATTCCATTCTGATTGCTACCAAGCTCCTTTTTAAACATTTTCTGGAATAGTTTGAAACTTATTTTTTAATAAAAGCTTTGTTGAAATGGCTAATGTTGGACTAGATGTGGAAGGTTCAAATGTTCAAATTGCCACTCAGGCATAAAACTTACTAGATGACTTGGAGCCAGTCAATGTCTGCCTACCTGACTTCACACAGGTATTGATAGGGTAAAAGGAGGGGTGTGCGAGAGCTCCTTCAAGAAAGTATAGGATATGAATGTAATTAATAGTTTTTCTTTTTCTGTTCTCCAGAGTTGTTCCTTATGGAGCAAATAATGCTTTCACCATGCCAGTACAGTTGAGTTTTTGGGGAAGAGAGGAAAATAAACAAGTGGTTCTAAATCATCTGAAAAAACATGGACTTAAGTTAGCTCCTCCAGGAAAATGTAAGTTAAATAATGTATACGTAAGGTTTCTAGAAATTCTGTTAATCACAGCGCAAATACTTTATTTCTATGTTTATTGAATGTTGACCTATTTTGTGTCTTAGATATTTGTAAATGGAAAGAAGTTTGGCTTTGATAGTGGTGGGACATGCATTGATTAGTCTTGCCCCTCCCTTTTGACATGTAGCTTCAGAATTTGGTTTGGGGACTACTTGGACATCTGGTAAAGCTGGAACAAGTTACAGCGCTCCAGCCCATGCCGCTGTACAAATGACAGCTGAACAGGTATATGCATGCCCATTTCTGCTGTAAGAATGTGAATTTATATATTTTAAAAAAGAGTAGAGCTTGAAGTATAAGATCCCTTCCCATTTCTAATCAATTTCTTCAAAAGTCTTGTTTAAAAACTTATTTGCAACTATCAGGCCTCAACACAAAAGGTAACCAAAATAACTAAGTTTGCAGGTAATGCCAATTCATGGATTATTTATTTTATTGTGGATTGGTGGGGTGGATAGAAGCCAGAGTGCTGCATCCTCACATAGTTAACAGAGAAGGCATTACTGTAGGTAACCACCTGCCTCATGTCAGATGATGGGGTTACCTGAAAAAGTATTTCTGCTTAAGATCTTAATACCCAGGCAGCTTTGTGTGGAAGAAGGCAGAGCTTGAGGTATTCTTGTTCCAAACTATCATGACAGCACCTTGGGGCCTAGAAATAGAGCAGTTCTTAACAAAAAGGTCACAGTGGATTAATCTACAAAAAACTGCTGCTAGGTCTTAATGCATGTATGATAGCAGATGTGCTAGATTTTTTTTAAAGTGAAAGCTTATGTTTCTTTTTTAAAAAAACTCATCTGGCTATGCTTTTCCTTTTGAGTATGATTATGGTTGTTGTGCTTGCTACTGCTTTTAACTTGAATTGTTTTTAATTCTAAATGTTTCTATGAGTAGTACCATTTTATGGGTTTTGACTATTGGACTAATTTAACCCCATCCATTTCAGTGGGTCTACTGTAAGCACTAATCACGTTGGATTTTAAAGTATATTAAATATAGTTAGCTGCTTTGAGCAACAGCTTTTTTGGAGGGGAGCCACTTGGGGATTTTAGTGTAATTAGAAGTACACAATGCCTACAAATAAATAATAAAAAACGGAGTGAAACCATCTTAAATGAAATACGAAAAACTAATTTTAGCACATCATCATGTATTCTAGCTTAAAACAGAATTTGACAAACTGTTTGAAGACCTGAAGGAAGATGATAAAACGCGTGAAGTGGAAGCAGCACAGGTACATCTTCTGTTTGTGTATTGGTTTGTTTGTGTCCTGCCTTTTTGCCTCTTGCCAGGAGTATAATTCGGTTTACATGATCCTTCGCCTCCCCATTTTATCCTTGAAAGAACCCTGGGAGGTAGATTAGGCTGAGAGTCAGTGACTGGGCCAAAGTCACCCAGTGAGCTTTATGGCTCAATGACGGCTTGAACTTGGATCTCCCCAGTCCCAGTTCATCACTCCAGCCACTACACTACACAGGCTTTGTATTCAAATACATTGCACTGGTTATGTTCTAATATGAAGGTTTGTTGATATATTAAATGCTGGAAAATTGAGGTAAAAGTGTGGTTTTTGTTAGGAAAAGCAGGGTAATCTGCATCTTAATTTTTCAGGCAGTGTTGACTCCATTATTCCCACATCAGAAGCAAGCTTTAGCTTGGATGATATCACGTGAGAACAATAAAGAATTGCCTCCATTTTGGGAAGAAAGGGAGAACTACTACTATAATACGCTCACAAATTTTGCTGAAAAGAAGCGACCAGAAAATGTGCTTGGAGGAATCTTGGCAGATGATATGGGATTGGTAATTATGCACACTTCAATGAAATATGACTGATTATGGAAAATGATTTGTGAAATATTAACCATTTTTTCATGTGTTTTAGGGAAAAACACTTACTGTGATTGCAGTGATTCTTACCAACTTTCATGATGGCAAATCCCTTCCTCTTGAAAAGAAAAATAATACGAAGGAGGTGATACATATATATACATATATATATAGTTAAAACTTTACTAGTATCTAATAAAGATGTTACTATTAATAATAGAACTGTTGGCGTGTTGATTAGCTTTGTTTCTAAACAAAATGTATTTTAGTGTTGATTCAGAAGCAGGGCATCCCTAAACATGTTTATAAGTGCTAATTTATCTCTTACAGCTAATGTAATCTAGGTAGTATTCTTTCTTTATAATTATTTTTAAAAGCAGGGAAAGACTTAATGGTATACTTTCTCTACTTGGAGTACTTGTGCAGGTCAGTTTCTTCAAATATGTTCCAACAATTTTTTATATGCACTGTTGATTTTTACATTCAAACTTAAAAGATTTATTCCATTTTAGATACATTTTAACTGCACTTCTGTTCTTTTAGAAATGTGTTTCTGCTTTGGAGAATGACTTAAAAGGTAATTTAGTTGAAGTATTTTTGATCTGAGATGACAAATATCAGCGGGTTGGATCCAGATGCAGGCTTATTTCTGTCATCCTCCCAGCCTCCTTCCCCTCCCCTCTCCTTCCCCCTGGTGTTTTATTTAGATGTCCAAAACCAGCTGTTTAGATAAAATACTTGGTATGGGACTTGGCAATGGTAGAGGTTGCACATAAGCTCCTGAGTTTGGAGGCTTATATGCATCAGAGTACAGGATTTCCCCCTGTTTATATTCGTTATCTTACCTACTATCAACTAGCTTGACTCTTAAGATGAACCTTTTTTCTTCTGAAGTACCAAAATGTAGATCTCAGCCGAATGCTTCTGATGCACAAGAAGAAAATGATTCTTTGCCATCTCAGTCATCTAGGTCCCGTCCTAAAAGGTAGGACTTCCATCTGTTAAGCATTCCCATGCGACTTGAAAGAAACAGTGATGAAACCACTCAGGAAGAAATCCTCCCTGAACAAATTTAGGCCAGCAACAAATGTTCTTTTCTTAGGCCAGGTTCTTGCATGCCAACTTTGGGTACTTTTGGAAGAGACTGATAATCTGGATCTATTCCACTTTGGATTCACACCAGGTTTTGGTGAATGGAAACTGTTTGGTTATCCTACATGATGACCTATAGTGGGAGACAGACAAAGGGAGTGTGACCCTGTTGATATTTCTGGATCACTCATCAACCTTCTATACCACTGACCATGATATCCTTCTGGGGAAACTCTGTGAGTTGGGAATTGGAGCTACTGCATGGCAGTGGTTCTGTTCCTACTTAGAAGACTGTCTCCAAAAGGTGGTGCTTGAGGAATATTATTCAACCCCTTGGATTCTCCAGGGTGGAATTCCGTGGGGGTTTGTTCTGATCCCCATGCTATTTAATATCTACAGGAAATTGCTGAGTAGGACCATCTGGAATTGTCAAGTGTGTTGTCATTAGTTTGCTTTGCCTTAACCCATAAAGCCTTACATGTCTTGGGAGCATAATGCATCGCCTAGCCACAATCTACCCAGACACTGTTCAGCATCTGGGTCCTTCTTCCAAGTGCCAACTCTGAAGGAGGGCAGGCAACAACAGGAGGAAGGACTTTCTTTTTTGTGGCTTTCCATGTATGAGGCCCATTTGGCACCAACATTTTTTCAGTGCCAGGTCGAGATGGCTCTTTATGCTGAGGCATCTGAAGATATATTTGGATATTCAAAGGCTTGAGGGCATTACCCATTCCAGGTTTTTTTACAGGTCTAGACTTCATTGTATGCTTTAGCTTTTTCTAATTTTTCAGCTTAAAATGTTAAGATTTTATGGTATTTTATTGCATTTCTTTTATGAACTGTTGCAAACTGTCGAAAGAACTTTGATCATTCAGCAGTACAGAAATGAAATATCAGAATATTTTTCATTTGCAACTTTTCTTTTAAAATGGCTTAGAGCTGTGGGAAAGAAGCCAAAGTATGCAGTAGACAGTGACTCAGAACCTGAAGAGCCGAAAACACAAACTATAAAAAGTAAGTTTCACTTAGTTTTTTGAGATCTTAAGGAAATATTATTAGCAAGCAAAGCATATTGATATATTAACATTTTTCTTTTGATTTTCCCTCTAAAATGAAAGAAACAAAGCCAGCAACAAGAAAAAGAAGACAAGGTATGATACTTTGGCAATATATGAAATGGCACAATCAAAATTGTCAAAATGGTTAATAGTACCTAATGATGACAATTTTGGAAGCTATGCACAACTTAATATTGTGGATTTGCAACCTTAGCTTCATAAACGTGGGTAAATTATCAACTTTATTAACTGCTTATTTATCATAAGCCTTTTCTGGTTCTTCTCCCACTGTGTTTCCAATGCTTTTGAGTAAGTAAGCCCTGAGCAAGGAATAATACTCTTCTACCTACATTCCAGAAGTGAGGAATTCCTTTTAGCCTTGGCACCAAATTCAGTTTGAGAGAAGCTGGAGGGAACTGCAATCCAGTGGTGGGGTGGGGCGGGATTATTTATTTATTTAAAGCATTTTTGTGCACCCCCATTGCAGAAAGCCTTGGGGCGGCTTGCAAAGAGGATTGAAGAAAAGGGAAATGGGGCTAGCAGCATAGTGGGGCTTAGTGCAAGCAGCCAAGTGTTAGAAGAAGCATTACAGTATTTTAGAAAGGGGACAATTTTGGTGGCGGTTTGGAAAACCACCAAGTGATCAGTGGTTAGGAGAAAGAGGGTGGAGTCAGGGGATGAGATGTGGCTCTCTGGAGTTGCCTGGGGGACTGTATTTGCCCCTGGGCAAGGAACATATAAAACTTTGTCCTGTTGATTGGCGGCTAAGCCTTTCATTCTCTTATACTGTGAAAGAAATGCCTGCAGGCTTCTGTGTAGCCAGAAGTGCCTGATCCTGCCTAATCTTGGAAGCTAAGCAGTGTTGGGCCTGGTTGAAATCAGGATGTTGTGGACTGCCCAGAGAGCTTCAGCTGCAAGCGGTATAGAAATGTAATAATAACACATGCAATAATATGTAATAATATGTGCTATATACACAAGCATATGGCTGAATAACTTGGAAGTTGTGTCTTGAAATAATTGCATTTTGACTCAATTGCCTAGTTAAATTTTCAGAGAAACCATTTTGCAAATGCATATTCTTCATCTTCTCTTGATAAGCAGTTTCTTCAGACATTCAGGAAGATACCACATTTGCCTCTGCACTTGTAGAACCAACTGTTGCTTCAAAAAAAGCAAAGAAAAAAGGTATTCCAGTATGAAAATAATTATTACATTGTTCTTAAGCTATAGCTTCAAGTAGAATGCTGCAGAATACAATGCTATAACATTTATTTAAAGTTTTTATGTGCCATCCAATACTAAAAGTCTCTGGATGGCTTACAAACATTTGAAAAGTAGGGAGGAAGGAAGCTGAAACTGTGTGAAGGCATTGAATTCCCATGTAGTAGGGTAAAAACCCTGAAAACCTTACATATCGGTGTAGTAATGTTAGCATATAGTTGGTTGGTTACTTCTAGAAGGGGGTGTGTGGAATTACTGTCATGTAATTGCATCACTAATTGTGCGTTTCCTTGCTTCCAAGGTGTTGCAGCAGTACAGCCTAAGACAAGTCAAAGTGACAAGAATCTTAGAGCAACATTGATCATTTGTCCACTTTCGGTCCTAAGTAACTGGATTGTAGGTTTGCAATTGAAACAATTCTTTTTAGTGTTGGGCATTCACTAATTCTGTGAACAGCTTAATCTTTCTTTTTTCTACTTCATATTTTTTTTTTCAAGCAGAGTTCTGTTGAAATTTGGGAACACACACACACCCCCTTACCTCTTGCTCTGGCCAATTGCTCCCATTATATAAGAGTTTTAGCTTTGTTTTTATTTACTTTGAGAATGGGATGGGATGAAGGGGCTTGGGTTCTGGATCTTATGACACACAAGGCAGGGTGGGCAATTCGTGGGCTGCCTGCAGCCTCCATGGGCTATTTTTATAGTTGCTGCCCTCCCTGTTGCTAAATTTGTGAAAGCAGTAAACCACCCCAGCCAATTTTGCTGCAAAACGAGGCATGTGGAAGATATGCGGTTTGCTTTAAAGCAAAACTGTTTGTGTTGCAATTTTTGTAGCAGAGGTACAGCCCTTGCTGGATTTTGGAAAAGGAGAAAGTGACCCATAGAAGTTGCTGAAATGGTTAATAAGTATTGAAGTAGATTTTTAGCTTGCACAATAAGGGGAAAAAAGTGAAATGATAGTGATAATCATGACAATCATTTATCATTGGTTGGATCCAAAGGTTCCTTATGCAAATTGGAAAGGCTTCAGGGCATGCATGCTTTTTGCAGAATTCCCCCTGAAGCTTCCAATGCTATTCTGCAAAGTCCATCAGTGCTTAGGAGAAGCTTTTTAGAAGGGGTAGGGAGTAGAAGAAATCAAGACAGAGTCCTCTTTGCATGACTGCAGTCCTTTCTGCTTTTACAAGGTACCTTTTGGATACAAATAAGAAATTTAACACCTGTACATTTCTATTCAGGAACAAATCCATCTGAGTTCAGTGTGGCTTATTACTAGCTAAGTGAGTATAGGATTTCAGTCGAAATTGTGCTCCTTCAAATATTGGTTATGCTTTCAATCCACAATTTGCATGGCTGCACAAAAATTTGTTCAGCAACTCTTAAATATTTTTATTTTTCTATCAGCATAGCACAAGATTGATTGATTCAATTTATATGGCACTATCATAGCTCATGATTGGGCTTGCTTGTGTGACTTACAGTAATTAAAACAACAACATTCTAAATCAATAATTGATAGCTGATGCTCAGTAAATATTGTCATCTATCACCTAATCATAATGTTGCTGTAACTTTCATTTCAGGACCAGTTTGAACAACATGTTGATCCTTGTGTTCAGTTGAACGTTTATGTGTACTATGGCTCGGAACGCAGCAAAGATCCAGTAATGCTTTCAAGACAAGATGTTGTATTAACAACATATAATGTTTTAGCTACTGACTATGGAGTAAGTATAGTAAAAACTTGGAGCAAGATATTAGCATCTTTCAAATGGAAAAATGATTTATAGCTAATAAAAATATACTTTAGCTGGTATAATACTGAATTTTACTTCCTCAAACCAGTATCAGCATTTCCACAGTGTCACTTTTTGTTAGCTTAAAACAATTGTATCCTGCATTTTTGCTATGTGTAAAAACTGGACAGTAAAGAATGGTAACAGGAAGAAAAATTGATGGGTTTGAAACATGGTATTGGAGGAGAGCTTTGCAAATACTGTGAACTGAAAGGAAGACGAACAAGTGGGTCCTAGGTCAGATAAATTTGGAGCTTTCTCTAGAAGTAAAAATGACAAAACTGGCTGTCTTACTTTGGGCACATCACGAGAAGGAAAGATTCACTGGAAAAGACAATCTTGTTAGAGAAAGTCAGAGGACAACAAGGATGAGCAACTATAAGATGAACTGATTTCTTAAAGGCACATAAAGCTATTGAGTTTACAAGAGCTGAGCAGGGATCTCAAAGACAAGGATGTCTTGGGGAGAATTCATTCATAGGGTCACCATAATTTGGAGATGACCTGATGCCATGTAACATAGAAACAGAAACAGAGCGAGTCAGAAGAGGCCTCCCGGGCCATCTAGTCTGAGCCCCGGCTCCAGCCGGCTTCGCTCATCACATGCCCACCATGTGCATGTCCAGCCTATCTTTGAACACCCTCACCAATGTGGCCTCAACGACAACAACATACCATCTTGTAGTTTTAGGTTTTTAATCTTTGTAAACTTCCCGAAGAACTTCAGTTTTTGGGAACTTTAGAAATAAAATTACAGCAAATGAATGGGGGAAATGTGACCTAGTGTATTGTGTTGTGAAAGTGTGTATTTTAAATGTTTTTTAAAGTACTGCATCCATTTTTATTTTCTTCCAGTCTGGAGGTAATAGTCCTTTACACAAATTAAAGTGGCTGAGAGTGGTGTTGGATGAAGGGCACACAGTGCGAAATCCAAATACTCAACAAACAAAAGCTGTACTAGAACTGGATGCCCAGAGAAGATGGATTCTGACAGGTATTTATACCAAAGGCAGAAGTTTGCAGTGCTTCACAATTACTTGAGATTATTTTTAATCGATCACATGTGTATTTAATATCCTGTTGATTTCAGTAGGTGTCTGTGGTTTTGTCTGTACCACAGTGTGGTGTTATGCCTCTCTTTTGTTTTACACTCTGCAAAAATTGCTTTGGATAGGATTGTAGTTTTTTGCTTCCTTGTGGTAAGTTTCTGTTGCAGTCTCTCCCCCTTCCCTTCTCTCTAGTGAGTACCTGAGTAGCAAACTACAGTTCAAGGAATGGAGCACTTGCATGCAGTGAAGCTCTGTTAATGCTGCAACTTCTGCATGGAGTCCATGTTTTTATATGTCCCAGTCACATAAAAGATGAGCAGTTTGGGATTGGCTGGCACTGGCAGTCACCTGAGAGCCCTGTGGCTAGAGTAGCAAGGTGGCGCTCGCTCGCTCGCGCTCTCTTTCTCTCTCTCTCTTGCTGCTCCTTCCAAGTGGTTCTGTGGCTGATTCTTTTTTCTACTGTAGGGTCTGTAGTCTGGGTTTGGATAACACAGCAATCTTCTGTGCATAGAGCAAGCTCTGGGGGCAGCCCATGAGTTCTTGGAGTAGCTTGTTATTCTCAAACAAGACATCCTGGGATTAAATCATTTAATCCTGGACAAATTAGTCCAGGATTAAATGACATAACAACCCATCATGAGGAGCAGCATGAGCAGTAGCAGGAATTGATATGAGAAACTTCCTTACATTTCTAAGTTGCTGTCATGCATGCTAGGTTTCAGAAATTTTCAAAGTTTATGTTGTATCTGGCTTGAATGAATATTTTTGCTGGATTCATGTTAGATTGTCATCAGTATTGGACATAAAATAATTATGTATTGATTTTTCATAGTTGTATATTACAATTCACATTAATATTAAATGGTCAGTACATCATGTGAGGAGAGGCTTTAATGCATTTTAAGCATAACCAACAGGCTGTAAACTTGTGAGGTATGCTTATTTTTGTCTAAAGATGTTTCAGAAGTAAAGTGGATGCCACTTTTAGGCAAATGGGTTCCATCTGCATGGCAGCCTGCCAATGGTTGATGCAAAACTGCTATATTTCATGGTAGTGAGATAATGTAATACCTCACCAGTCGCTGCTTTTAAAAAATAATTTTAATTGATAAAATGAAAAACTTCATAATCCATCAGAAGTTTGATCCAAACAATATTGATAATACTGTGCTGTAACTGTATGTGTTTCCATCCACTTGCCAGCCTGGCAATCATTTACAGCAGTATTCTTGTCCCTGTACGAATAAATGTTTAAAATATGTGAAAGTGGTTTTACATAAGCTCATCTGGATGGAAACTGAATATTGTAGTCCAACTAATTTTTCAGGGATAATTTAGTGATTGTGATGGTGGTCCTGGTTAGTTTTACATAATATAAGCTGGCACTGATCTGTATGTAATGTATGGGTTGTCAGTAGTATGTGCTCTGTCTCCAGCATGTCCTTTCTGCTTTCACTTAATGTATTATCACCTTGTTTGTATGTTCTTAGCATAATGTCTGAACCTGGAAACTCGGGATTTAGTGGTTAAACAACATGGAGATAATCCATGTTTGTTGTTGGGTTAACTCTGTGTGGTTGGACTCCTATTGGGTGATATAGGTTATTAATTGAAAGCGGAAGTGAGAACTTCTCCTTTTTACCTCCAGTTTGGGGATACACAACCCATGAATTGATGGGCAGAAAATTGTTGCTTTCAAAACATGGTGTTGAGCTTTGCAAATATCCTGGACTGATGGAAAGACAGACATGTGGGTCCTAAATCAAATGAAGCCAAAATTTTCCCTGTAAGCAGAAATTACAAAACAGAGGCTATGATATTTTGACTGCATCATGAGAAGGCAAGACTCACTGGAGAAGGCATTCATGCTATGCTAGGGAGAGCTGAAGGCAGAAGAACATAGAAACATAGTGAGTCAGAAGGAGCCTCCTGGGCCATCTAATCTGACCCTTAGCTGCAGCCAGCTCCATTCATGTAATACCGAAGAAGAAAGGGAAGCCCAAATATGAACCCATAAAGAAAGCCACGGTCTTGAATTTAGAATTGCTTAGCTGGGCTGTCATGGAAAGGACACTATGGAGGGCTTTCATTCATGGAGTTGCCATGAAGGTAGAGATGACTTGAAAGCAGGTAACAACAGCAACCTGTGAATTAGCATTATGTACAAACAGGATACTTTGGTTCAGCATTTGAAAATTATACTTCTGCAAGTTTTAGAGTTCCTTTTACATGGATCTGTTTCATTGGCCCTCTCGTGACTTCTGCTTGACTTGCGTGAGGTTTAATCTGTGAAATATTTTGTCTTGTTCCCTTCCTCCATTTAGGTACACCTATTCAGAACTCCTTAAAAGATTTATGGTCTCTTCTATCATTTTTAAAGTTGAAGCCTTTTACGGATAGAGAGTGGTGGCACAGAACAATCCAACGTCCTGTTACTATGGGAGATCAAGGAGGACTTAAGTATGAATTGTTTCTATTCTGTATAAAGATGTTCTATAAAGAACATTATAGAGTTATATATAAAATATTATAAGTTATATATAAACTGAATTATTTATTGAGTATGTGATTCTGGGAGCATTAGCAGAGTCTCAAGACAGCCATAAGATTATTGAGAACTCTAGCTCTAACTTGGAGAAAATTGCTCTGGTTTAGGAGCTGGGTGTTTGAACTTGGGTGCTCTACCTCTGCCGTCAAAGCTGGTACAGAGGGAACCATGCCAGCTGTAGCTGGGAGGTCACAAGAATGAACTCAGCGGCTGGTTTTGTGGGCAGGAGAGAGGCTCTGCCGGCATACACAGTATTTTGCAGGTGCCTCAACCTCTCTTCTTTGTGTTCTGGGGCAAGACACCCAGATGGACAATTTTTGCTAAGTGTTTTGCAGGGAGGGAGAAGTGCAGAGAAGGACTTAACCTTAGTGTTTGATCCATCCTCCATAGGATGCCTGTAATTCTCCATATTGGATTGTGCTGTTAATGTCTTAGTCTTGGCCTCAGACAGCTTTCTCTTAAGGATCCATGACAATTTGAAACAATTACTAAAATGTACAACTGGATAAAAACAATTTCCATTAAGACACTGAAACATTAATAAAAATGTTGTGAAGAATAGATTCCTTTTAAAATTATTTAACAGAATGATCTAAATAAAACACAGTTGCAACTTTGCTAGATGTACAAGATTTAGCAGCAGAATGAAATATAAAATATCCTTGGTGTTAATACTGTTTTCTTTATACCTTCTTCCTATGTTTGCTAGGCGTTTACAATCTCTGATTAAGAGCATTACACTTCGCAGAACTAAAACAAGCAAAGTTAAAGGGAAGCCAGTTTTGAAGCTCCCAGAACGCAAAGTATTTATTCAGCATATTACACTTACAGATGAAGAGCATCTAATCTATCAGTCTGTGAAAGATGAAAGTATAGCTGCTATTAGCAGGTAAATAGTGCCAGCTCTTAAGTGGGAAAAGGATCTGTTAGGCTGCATTCAGTTGTCTGAGATATGAAAGCTTCCTTATTTGACTGCCTTACACTGGAATCGGGTAAATATGCATTCAGAAGTAAGCCCCATTGAGCTCAATGGTTCTTACTTCCAAGTAAGTGCATATGGGATTTAGCTTTTGTAGGTTCTGTTCCTATATGGAATGCACTATTAAGACAATTTAAAAAAATCTTTTGTAACATTTGAACAATTCCTGCATTCAGTAGCCAATACACTGTTTGTCTAGCGATAGTTTGACTAGTACCTATATAATCACCCTGGTAGTTTGTCATCTAAGAGGCCAATTTTCAGGAAAAGAACATTAACAAGAGGAGAGCAGGCTGGTGGAGAATATAGTAACATCTACAACTACTTGGTCTGTTCTAATTGAACACAACTTGTTAGGCAGAATGATTTCTTGAAGCATGACATGAGCTTTTGACCCTCTGATACAGTCTAATTAAGCAAATACAGTTGAATGTGGGCTTACAGCCACATGTGAAAGTAAGTTGCATTGCAAGTTTAAATTCAGTGCATTCCAAATTTTTTTGAGAAATAGGCCAACATAGTTTGCACTTCCGGTCCCAGGATCATGTGGTATCTAAAAATTCATAGCGCTATTTTCAGTGACTTAACTATTCAAGATTGTGCATTTTATTAGTACAAAAGGTTATATCTCAATTTCAGTCTTCAATTCATATTTAAAACAGGCATTATTGCAATTACTCTTCAATGTATATATAGAGTAAAATATTTTCTGTGGGTTTATTGTGCATTGCTTTAGTTCTGTATGTTTTGTCGTGTAATTTATTTCTGAATCGACACCACACTTTCATCAGTATCTCTGCTGCATGTGACAAAGGTTCTGAACATACGTCGACGTATTTTCTACTGCTTGCCGGTGGACGAGCAGAATTTTACTACCATTTGGTCAGGCCATTATGGAGAATAAAACTGAATGTGGAGGGTGGGCGTGGCCTACCTTGATATCCTGGTTTGCAGTTAAAGATAAGTCAGAGTTTTCCCTGTTTGGTTGGAATAAAAAACATGATTTACAGATTCCATGAAGGCATGGATGGAGAACAAATTTTCCCTCTCATGAGAAGGTTAAGTGGCCTTCTCATGGCCACGCCTCCTGAACTCAGTGCCCTCACCCCTCCCTTTTTGCCTGTGTCCGTGCCAAGAGAGGCATGGAGAAAAGGACTTGCCAGCACTGCGAAGAGTGGATGTGTCTCTCAGTGCAGGCGCAGCTGTGTGCACTGCATTATTCCATAGGGATGGTGCATGGCTAGACTTGCTTGTTACGATGAGGAATGAGTGCTGTGGGGAGGGAGGGGGTGCATAGGGGAGCTCCACCAGTGTCTTTGCTCCCACATTGAAGACAACATGGGATTCTTGTGGACAGGGCTTGGAGAACAGGATGTTAATTCTTGGTTCAGTAAACCATAGGTTTGTGCTTCCTAATTCAGGTACTCAAGCTGTGAAACTTTTGTTTTACCCCAATGCCAAAATTCTTCTTCAGGTATTTTAGTGAGGGCACTGTTATGACCCACTATGCAGATGTTCTTGGAGCTTTGCTCAGACTGAGACAGTTGTGTTGCCATCCACATCTCTGTGCAGGTGCATCTTCATCCAGCTCTGGGGAAGGTCAGTATCTTCATGCCCTCTTAAAAATGTAGTTATACCTTTAGTCTAATTCACTGAGACATACTGCTAATACTGTATGCTTGTGATTGAATTTGTTGCCTTGTATTTAATTTATCATGTGAGTAAAAATTGTGTTATGAATGTAATACCATACATGAGCTGCAACCATTTTAATTAAGTAATAAATGCATACTATAAAATAATGCATTTGTAAAGTAGTGGAAGACTGTATTTTTGGTACCTGCTTTTGGAAAAAGAAAAGTAGTCATTGCTGTTTCTGTGAAAGGCAGCTATTTGGGGTTGTAGGCACTTTTGGCAATTTGAGAAACCGCCATAAAATGACTGTCCTGGAAGCCATAGCTAAGCTCAAAGAACAAGTGATCTCCCAAAAATCTCTGGAGGCAGAGATGGGGTCTGACTCCCTACATACTTAACAACTTATTTGAGCTTTCAGCACCAATGGAATTGTATTTCACAGAAAGCAGATTTTGTGTTCCCATACCCTGCCAGTCAACTCTTTTCCCTTCTGTCATTTTCTTGCTATCATCCTGCTTAAATGCACAGACATATGCACACACATACACACCACACAATTCTGTCTGTCTTCCAGTGATTCATATCATGTGTGCGCACCTCCTTCTCTTCTTCCATGCAGGTTATGAAAAAACCACATGCTCTTTTTTCCAGAATCCTGTTGAAATCTCCCCTAAACTCTCTCTCCCTTGCTGTTTCTCACAATTATGTAGCCCTTTCCATTCAGACTTACAAGTGTACAGTCCTCTCTAGCTCCATCTCATAATGGCTACCTGCTGCACACCCTCACCGTTCCCCACTGGGATCTGCTATCTTTAGTGCCACTTCTCTAGTTCCACTTCCCAGTGGCTAGAACCCATTACTTTACTTTGATATGAACCCAGATGCTGGTAAGGTGATTTCTTAATTTTTTTAAAGGAAAGGTATAAGGCACCAGAAAAGGTGTCCAGGCATAAATGGATGCCTAGAGGAACCATGTTACCTATCCTTGTTTTAAACTATAACTACAGTAGCACATTCTGCTCTTACCTTTAAATGATGACATCTTAAAAGTATTTAAGTACAGTTGGTGAGTATATTCCTCTAATTTGCAAAATGAAGTTGTGAATGCCAGCAGAAATGGAACTAAGGTGAGGCTCTTGAGAAATGCAAGGCAGATACTGGGGTGGCCGGGAGCACATAAAGGTTGCAAAAGAAAGAAAAAATCTAGAAATGAAAAGGACAGCCTGCCTCTGCAGCAGCTCACAGTAGCTGTAGAGTGTTGAGAGTCAGCTGGAAAAGAAAAATGGAAGGCTGGGCTGGAGGATAAAATATACCACTGCATGGGGGCATCGTTAGCTGCCATGTTCAGCAAAGAACAATTCTGTTGGGTAAAATATATTGTGAACCAGTTTTGCAGAACCTCACTTGATTTTCTTAAATGCGCTACTTTACTATTGTTTTGCATCATATTTTATAACTAATCATGTACATACTTATGGCTGTGCTTTTGTGTGTTCATATGGGCAGATAATAGTACTCCTGAAGAACTGCGTGAGAAATTAATAGAGAAGATGAAATTAGTTCTGAGTTCTGGATCAGATGAAGAATGTGCTATTTGTTTAGAGTCCCTAAATGTTCCTGTGATAACTCACTGTGCACATGTCTTCTGCAAACTGTGTATTTGTGAAGTCATCCAAAAGGAGAAGGTTTGTTATGTTTTTCATTCAACTCCAATGAACTATTCTGAAGTGATGAGTATTTTGGACTGTTGTATAAATGCATCCAAAAATAATTTTAACATGATTCTCTTTGTGTACACTTTCAGTTTCTTGCTTGAACTTTAAAAATCACCTCACTTGCACGTACAGTAAATTGCATACAACCCTCTTCCCTTTGTATTAATATTCAGGGTACCATTTTGCATATTATCCTGTGCCCTTACATTTTTTGAACTTTTTGTGGTTGATATTCCACAGTATCCTTTACCCTGAATTTAGGTAGCAGCAACATTTTACATTTATTTTTTAAAAAGCTGACTTCATTGAATCTGAATTCCTTATTCATATGTAAAAAGAAAATACTTCTATTTAGCTTTTTCATAAGTCTGTTTCATAGAACTCATCAATTAACCTGAAAATCTGAAAAGAAGTATTCACTAGTGGAGCAGTTACCGCATCTCCAAATGAATTCATTCAAGAGCAATTCAATTAATGTTGCAAGTGAGCCAAAAGCTCTCTAGAAAAGAGGAAATTGATTCTGCTGTTCTCTGCAGGTTAAAACTCCCTATAATTTCTCAGAAGAGATGTCTACTTGAGCTGCACATACACATTTCTTCAAACATTTAATATAGATTCTTAAGTTAAAGTTCTCTGTTAGTGAAAGCTCTATTCTGATGGTGTTGTTAGTATAATAACACACAAGGGGTGAGTGGTTGGAGTTGAAGATAAAACTTTTATATCAGTGTCAATACTCCATGATATTTAGATGATTGGACAGTCAATTCTTATGTGTCAAGGACCCTCCATGATTAGAAAATGTGCCTTGTTGTGAATGTTCTGTCTTCCTGTACTCAGAAGAATGTCTTTATTCCTCAGTAGCATGAAGAGATGAAACACTTGAAAATAGCAGCCTGGTTACAGAATCGTCGGCTGCAGACATTTCTTTAGTATAATTTTAGCAAGGAAAAAATAAGATTGCAGTTAAAATAGGAGTCCTGCAGCTTCATTAAGCTCACTGGTAGCCAAATGATTTGTTACATAATTCACACTCTTAAAAGTGTACGTAAATTGAGCAATTGTATCTGCCAGCCTTCTAAATCAGAGCATATTCTGGTGCCATGCCCCCCCTTTTTTTTTTTTTTTGCTAAAAATTCCCCCTCATACTGTTTGTCCCTAGAGATACTGTTTACTCCAAACTTCTGCTTCAGGGACAAATAGCAACAGAGGAGGCGGTTCAGAAAATTGGCGAGGACCTCGCAATTTGCCTAGGGGACATTTTCCTCTCACAATAAAAGTGGCCAGTATAAAGCATCTGTCTTTTAAGAATTTGGAACTTAGCATGCAGTTTGACCCTATGAGGGCTTTTCTACTGGTGTAAGGTCATAATCGGTGTACGTGACTTGATTTGCAAAACATGCAAATGTTGTGACTCTTAAGATCTGTTGTACTGAAACGCCCCTCCACCCGTTTCTTCCAGCACCTGGTATGAAGCAGGACTATATTCACTATCCTCTTTTGGAACATAAGAGTACTGCAGCCTTGTGCGGCAGAAAGGTGGTGGTTTCTTTCCCTTAAAACATATTCCTATTGTGGGCTGTGTGGTAAATGCAGAAGGGGTGGGTACTGGCAGGCAGCTTGTCTGCCTGTGCACAACTCATGGGTTGTTGAACCAGTGGGTTGTCCTTGTGTGTGAACCAGGTCTTAAACCTTTAAACTTAGCTTATAAATGACATGGGGTGCCTTTTTCAGAAAAAATAACCTTAACATTTAATGTTTTTCAGCCAAATGCCAGGTGTCCTCTTTGCAGGAAAGAAGTTGGATTAGAGCATTTAGTAGAATGCCCTTTAGAGGAATCTGACAGTGGAAAAAAGGCTGACCAAGAATGGGTTTCCAGTTCAAAGGTAAATATCAGATCTGAACACTTTTGGTACAATATTTCATATACAAGCTCTTGGTGATTGTTGAAGAGAGTTTGGGTGTTATACTGCAAATAGTACAGTATGTGACTAAATATTAGCCATGATTCTGGGAAACCTGCAGCCTCCAACGTGGGACACTGAAGTTGTTGAATGGGTGGTTAATAACAGGAAAAAAAGCATTTGAATATTGGAACAATTTGTAAGTCGTAAATATGCTTGAAGGGAAACATCTAAGTAGACATTTTTAGCATTAATGAACACAGCATTTTCAAAATGTGTGGCAAAGTTCCATCACTTACAAGCAAACTGCTTTTCAAGGTGGCACAAAGGGCGCTGGCAGCTGTACAGCCAGTCTTGCCAATTTTCTTTCTTTGGCTTGCAGTACATTTGAGCATTTGTTGTCACTGTCTGTCTTCTTTGTGATTTGTGCTGCTTGCACCCAGTCTGGACCTCTTTTTTATGTGAATGGATTTTATTTAGGAGAAGGAAAATAATTGAAGGGGGTATACAAGTTTTTCACCTGTTTGTGTGTATTTATTATCAACCATCCTCTTGCTCCTTTCTAATGTTAATGCTTTTTGTTTGTTTTCTCTTTGGCAATTTAAAGAATTCACCCAGACACTCACATGGACTCTTTCTTTAGATTCCTTTCTTTTACCTAATTCTTAGGTTTTAAACTTTGATCCGTCTTTCTTCCTGGGGTAGCTATGTTGCTAGAACAGAGGAAGACATGGGATTATTCTGTATTCATGATTTCTCTTAGTCCTAGCCATAGTTAGCCACAATCTAAGAATAGATATTCTGCTTGAGAGAAGGGAAGGACAACCTAGGAAGGACACACATTGGTTATTTAGACATGCCTCTCTATAAGCAAGGTGGTAAAAAGTCAACTGGAAAGAATTATTACCTAGGAATAATACTGTTTTCAAATATGTGAATTCCTGAAACCCTGTTTCTGATTTTTCAGTGGATTCCATATATAACTATGTATTTACTTTCTAAAAGTGGTGTGTGTCAGTAGTCGAAATTGCCTCCCAGTGTTATGCCGCTAGATTTTCAAAGGAATAACTTTCTATATAAGAAACTAGATTGTTTTACCCAAATATTTGTGCACTATGATATTAATTCTTGTTTAATTGTTTTCTTTCAACTGCATGAGAGTAAAAACTTGACATGTAGTTATAGAAAACAGGAGAAGCTGTTGGCCAGTCTGACACACAATTCTGAAAACATGTAGGTGCCTCTTTGTGGCAAAACCAATCTAAAGAAAATTGTTTGTAAAATGGTAATTTTTGTTCTGTTTTTCAGATTGATGCATTAATGCATGCATTAATAAAACTAAGGGAGAAGAATCCATTTATTAAGAGTTTAATTGTTTCTCAGTTCACAAAATTCCTTTCTCTAATAGAGATTCCACTAAAGTAAGTAGAAATTGTACTTGCTAAAAAGTTTAAGAGGAGAAATGTAAATGTATTTTATCTGCTGTAATGTGAAGTTGTAAATTTGCCACAGAAGAACTTCATGCTTTAAGGAAAAACCAGAACTGCATTCAGAGTTCACAATATTATATAGAATGACTATGGTATAATAAAACCTTTTTTTTTCCTTTTTTTGCTTCAGGGAATCTGGGTTCGCCTTTGTTCGCTTAGATGGGTCCATGACCCAGAAAAAACGAGTAGAAGCCATTCGACAGTTCCAAAGCAATGAGCCTGGCTCTCCTACCATAATGCTGTTATCTCTAAAAGCTGGTGGTGTTGGTTTGAATCTAACAGCAGCTTCACGGGTATTTTTAATGGATCCAGTAAGTATTATCTGCTTAATTAGTGTGGCATTTAATTTCCATGCTTGTGTCACTGACCAGTACAGTTTGTTACTGGTAGCTCAGCCATGATGGGAAAAATAAAGGTCAGTTTGAATCAGCTGCTGTCCACTGTTATGTTGTGTTTGTCAATGATGAACAGCAAATCTTGGCTGTGAAGCTAAAACATATTAAAAATCTGTCTTCCACCAGCAAATTATTACACATTTTTCAGTAAAATCCTCTTGCCTCAGGAGTATAATGGTATAATTTGGAAATAACCACTTTGAAAACATTACTTTTGGAAGGGCTTAGCATGATTATCGATTATTTCTGATAGGCTTGGAATCCTGCTGCGGAAGACCAGTGTTTTGACAGATGTCACAGACTTGGGCAAAAGCAGGATGTTGTTATCACCAAGGTGAGAGCGGGCAATTATTTTTAGCACCTGTGATCATGTAAAAAAAGGGGAACTGTCAAATAATGCTATAAAATTTAGTGTCTCATATGTGGATCTGCTGTACAATGTGAGGTGGAAAGGGCTCTTGTTGGAGCAGAAAAGGGGGAAAGGCAGTTTGGAGGTTTACACTCTACAGTTTTGAGGTCTTCGCTGTATATGCAGAATAATGTTTCTATGCACATATGGATACTTGCTGGATTGAGATCCTGCTTTAATGAATTGCTGCAAGGAGAAATAGATTCTTGTTAGAAATAAAGGCAAATGATAGCACTATTTTCTTTTCCCTGTAAGAACGATGAGAGGGTACACAACTTCCTTCAACCAGAGGACTAGCGGCAAATGGAACAGGAGAAAAATCAGTATGTTTTAGTTTAAAGCTCTTGCAGTCAGTAACTAATCCTGAGAGATTTCACTCTCTCAGAACTGAAAAAGTAGTGGAGGAGAAATGTGCTAAACTAAAGCTGGGAAACCATTAATGATCAGCTGTGGCAGATATGGGAAAGGGGCCAGATTAGTTTATCAGGGGAACTCAGCGGAGGTAAGTTTAGGATCCCATGAGGGCTGCGTTTGGTCTTTGGGCAATTGACTTGGAAAAGTAATTTTAACTTTTAGCTGTTGTGTTTTCTTTTAAGTTTTTTCTGTTTGCTTTTTCTTTTTTATGTCATTAGTTCATTGTGAAGAACTCTGTAGAAGAAAATATGCTGAAAATTCAGAACAAGAAGAGAGAACTTGCAGCAGGAGCCTTTGGAACAAAAAAACTTGCTTCTGGTGAAACAAAAATGAATGAAATTAAGACCTTGATGGATTTATAATCTGAGATGTTAGTATTGGTCCTGTTTATGTTTTGAATTTGATATGAAACTTTTTGTTCAGTCAGCAGACAGAAGACCAAGATAGGTATCATGACTTCAAAAGCATTATCAAAGGTACATTCCAAGACATTCTGGAAATTTTAGGGGGTTTTTTTTAATGTATATAGGAATTTATCCTAAAACTGCTCTGTATGTACGGATTCTTCTAATGCATTGGTAGCCCTTTCAAATTTTCTCAGGTTGTATTTAGGTTATAAAGACAGTCCAGGTATCCTTAAAAAATAATATTAAAGGATACAGTATAACTTGCTTAGCAACATTGAATTTAGTTTGTGTTGTGTACAAGTTGTCAACAGCAATAGTAAACACAAACATACTTTTGTCCTCATTTCTGTGTTTCTGCTGTTGTTTATAGCAAAGCTAAGGAAAAGGAAATTGTGCACAGTATAGGATCAAAATTAAGTTCCTGATTTTTCACTTGCTTGGATCAAGTTTAAACGTACAATATTTTATCCATACAATGTTTAGTTCATAGCAGGCTTTTAACTTTCTAATTTGATTTCTATTCTAGTTTGTCAACAGGAGTTTTGATGTCTAAGAGTAGATTGAATTGTACCCATAATATTTAGCTAGTAAGTTAATTTGTAATAGACCACAAACCTATATGTGGGCATAAAATACGGAGGTGTGCATATTAGCATGTGGGGATATCTAAAGGATTCTAAACATACTTAGATTCTATGTTTAGGTTGATGCCCTTGACAGTCAAACATTTCCACACTTAATATGTTGCAGGGGGATGTTTATAATACCTTCATAGCTGTAGGCCACATGTGTTCCTCCTGCATACAGTTCATGTTTACTAGAAAAATAAACATTTGTCTGAGTTTATACTCTGCCTGTGTTCTCCTACTATCTGCTGGCATGCATTGCTCCAAGCAGTAAAAGATTCATATTTTAATACTAATTTTATTCCTGGGTAAATTAAATTATGGTTTATTCAGATTTTTGCCTACCCTGTTTAGCTAGATGTCTGTGTACTACTGCAAGGTATTCTGTAGTTCTGGTTTATACTGTACAGCACAGCCTGTGATTTTTTTTTAAGTGGAAATACAGATCCTGTTAGAGCTTGTTATCCAACTTTCATAAGATTGAAGATGATGTCAGCTGTCACACTGGTGGATGGTGTCAAGAAATTTGAAATAGAATTACAATATTGTGGCTAAAATTAGGAAACCTTGAATGAACTCAGAACTATCGGAGATGCTTGGGAGAGGCAACATGGTCTGAGCAGCTGAATTAATGGACTAAAGAAGCATGGCAGAAAGTATGCTATATAAAGATGGCAATTCTGCTCTTCCCAATAGCCTTTTTTCAGTAGTATCATGCTCAAATGCCTAACTAGATGGGTCATGTATTTGTCATCCATTCTACCTGTACAATGCGGTGGACTCTTGCCTTATATCACTGCCACTACTCAGTGGTGTGAAAAGTAATTCCTTTCTGAACATCAATTCTGTAGCCATTTCCCATGGAAAAATAGTAAGCAGCTCAAAACATGACATTTTCTAGTTGATAACCATGCTTCTGCTACCTCTTGAGAGGTGGTAATCTTCCTAAATTTTTTAATGAGTCAGCTTTGGGTTGGAAATGAAAATGTTGGTGACTAGAGCTGCCTGATTCATTTGGCGTTGACATTACTCACTACAGAAAGAAGTTCCGCGGTCTGTTGACTTCATATATTTGCTTGAGCCACCATGCATATGATTTAAGGACAACTGCAGCCTATTTCCCTGTAAACTTGGTGAAACAACTCACAAGGCAGGGTTTACATGCAACAGTCATGGTTTAAACAACTCTTTGTTAGTTGCTTGTTAATACCTCTTAGTTCCAGGTTTGACTATAAGCCATGATTCAATAAACCATGGTTATTTGTTCAATGCAGAACAAGTCAGTAGGTAACTTTTAAAACAATTAAACAAATTGATGAAAGATGACTTAAGCCATTGACCACCAAATGTCTAAGTAGTCAGAGGTAAGAACTTACCAGAAAGCAAAGCAGAAATTTAAACAATCCAAATTTATGTTAAGAAAATTGGGTGTTAGGTACACTAAACTTTGAGAAAGCTAATTCAGTGAGTTTAAGGACTACTGATACTATCTCACCCCACTGTCTTGACAAAGATTGCCCTGGCACATTTCTACAGTCTTATCGGGAGCTACAACAGCTTAGCACACATCAGTGATCATGTGCTATGGACTCAAATTGTACCTATGTAGCCAATTCTAGGACTCTGACTGGGTGGGGCTCAGTAGAAGCTGAAGGTAATGACATACTTTGTTCTACCTTTGAACCTCCACTGTGACTATAAGACATTTGAATCTGTCTCTCTTCTGACCAACAGAGGCAGTCTCTAGTTAAAAGGGCACTACTTATCTTTTGTCATAAAAATAGCTCTGTGCTTTAGTGATCTGGGCAAGATTAGTCCTGAACAAAACTGGCAATCAGTGCTCAAAACTACACCAATTACACCCAACTCGTTTGCATGCAAATACCTCATTCTCTAGGTTGGATCCAGCATTGAGTCTTCCATGAACAGGACAACTCTCTTCACCGAAAGTGCCTCTGACCTATCCCCTTCCTATTCTAAAGAACACAGCTCAACCTATCTAGCAGTCTCCTGATCAAACTTTTTCAGAGGGCTGCCTTGGAAAGAACAGAGGGAAATCTGTTTCTACTAGTCCCATTGTTGTTGTTAGTCACGAAGTCGTGTCCGACCCATCGCGACCTCATGGACAACATTCCTCCAGGCCTTCCTGTCCACCATCCCCCAGAGTTCACTTAAGCTCACACCGACTGCTTCAGTGACTCCATCTAGCCACCTCATCCTCTGCTGTCCCCTTCTTTTGCCATCTATTGTTCCCAGCATTAGGCTCTTCTCCAGGAAGTCCTCCTTTCTCATTAGGTGGCCAAAGTATTTGAGTTTCATCTTCAGGATCTGGCCTAAAGAGCAGTCAGGGTTGATCTCTAAGACTGACTGGTTTGCTCGCCTTGCAGTCCAAGGGACTCGCAGGAGTCTCCTCCAGCACCACAATTCAAAGGCCTCAGTCCTTTGGCATTCAGCCTTCCTTATGGTCCAGCTTTCACAGCCATACATTGCAACTGGGAAAACCATAGCCTTGACCATATGCATTTTTGTTGGCAGGGTGATGTCTCTGCTTTTTAGTATGCTGTCAAGATTTGCCATAGCTTTCCTCCCCACACAAAGGCTTTAGCATAGTCAATGAAGCAAAAGTAGATGTTTTTTCTGGAACTCCCTAGCTTTCTCCATGATCCAGCGTATGTTGGCAATTTGATCTCTAGTTCCTCTGCCTCTTCGAAATCCTGCCTGTACTTTTGGTAGTACCAGTCCCATGGTGCACCCTTAAGTTGGGATCCAATATTCCAGGATTTGGGGAAGGGGAAGATGCTTCACATCTCAAAAGCATATTGTTCAGGTTGTGAGGTAAGTGTAGGAAGTAACCCTGTAGTTCACTTGACAGCTTTGAAATGCTATAGGATACGTTGGATTCTCAGATCAAAGGGGAGAGAGAACACTGACCTTGAAACAGAGTGAGAAGGGTCCTCCTGGGCCATCTAGTCTGACCCTTGGCTCTTACTGGCTCTGCTCACGTCATGCCTACCATGTTCATGTCTAGCCTATTCTTGAACACCCTCAGTGATGGGGCCTTAGCCACTTCCTGGGGCCAGAGCTTGATCCCCCTTCCCAAGAACTGTATTGGCTCCTCTTCAGGAAAGTGATCCAGTACAGGGGAAAGCAGCATTTTGGTGGCCTAGGAGGGGATGTAACTGGGGAGGCTGATGCAAGCTATACTGAAGTTTCTCTGGTTTCCTTTGCTTTCCCCTCTGAGTTACTCCAGCTAGACAGACAAAAAAGCCCATCTAGCAAAATTTGCAGGGGGAGTAATGGGAAGGCAGTGGTTGCCCCAACTACACCTGCTTCACATAGGATGCCCCTGTGCCTCCTAGTCTGGGGCTTACATGCATTGCAATAGGCTTGTACCCATACCATTGTGTGACCAAGAGAGGTGCGGCACATTCTATTTTAATGAGAGCTCAGCCAGTCACTTATGCAACAAGGTAAAGAAAATACGTCTACAGCTAGGTAGTAACACTAAGGAGTAATGCCATTCCCTCAGAATCAGTAGCTTGCTTTCATTTTTTTAACTAGAAAGTGCCATTTTATATATGAACCAAAGAAGAAAATATAAACACATAACTTCTTTTCCTCCCAACACCTACTCCCAGCTACCCAATTCAAGGAGAACAGAGCACAAATTCTGACAGAGTGCAAACTTAATGCCTAAGCAGCACTGTTTAGGAATATGAAGAACTCTCCAAGCTTGTGTTGACATTGTCTACAAGTGCAAAGTAGTAGGTCTGAGACAGACACAGATTTTAGTGCCAATGTCAAAGTTGAATACAATAGAATTTTACCATTATTTTTTATTTTGTATTTAGAGTGCCATATTACAGGTAGCAGTTCAAAGGGTGGTTGTTTTTAAACTAGGCCCAGATATATACAGAACTGAACAAAAGCATTTGCCATGCTGTAGGTACCGCGCATAGAAGTCTGGTCAGAATCTTCGATATGGCTGGAATTGACAGGGAAGCAGTGTTGTTACAGTTAGGATGTTGCATGTCTTTGTGTCCTCATCATAAGGCACCCTCATTGTAGCTGCCTTAACCTCTAGTCCTTACATTAACATAGCAAGCAAAATGTGGTTTGGGTGTGCAGGCCAGGAGAGGTAAAGCACAGTCCCTATGGGTCTAAGGAGTATGTTTCAAGCCAGTTGAGTGCCCTGATCCCAATGAGTTCTTTGCAGGCATGTTGGTTAGCTTTTGTGCAAGAGAAAAAGTTCTGGCTGTTGGACACACAATTGGCACAAGGAGTCATACTTTAAACAGCTTTTGCTCAGTTCTTACCTGTGGTACTGCCAACAGACTTTAGCTGAGCAGCCGCAAAGCTGCTAGCAAGTTTATTGACCCTATCTGACTTTTCTAGTTGCTATAGCTCTGAAACAAGTCCTTGGATTGCTGATGTCTGTAGAACAGATACAAGTGTTTCTACTGGAGGTAGGTATCAAGTTTTTTCTTGATGTTGTCAAAGCTGTCTGCGCCCATATAGTCAGCCTGACCCTGCTCCCATCTTTCTTTGCGCTCCTCTGAGGACATAGCTGGCGGCGACGGTGGGGAGGGCGGCAGGGCTGCAGGTGAAAGCGACAGGTGGGAGACCGCCTCTGCTACCTCTTCCTAAAAAGAAGGCACGAGTGAGTGGGAGTGGTCCGAGTACGTCACTGCAAAAAGGGTAGGTATAAAGCCACAAAAGCAGAGGGTAGGAAAACCATCAAGAAGTTCCCATGCAAAGCAGCAAGCACCATTTGCACAATTTATGGAGCTGTTACAGTAAAGGAATAGCATGTCTAAGTCAATGAAACAGCAGACAAGTATTTAGCAACAGGTTTAAGTTCTTCATACCTCTCTACAGAAGCCACAAGAGAAAGCCAGTGAATAGACCAAGCCCGATAGCTGCAAATAGTTCATTAGAAAGTTGAAACAGGAACAAAAAAGCAGAGCTCAAGAACAAATCAGTACCTTTGGTCTCAGAAAGGTCTAAGAACTTAACTATTTATTTTCTGTATACCAAGTTTCAGTAGTCAAAGCTGTATATACTTCATGCATTATTGGACTGCATGCACATGAAGTAAAGATGAGTTGTTTGGACTAGTTAGACATAAGGAAGGACTGAGCCAGGGAGTCATAGCTATTCTAGTTTCAGGCATTAGTTTGGATCTTCTGCCAATGCAGCAAAATTAAGATTATGATGACAGGTACAATGCAACTATTCAGTTTGCCATAAGAGATTAGAGATAGATGGTAATAGGGAGTAGGAAGTGGATGTCCACTGGTAGACATATTTCAGTAGTTTTTTCATCTTCTACATTGCTGCAAATCATGTTTTAGACACAAATTTGTATATATGATGCCAAGCTGTTTATAAAGCATGAAGCTTTTCATGTATATTCCAGTTTAATGCTGAATTCTGCTGAAATCTGAATGTTTCTTAGCAATACACTAAATGTCAGTGTAAGCTTTCAAAAGCGAGAGTAAATTCCCCTACTAGATCTAAAGGAATAAACTACTGGTATACAGGAGCAAGTGATGGTGGCTGGGGAATACAAGACAGACTAAGCCTGCACCCCATTTGTTCACAAATAGCAATTATTACCAAATAGTGTCCAGTCCGTATATGGCTAGAGAAGAGTTTCTGTAAGCCAACTACACAGACATTTGGATAGATCCAAGCCAGACAATTACAGTGATCATGACACCACTAACATCAATCAGCATTTCCAGCTAATGGGAGAAGAATAATTCTAAGTTTCTTGGGAAGGATTCAATCACTGCTTCAGTTAGTGGGCAGGCCTGTGTGTGCCCTTCTACAAATATTTGGGACTAATCTGGCTAAAACTGGTTTGTGCTGGCAGGTAGAAAGATGCAGGGGCTGGGGCTTGTGATTTTAATTAACGCAACCCTACCTCTTACCCCATAACCTGATGGATGGATTAAAAGCAACCTCCTGCCTGCCCACGCCCCACTTTTAACATTTCTCTCCACCCTACTCTTCTTCAAGAGGCTGGTTACTCTTGAATTCATTTACACAGGTCTGCTTGAGTTAGTGTTTAACCTCTTGTGTGAGGTACAGTGGTAACCAGTGTTTGGTACTACAGTAACCAAAAGTCACAGCCCTGAGCCAGGATGCTGGACAAAGGGAAAGGCAAACCCACTTTGGCCACAGTCATGTCCCTAGCCAGCTCCTTTAGTAGCCTTGCTAGTGCAGGACTGCAAGCTGATCTTGTAGCAACCATGCTAGTTTCACACCAAGTCAGTTCTAATGATCAACAGCCAAGTAATGGCTCTCCGCAAGCATAACTCTTCTCACACCTCAGCCAAGGTAGAGATTATATGAATGCAGAAGACATACCGCCTTCACACCGGTAGCTGTGTCTTTAATGGCACCGTGCTGATGTAGCAATGGCAGGATGTTTGTGACATAAGTATTCCACCACATGTTGAGGAACTCTGGATGAACCATTGTGGGATCTTGAGCATCTTCTTTGACACTTTTGGCTTTGGAGTCATATGTGTAGTTCCACGGTTTCATTCTCCCCAGGAAGTGCACAACTTTAGCATTTGTCCCAAACCTGTCAGAAGAAGAATAGTTCTGCCTGATGGGTGGGGAAACAATATATTTTTAAGACATGGGCCCTGAATGGGTAACTAGCATAAGTTGCTTTGATTTTTTCAAAGCAACAAATATTAAAAAGCAGAGTTTCATTTTGAAATGCACACATGCACACTTTATAACTGTCACATTTCTGCTCATGCGAGCCTCAGAGCCACATACTATTAGAAACAATACCATAATCTGAATGAAGCAATCTTTAAAACAGGCCTCAATATCTTACTACCCTGTGAAGCCATTGAAAGAACATCCTTTGACGGAGATGTTGGGATAACTACCAACTGGAGAAACCATTGAACCAGGAAGATGAATTGAACCTTTTGAAGTGAAATTTTGCACTTGGGCAACCCAAGAAAAACTTCAGGACTGTGACCTGTTTTATGCTACACAAAGACTGCATAATTAATTCTTCAGTTTGCCATGTGAAGAACAAGTAACTGTGCAAGTCATTAAAACTTTGCCTGACAAATTTAAGTTGCCAGTCAGCCCCAGTTTGGCTTCTGAAGTTTCAGTAGTCTCTTGCAAGAATCCATGTACAACAGTTATTCTCAAGGCTGCAGATGATTTAAAATCAAGGAAGTTGGTTTTTTGGAATACCGGGTTTTATGCCCAGATTCAGCACTTTATCTGTATTTCTACATCATCATGCAGTGTACCTGATTTTCATTACATACATTCAGATGGTGAAGTGCCTATCAGTTTGAAAGCAAAATGGAGTACCCTCAAAAAGAGTGTTTTCTACATGTTTAGGGCTAACCAGGTATGCAGATGTATGCATATTAGACTTCAGGAAAAAACCTTGAGCATGCACTTACGAACTTTCAGAATGTTGGTAGCAATTGAAAGCTCAGGAATTATATATTAAGTTGTCCTATGGCCCCTATATATTTGCTTGCACTGAACATGGACAAAGCTGCTGCATGAAGCCTTTGGTCAACTTGCTTTGCTACCAGTGGCATCACCAATGACCTTGCCTCTGAGCAAGGAGTTCAGGACTGAATGCAACAGGAAGGACTACATATTTAACAACATTTAGCAACATCATCTATAACAGAAGCTGCTGGGCATTGAGGGTGTTTGGATTTAAGGCACAACTTCAGCATACAATTTGTTCAGGAATTTACTGCAACAGTTAAAACCTACTGCATGTACCCACAATAATAAAAAATAATTACAGCTTTACTTAAAAATATTTTCAATTTGAATTCGTGTGTCTACAAGTTGCTTTCCTCATTTCATATTACATTTTACAACCGTGCTATTGCTATTATATACTGAGTTTGGTGAATTGGGAAATGCAATAATTTCTGGAGTCTCTAATAGAAGCCTTAACTACTTTGAAAAGGTTACCCAAGTTAGACCAGCAGCTGTTACAGACTTCACATCAACTCTGATCTCCTTTCTTATTAACAAATTATTTAGCAATTTTGAATATTTGGACAAGCTGCAGACATAATGAGGTATCTAGTCCTAGAACTGGCCTATGCAGCTGTGGAAACTTGGCCTTGATTGTATGTTAACCAAGTAGCCAAAATCAGATTAAGAGCAATGGAAGGGCTGAAACTAAGCTAGAAAAGGAGTCATTTGTACACCCTGCTGCAATGTGGGAATGAGCTGTTAAGTTGCTCCGATGTGTTGGCATGCAAAACCATTCCGAATCAGTTACACAGTGTGGGGTAGTTATAAAACAATCCTCAGTGCATCTGACAAGGAATCAGGCTCAGTGTAGCTTGTTCTCTCGTTCCTTCTTCCTGAGTTGTCCGGACAGTATTTCAGTGTCCTTTGAGGAAGATCTTTCCTTTCCCTCCCTGTTGCCCCCTTTTGTGCACAAATTAGCCCCTGTACCGTTTTTGCCTTGTCAGCCTGTTTCTTCATTGCTCAATAAAAGCTGCCACATACAAGACCATTGACAAAATAAGCCTACTTATCAGACAGATCGAAATGTGCACTTGTGCTCCTTCTAAAAGCCTAACAATAACAACAAACAATAACATCAAAGGATGGTTCAGTTTTCTGGGACTGAAAAAAAAGCAGTGAGCTAGTGATGGTTACTCCAAAGTGCCTCTTGGTATCAGTGAAGGGGCTGTCACTGGTGGCAGCCCAGGCAAGATCCCAAAATGTGGCAGGTGCTTTTCCTTGTCAAATGGAGAATTAGGTAATTCCTGTAACTCACAACGAACTTTCTCTGCTTGGTTTGTGAAATAATGACACTATCATGGGTTCAACAACCCCTAGGAACAGGTCATGAATTATCCCCAACTAAGCCACCCTACAGGAGCAGTTTGGAGTTGGACAACACGACAACTCACCATGGCTAATTACCTATAGTGGGTTGTCATGTCATATAAAACAGGTCATTCTTAGGTGCATTTGTTACATAACAGACTTTGAAAGTACCGTGCATATATACACACACACATATATATCTGGCCAGGGCAACTTCTTTTATATTTTATATTTTTATTTATTTTATATTGTTAATTTTAACTTTATATTGTTATTTTTGTATTTTATTGTATTTTATTGTGTTTGTAAGCCGCCCCGAGGCTTCGGCAAGGGGCGGCATAGAAATGTTCTAATAATAATAATAATATGGGACTTTAATATATTTTATTCACTGATATATTCCTTTTTTTAAATGAGCAAAAAGCTACCTGGACATCTTTGGAACTTTGACATCATTGGAAAAAGGGCTTAAAAAAACCTTTGGAGGTAGAAATCCACACTTGTTTTTGCTAAATCTCTTTTCCTTCCTAAAAAGCCAGCAGGATCAGATGTGATCATAGCAGAATGTAAAATGTATCACGTGCTACAAGTTAGAGCTGTTTGGCACAGCTTGAACACCCTGCCCTAGGGATACCTTGTATTCAGCTTCTTCCCTGAAGCTACCAGTTTAGCTGAAGGAACAGTTTTGCTTAGCTATTGCTAGATAACACCCAAACTGACCTCAAGCAGTGAACAGGTGGAATGTACAGTTCCTTGTTGCATGATTCAAACTGAATGAAAGCTGTAAAATACATATATCACAATACTATTGACTGAGCCAGATATTCTCTCTCTACCAGTCACTCAGTTTGCATTAGCTTCCCAAAATAAATGTTCTAATTTTAACTTGACAGTGCCTCATATGATGCTTAGATCACAAGACATAGCTTGAACCTGAGCCACCAAAAGCAGTGCTTAGGTTAGCTGCTCCATTAAACTCCAGCTACTTGAAGTTGCCTAGAGACTAGTTCATACAATTCTCCATTTACTTCTGGATCTATGAGTGGCATGGTCCAGAAGATTTACCTTTATTTATGTTTTCCCTAGAGATTTAAAATAAGCAAACAGTGACCATTAGTCAGCTTTCTGTATGAAATGCTTGAGTTTGCCAGAGAGTTGACAAGCTATCCAGCTGGACTACTTCAGAGAAGGGAAACAGATATGTCTTGGACTTTACCCATCCTGCAGGCATTTTCATTAAAGGACATACACTCTTATCAGAGCAGGATAAGGTCTCAGAATGGTAGGTGATACGGGAAAGTAGAAGTATTGTATCCTAGTGACTAGTAAAAAATGCCAAACTGTTCCTCAAAGTTTCCAGTATATTCTTCCTCACAAGATGCATTATTTGACTTCTAAAATGTCTTAAGATTATATTGAGTAGAAGACATATGCTGAATGCATTTCTCCCTTTTCTTGTCTCCCTATAACCATTTTACCATCTGGAGGCACAGAATCCCATGCTGGATTTCTGTAGAGATGCTGCCTCAATTCACTCTTTCCAACATGTTCAGATTATTTTGCTATAGCTCATTCTTCTCCTGACAAGGGCATCAGGAGTCTTAAGCCAAGTCTGGCTTAGCCTTTGGACAAATGGAGAAATGATCAAAGAGGTCATTCCAACATTGCTTCTTTCTGCACAGAGATGGTGAAGCAGCTCCCATATCAAGAGTATGGTCAGAACTCATGGGCCACATGGGCAGTTTTAGAAAGGGCTATGTCATCATGGGGAAGAATTGTGTACTCTCACGTGTGCTGACAGGGTTGTCAACAGCCCAGGCATGGAAGTAAGCAGACCCCACTGCACCATCTCCCATGCTATGAGGCAAGATCTGGATGAGTAACAGAAGCAACTAGTTATATTAGTTGCTCAATCGTTGGCCTTGAGGCCTGTCATATGACAAAGGAATAGGAAAATGTCCTGTTTGCCAACCTCTAGAGCTAATCCACATGGATTAGATACTTCATTCTGAGCTAGTAGATACCTACTGGTAAAATTAGGCTATGAATCTTTTCTTCCTATAATAATTTACTCTCCTAACATGTCACTAAAACTCTTTATGATTCCCATTTTGATTAGATCAAGTCTTGTCAGATGGAGCCATGCAAAAGCAAGTAGTAAGAATGTAATTCTTCTGACCCATCTCTGCTTTGGGAGCAGTCTTCACACAGCATGAACGAAGACCACACACATTTAAATGAATGGTGAATCTTGCACAACTTGCCTATTTACATTGTGTGTCCACTTACGCTTTAAATGCTGGGAGGTAGGAGTAGATAGAAATACTGCTTAGGTTATAAATAAATGGCAGGTGCTTGTTAATGTCCGTAGTTGCCCAACTGCTGAAGAAGGTGTTTAGTAAGCCCTGGTCCCCACCTAAAAAAGAAGGACACGAGGGGATTAATAGGAGCCATGAAAGGCAAAACTGAGTGACTTTACCACAAATGCATTCTCCCTAATGAAGACACAGGATCCTGGTCACTCAGACTACTAAATTCTCTGCAAGCTCCAAGGACTCACGGATGTAGTATTTCTACTTCGAGAGTCTTGGCATTCTACCTAGCCCAACTGCTTCAGTGATCTGCAAGAGGGCTGTGCACAACAGACAGTATGCCTTCAGATTATTTTGTAAAGCAATAAATAGCATGTTGCATGGTGGTCGTTCATGTCTCTGGGCCTCTGCTATTGCCCGGATATACCCAGCCAAGACTGGAGAGCAGCAAGAAAGCAACATTACAGTTCAAAGTAGCATAGCTTCTATATAAAAATAGTCAGTTGTTCTGATAATATTTGGTTCCAAGGATGTATAAGAACTTCATTTCCATTCAAGTTAAGATCATAGCTTGTCCAGTTCACAACCCTAAAAATATTTTGTGAGCAAAGGTCACAGATTTTGAGCTTGCGATGCTCATTCACAAAAAGCATACTTTGGGAAAATGTGCATTTTAAAAATATGTATTATAGGAAAATGTGTTTTTCAGGGTTTTGTCAAGGGAGGGAAAGAATGCATTTTGGTTACACTTTTACAAATATGCACCCAAATGCCCGCTTTCTCGCTTGGAACAGGAGACACGAAGCTTTCAGTTGAGAATGAGGTGAGCTGAGGCTTGAGGTGGAACTCAGAAATAATCAATGAGTCCAATCCTTAGTGATTTTCCAGTCCGGTTTAAGTATTTAATGCAGTTATTCATTGAACCAGTAAAGCTGTGGAAAGGAGAAGGGAAAAATCCACAACAGAACTTGGCTGTCAAAGCAAATTTTTTATATTATTTTCTTAATAACCTATGCCATCCTATTCCATTCCCAAATGTCACCAAGGCAAAGTAATGCCCATCTAAGGTAAAAGAAAACCATGAGAACATTAAAATAGCACATTAATTTTAAATTAGGTCCAGGAAATGCCTTTTAACACCATTTCCAAAAGTCAGTAAGGTGGGGACCAATTCTCATTCTGGAGGAGAACCAATCCATTTGGACTGATGCAAAAGAAAGCCTTTTCCTGGATGCCTAACAAATAAGCTTCTGTGAGCATCAGTGTCTTCACGGGGATCTCTCCACAATCCTTAGCCAGGCCAAAAGCTATCCTATCCAGGGCTTTAAAGATTTGAAAGACCACTTTGAACTGAGCCTGGAAAACAAGCAGCAGTTGGCACATCTTTTAATAATGCTGCAACTAGGTTTTAATAATGCGTACAGCAGACTGCTGGCAGTATTTTGCACAATGGAGTCTTCTGGATGCTCTTCAAAATCAGGACTATGTACTGTGTTTGCAATAATTCAAGCAGTTCAATTTAACCGAGGCATAACTGCCAAATCAGATTGACTCAGGAAGATTTATATCTTATACATTACATGTAGTTGTCCAGACATATCTCCCCATTGAAGATCTAGGTACATGAGTATTTGGAAGCTAAAGGACATGATCTTCCAGGAAAATGCAACCTCCTCCTCCAAAGATAAGCTAGATCCCAATCCCTGAGTCAGTTTTCTATTAACCAGTTTGTTCACCTGCGCCCAGCCCAAACTGCTCCCTTCGTATTAGGTGATAAGGAAGAACAGAATTGGGTGTCAACACCATACTAGTTTTTGAAGTTTATTCCAAAGCTCTGAACCACTCCCAGTGATGTTGTATACCTATGATTTTGGCTGGTTCTGCAGGTTATGCCTGATAGAACTTGTACACAGGTGAAGCCTGGCTGAGTTTTTAATCTATGGTTCTCAAGCAGTCATAATAATTATTTGGACAAATTGAATAACAAGGATATCAGATGGCAGAAACTAAGATAGTGGTAATCTCTAATAACAAATCGTGTTAATAGCTTATATAAATAAGCATTTTGCACTACAGGGTAGTGCAAAATTGTGGGGGTACTACAGGTTTTATGGTTCTGTCAGACTAATTTTTTATTTTAGCCAAAGGGCATTTTTTATTATCTACAGACAACTGCTCAGATCAATTTCATTATAAAAGACGCCAAGATTCAAAGATAAATTATAACATACTAAAAATGGAATCTGGTGACAAATGCAGGAATTATTCGCTAGGACAGTTATCAACTTTTAAAATTTCATTCCCATATGGACAAGCTGTTCATGCTATTCAGGTTGCATAGCCAGGAAAGTAATCTTAAGGATAGATTATTGGGCACATGGGAAAGTAGCCCAAACCTCTTAATTCTGATTTACCATATTATCTGCTTGAAAAGAAGTTTCTAATAGGCACATTTTTTAGAAGTGGCATACATATTTAAAATGATGGTGAAATATACACTGTAGTGTTTGAGGTCCTTTTTATATAGCTAGAAAAACTACACTTTTAAGAAGTGTATTACATGGTTCCTTTCACAAGCAGTACTACTATTCCAGGCCCTTGTCACAATATGGAACAGCAAGGTCAGTGCGCCATTAACATGTGCATCCTTCTTTGGTCCTGTGGAGCTCTGAAAGCTCCTTCATTTACTGGGGAGTTCCTGACAATGAAAAAGGTCAGATGATGGCTGGAGCACAAGCAGGGTAAGACTCACCATGAAGCTGACGGAACATCTTTGAGAATGTATCATCAAGCCTACTAAGGTTTATTTTGCTGCTTCCACTGCTTTCATCTACCTCAGGAATCCAGTACTGGCACTCTTGAAAACTTGAGTGCTGATACTGGAGTCATTCAGAGGAGAAAATTGGCCACCTTGAAAGCTGAGGAGAATGCTACAGCTGCTAATGGAGAATCTGCTGAGGTGCTGAGTACATCTTATCCTCTTTTGTGGGATCAATTAATATCTCCCACCCAAGTACTAGCCCAGCCTGACCCTGCTTAGCTTCTGAGATCAGACAAGACTGGAAGTGTTCAGGGTGGCCATAGGTGTTAATATCTATATGAAGCTTTTAGGAGGAATAACTAGGAGATTTAGGAAAAGGTGTCATCAGTACTCTCTCTCTCTCTGAAATCTGAACCAGGAGAGGCTGTGTGTGTTTTGAATCAGTGGCTGGATACACTTATGGTTGGGATGAGGGCTAATAAACTAAAATTAAATTTGGGTAAGACAGAGAATCTGAGTGGGCAGTTCAAGTTCAGGAGCAGAGCTGTCTGCATATCCTGGATGGGGCTGCTCTTCCCCTGAAGAGGCACAGGTTTGGAGTTCAGGGGTCCATTTTATCTCAAGTTGGCCAGCTGATGTTATTGGCCCAATGTGCCAATTAACAACTTGCACCAATTATGCCCATTGCTGGATCCATGCACTAGTAACCTCATAATTGCACTCTTGTAATACATATGTAGAGCTGCCCTCTGCCCACATGCTGCAGCTAGTGCAGAATGTGGGACATCCAGTTATGCTCACATAGCAGTTGTACCAAATGAATGACACTGGCTGCCTATTAGCTACTGGGCCAGCTACAAGCCTATATTATCATCATACAAAGTTAACTGATCAAAGCAGTAACTTATGTGCTATTGGAGATGTGCACTCCTTACTGTGTTGTCTAATTGGCAGTTTAGACTATTGCATTGGGCCTGTGCTGTGAAAATCCAGCCCTGTCACTGAAAGTATAGGTCTGCTTAGCAAAAGTAAAGTGCTGCCCCTTAGTTACCTTGCTTAGCTCACTCTTGTTTTTTGGCCCTGGGGAAGATGGCCAGAGTATGAACATGCAGCTGTCCTCTGTTTTGAGATAATGCACCTTATCAGCAGTCACTAATGAGCTTATGCCTTGTTATATACTTAGTTTAATTAGTTGATATTATTGGATTCTATCATTCTGGCACGCGAAGTGGTAACAGGACTCTGTTGTGAGAATCTTGACTGACACTAATGGAAAGCTTCAGGTCTTATGGCCTGTGAGGATGTGCTATAGCACTTCATGTGCTACAGCGTACACTGATAGGAAGCTGCATATAGTGTACTTGTCAACTCACTAACAAGTAAACAAGTAGTTCACGCTGCTTAGATGCTGTACCTGTGTAGCAGCCAGCCGCTTTCCCATGAGTAATCTATCTGAGCTGGGCATTTCCCCTTGTTTCGTTTGGGGTACTATCTTGGAGGGGACTTTGCTGACCATTCCAGCTGACTAGACCCTGCCTAGAGGCTTGTCCATGCACAGCGTTGTAAGTGACTTGCTTGCTAAGCCCTTGAAAAGCTAGCTAGTAATGCGATTGTTTTCACAATAAAGTCTCCTTGTAAGCAAACCTAGACCTGGCTTACTAATTTTATTAATTAATTAATTAATTAATTAAAACATTTCTATGCTGCCCCATTTGCCGAAGCCTCGGGGCGGCTCACAACATAAAATTAAAATACAAGAAATAACAATATAAAATAAGTCACCCTGGCCAGATAAAATAAGCAAATAATATTAACAATTAAAATGACGCTTAAATAAAAAGGTCTTCGCCTGGCACCGAAAAACAAATAACGACGGTGCCAGGCGGACCTCTCTGGGGAGCGCATGCCATAGATTGGGCGCCACCGCAGAGAAAGCCCTCCTCCGAGTACCTACCCTTCTAATTTCTTTCATGGAGGGTTCCCGGAGAAGGGCCTCTCCTGCAGATCCCAAGGGGCGGGCGGGCGTATATGGATGTAAGCGCTACTTCAGGTAACCAGGACCCAAGCCGTTTAGGGCTTTATAGGTCATCACCAACACCTTGAATTGGGCCTGGACTTCAATGGGAAGCCAGTGAAGCTGACGGAGGACTGGAATCATGTGAACATAACGCCCAGTCCCTGTCAGCAGCCTGGCAGCTCTATTTTGAACCAATTGAAGTATCCGGACCGTCTTCAAGGGTAGCACCATGTAGAGCACATTACAGAAGTCAAGGCGGGAAGTCACCAGCGCATGTGTCACTGTTGCCAGGCAGTCGTACTCCAGGTAGGGGCGCAGCTGATGAATCAGCCGAAGCTGAAGGAAAGCGCTCCTCGCCACTGCTGTCACCTGAGCTTCCAATGAAAGCTCCGGTTGAGGAGCACTCCCAGGCTGCGGACCTAATTTCCTAGGATTTCCTAATTTCCTAGGATTACTCACACCATTAGCCCACAGCTGGGGTGAAACAACTACGTGCTGAGTCTAGCACTACCTAGGTATACTTGTCCCAAGAGATGTTTGACAAAAGATTAAGTTAAATTTGAGTAAGCTGATTAATGAGGTCTCAAGGCACATCAACAGATGGGCGTCTATAAAGTTAAGTCTATGGAGTTGGATGAACACCTGCAAAATGAATGTAATACCTCATATTGTTTATGTGGTATTCCTTTATGTCTGACAAGTATTTCTTGAAGCTTAATGTTTTCTTTTGTAAATTGAAATGGGATTCCATTCACTGCAAATATCCTTGAAAAGGGTGCAAATTTCAGTCAGAGTGAACTCCTTTCTATTTCCTTATACCATTAGGCCTATTCATTGATGTGCAATAGATTTTGGTATTTTCTGCTTAGATGAGATTCCTTTCTCTGATCAGTTCCAGAATTTTCATTTTTGGATTCTCTTCTCCAGTGGGTTTCACTGGGCTCTCATCATACCAAAACAGAGAATGTGCCCTCTCTAGTTGTGGGACTAGAGTTGTGGCATCTATTTTCACATCAATTGTGTTTGACATCTTTTCATACACAAAATTGATTTTATGGGGAAACTGAGGTTTTAAAATTGGCAGGAAAAGTTTGTTTTGGCAGATTAGGAAGGAAAAAACTTTTTTTTTTTACTTTGGTTCAGTTTCTTGGTCCTGGAGACAATTTGTGCCATTTCTGCTTGTGCGCTAAACAGAAGTTGCCAGCTACAGCAGCATGGCAATGTATACAGTGGAAACATTTGTTAGAATTCAGGTTTGGTCCTTCTGCTTTTACAGCTTCAGAGCTTCCTGTGTTACTAAAAGTATTAATTGAGCCCAAACAGTTTCATAGTCTGAAATTCATGTATATAAATATGTATTATTGGTGAATAAATATGATGAAAGAACGGCATAATGAATTGACGTACCCTCTTAACCAATCAATGGAATACTTTATTATTATCATATATTTTGCAGGAAATCATGATCTTATGCTATGTTTTAATAAAGCAAAAAAAGAAAAGATCTTTTAAGTATACTGGATGTCACAGTAGGGCTTAAGGACTTAATTTGTTAAGGGCTTAATTAAATTGACCAATTTTTGGAGGTATAGTGTGGATAATGCATTTCTTCTTCATATGTTTTGGATATGCCCAACAGCAGCTTTCTTTTGGGAGGAGTTAATTTTGGATAAATCATGTGAGAGTTAAAGAGACACATGTTCTTTTGAATTACCCACCCATCTCTTAGAATTTAACAAAAGGTCAATGTAATGGATTTTCCACACCCTTTGAACAGCTAAAAGATTAATATTACAACACTGGTAAGATAAACAGCCACCTGCAGTAACACGAAGGGTAGAAGATTTAATGAAACGTTCAGTTTTTGACCTAACAGGTGACCATTAGGCATAATATACAAATGGATAAAAACATGGGAATTTGGGGTGCCTTTGTTGATGTCTATGCACAAATCTTTCATAATGGTGGTATGCTTTATTATGTACTAACATATAGAGAGATATCCTATACATGTAATTAGTGCTATAGATCTTTCTACATTTTATTCAAAAATTGTAATGTTTCAGTTTTCTTAAGATTGTGGTTTAGCCCTGCCCCACCATTGCACAAAATAAAATTTAAAGAAAAATTTATAAAAATTACACGATTATATATATCTTGTGAACAGGACAGCTAGAGGATATAATCCCCTACATATAAATCAACCAACTTTTAAGATCTTCAGAGGTTACCTTCCTTGTCATTCTACAAATAACTGCATGTCACCACTTAGATTTCAAACTCAGGCCTTCCCAGTTAGCTGTTCCCACCCTCTGGGAAACCTTCCCCATGCAGTTTGGAAAGCAGAAGATGTGCATTTTTAGATGTTTGAAATGAACCACTTGTTCAACCAGCCTTCTCCTGGCTTGTAAGTAATTTCAATTAATGATAGCTGTTCCATTTTACTGCTGTTTGCACTGTTGCTTTTGATGGAACTGTTTAGTATATTAAAATGTGATTAATATTGTTAGTACAGTTGAAACTGTTTTAACAGCATATTTTAAACCATATTTAAACATGAGTAGTTTAGGGATTTTATTTGAGCAAGCTATATACATATTGCCAATAAATTAATTCTGGAATAATAGTGTTCTTTCTATACACTTCTAACAGGCAGCTTGGGACACACTGTGGTTCTTTTAAATGCACTCAAAACTACTACCAATGATTAGGGTTTATTGAGCATCCAACTTCTGTACCGAAGTTACTAATCTAATTTCAGGGCTAGTTACCAGCAAGGTCTTTATAAAGCCAGGGAAAAATCAGACACTTAGAAAATCACATTTCGAAGAACAGCATTTCTGTTCCACTTGTTAGATCTCACAGCTGAAAGCCATGTAGTGCTATACTACAGCCCTTACTGTTTCAGCTTCTACTGGAATTCAGCACACTGGCTTTTGGAAGGAAATTAAATATTACCTTATTAGGCCAAACTAAGTGAGCTTATATTAAGTGAAATGCAGTCAGGAAAGGCACAAAACTTCTTGTGTTTTCAGACAAATACCATGGCCTCTGTATTCGTCTTACTATAAGCTATCTAAAATCTGTGCCAGTTTAACCAGAGGCAGCACTTAAGTTACATTAGAGACCGTCAAGCCGTTCCAAGCAGGGCCTTAAATAACTCTCACTGTCAGACGTGAGTACTTTTCTTCTGCATTCCATCTCATTTTACCTGCTATGTCAAAATAGAAACAGATAAATCTACCAGAAAGCAACCAAGCTTAGTGCCACAAGCAAGTTCTTTTTGTTTCTATCTGCTAATGATTCTTAAAGTTAGAAGGGACTTTAGTAATTTAATATAGATACCCATGGCCGCAATGTTTTCTCCCTGCATAAGAGTAGTTACCCATGGCATTGACTGTTATAGTTTCATTCACTATGATACAGTTTATCTGTTTATTATATAACAAATGGAAGCCAACTTGACTAAGCAGCTATGAATAGCAGCAAATTCTTTTTCCTTTGCTGAGTAAATAGCCTTTCCTTAGGCAGTGTTCTCATCTACTTGGATCATTCTTTCTCCCTGCACCCCATCTTTCCGATATGAGTCATGCAGAAGCTCTTGCTAGAAAACTTGCACAACGGCCAGTGTGGTGTAATGCTCAGAGGGCTGGACAGGTTTCTGCTCCCCATTTGGCCATCAAGCTCACCAGGTGACTTGGGTTAGTCCCTTCCTCACAGGGCTGTTCCTGAATGTATAAACTGGGAAGAAGGAAGATCATGAAAACTGCCTTAGGTTATTTGTAAGAAAAAAAGGCAGCATATAGATCTAGTAATAAAAAATAACTATGGCAGGCAAATGTGTGTTCCAAGTAGTGGTGTTTAGCTTTTCTGGCAATTAAAATATGCTGTACAGGAGGAATAAGCTCAACAGTGTTGCATGAATTGGTTATGCAAATGATGCCTTGAACCAAGAGCCTGTGGCCATTTCCTGCAGTGTTCATTCCTTCTGCATTAGATATATTTACAGCCCAGTTGGACTGTGATTTTCCCTTGGGCTGCAGGTTAGCATATACTAGTGTATTCTCACCTAACAGAAGCAACTTCAGATTAAGTTGGAGACCATTTAAGGCTTCCCTTACCTTAAAGCAGCCTTCTCTAGCCTGTTGCCCACCAAATATTTTGGACTACAACTCCCAGGTTCTGGATCATCAGCCATACAGGCTGATGCTAATGAGGGCTGAAGACCAAAACATCTTCAGGGCATCAGGTCATGAGTAAGTCACCTTAGAACTACTTCAAGTATTCTGTGACCAGATCCCTGAATGACTGGAGTGCTTGAATATGTGCCACATATTTCCTGCAATAAGTGGACTATCCAGGACACAACAATACTTCCAGCTGCCAGTGCAGCAGCTTTAGACTAAAAAATCCTGCCTGACTTGGTCTTTACAAACTGGAGTGCATCTTGTGTTGCATGGTAATCCAAAATTCCTGAGCAGTATATTCCTTTGTCTTTACTGCATCCTCTCAGGTGATATGATGTGACATTCCCACAGCAGATTAACAAGATAATGAATTTCCCTTTCACTAAAGAAAGCAAGCGAATCTTCTGGAAGAATGTTAGACTTCCTCTTAAGCTAAAGCATCCCAATAGCATCTATGGTTTAAATGGAAATTTGCTTGCCCCTTTAATACTTTTCTTGGAACTCAATGGGATGGGCTAACATACACCTGCCCAATAAGATCAGAATAACTAGAAAATACAATAGCATTAGCTTTAGAGAAAAAAGAACATACTGTACTAAAAAAGCCACTATCCATTATATAAAAAAATCTTGGCCAGTTAAAAGATAAAGCCCTAAGAAGCTCTAATAAATTCTCCTCTCCTAGTTATTTCAAATACGGATGGCTAATTCACCTTCCTACTCCCCTTCAGCCAATTTAAGGATATCTCATTAATATTTCATATATTTAAGTTCACTGAAATAAATCCCCAATCTATAGAGTGCTTCCACAAGCACAGCATCCTATAAGCATTAAATGTTTCCTGCATATTGTTTTAAAATTACACAATGCAACTTCCAATTTGTACAGGAGCTGTTCCCACCATTCCTCAGAATATAAATGCATTTAACACATACCATCGAAGCTGCCTTTCTCTATGGCAAGCTGCAACAGTTGATTGAATGTTTCAATGGAAGGGCGATAGACAAAAACTCCTGAATTGAAACAGTCAGGCCAACCTGGATCTGGTGCTGCGGAAAGTTCTTCTCTTTCAAAAAGCTCATCAATATTTGACAAAACCTGGTTAAGTTGGAAAATAGTTTAATACAGCATTATAGGCTCCTTTTTCCAGAATAATGAACATTTTAAGACTTTCTATCTAGGCACAGATACGTATTTTTCTGGACTAAAACTGAAGGTACTTTTCACTTTACACAATCATTTCACAGAACATGCTCCTTACAAGTGCAGCTCAGTGAATACTTTATTTTATTAAGTTAGTTCATTTCTATACTGCCCCACAGCCCAAGCTATCTGGATGATCTACGCAGTCCCTAAAAACAGGTGAAAAAAGTCCAATTCTTAAATATGGCCTTGAAGAATCCTGCCCATATCTTTAGGGCCATGCTGCCTGAACAATGGAGACACTTCTAAGATCCCAGCCAGTCAGCCCTACAGCCCTAGCTCCCTCGATGATGCCACTGCACATATACTGCAAGAAGGAATAGATCTTATTAGGTGGTGGTTTAGTTTAAGGCACACGTTGTGCTTGTAAAACTGTAATGCATCCTGCCACACAAGGTTGGCATCATGCATGACAAACGTCTTCTACCAACTCTTATTATGCACATAGCCTGAGTTGCCTAACTCATACCTAAAATGGATCCAGCTCAAAAATACCTTCTAAAACAGTAAATCAGACATACCATTGTGTCTGCATCCATGAACACACACTTTGAAAACTGTGTTAGTCCCCAACAATGGAGTTTTGTCAGTGTAACACCAAGCTCAGGCCTCTTCAGTAGTGCGAGATGGGCTGAATCTCCACTGTCCAAGACATCCACCAACTTCACTTCATCGAAAACTTTTTCCAATACTTGCCTATCAGAGGAATGGTCATATGTTACAGCAGACGTCAATGCCATGAGCTTGCTTTCAACCAAGTTACCTTCACACCTCTCTGAACTGTATCAAAGTGAGTCCTCCACCAAGCTTCTGCCAGAGCAACCCTTGCAGGAATTTGCTTGAAATGTGTGCTACAGCAGTCATCTATCCCTGCGGTACATTTCTAACTTAAGAGCACAGGAATGTACACTTCAGATAATACTCTTGAAAGGTGGTGGATTAGGCTGTTGGAGCATGCATAGGACCTGCATACACCTACACAGACATATGGATCAGAAAGAGCTAGTAACACTCCTGATAAGTCAGCTGGCTATTTTAAGCTGCAACGGTCAAGGAAGAAGGCGCTTTCACAGCCTGTATAATAACTCCTGGGCAGCTGCTGAGATGTGCCTTGGATAGCCAGTTGGTAACTGAAACACACTTCATGGCAGCCCTGTTAGAACCCGATTACATTTAAAAATGAAGCTGATGCAACATTGTTTCTCCACTGTTTTTGGAAAGATATTTTAAATGCAAGCACTGACCTTGCTTGAAACTGCTTGGAATTCCTGTATTTCCTCCTTTCTGTTTTGTTTAGAATTATATGCCATTTTGGCAAGGAGTTCGCACAATTTAAAGATGGCCATTATATGAAATCCTCATTTATGGTACAATGAGGCAGAATATAGTATCCCATAATGAATAAAAGGGGCAATTCCATGCAATAAACTACTAAATTACAATCCACATAAATAAGGGTTCCTTAAAAAGAACTGGATGCACAGGGAGTATAGAAGAAACAATGTTTTTAATAAGAACAAAAGAATGATTCCTCTTAATGCAACATTTGAGAGATTTTTTTTAAAGGGATGTTTATTTTTCTATACTGCAGAGTCTGCTTTGGATAAGAAAGGGAACTTCTTTTCCAAATAAAATAAAAATAAAAATTGGTGACTAGCATTTATCTCTATAGCATCATGCACTGTTTTTGTAGTGCTTTGTAGTCTGAAAGGCACAGTTCTTGTTACTGCAATTCCTTTTAAAATTCAGAGTACAGAAAGAAAGGGTTGTGGGTGGGTGGGGGGAGGAGAGAACATCGCAGTAGCTGTGTGCTAGAAATGGTCCTCATGTCACCTTCATGTCACAAAAGTGACTGAAGCATTATTCCTGCACTCCCCATAGAAAGTAGGGTCAGAAACCCTGGGTCACACATGAAACACCCACATTGCCCCAAATTCAAGAATCATGTGCTTCTTGAATGACAAAGGGCTACAGTGTGGGACCTTATTATATAACAGGACTTCGCTGTTGACTCTGCCAATGAGCCATGCTGTAAACGTAACATGAAAGCCCCCTCCGTTCAAGTGCCTCCACTAAGGAAATACTTGCCAAGGAAGGGTACATGTGGAATATCACTTCTTGAAAGCCCTAGTTCAGTTCTTGGCTTTGTGGCCTCTGCTGGAATGGAGCACTACAACCACTAATTGGGGGGTGAGGGGGGAGTAGGAAGGACACCAATGCTATAAAAACTCCACTTAAGTAAATCAGGCTCAATTTAAATCAAAACACATTATTCAGAAAGAGCAGACTTCTTACATGTCATCCCATGTACAGGACATCCAGTATGCCGCTGTGACATGCAGTGTTGCCGTTGTGACATGCAATGGGATCTGGACCAGGCTGAAGATCCCATCTATGCAAATACAGCACACAGAGAAAAAGCAATCCAATTGCACCAGCTGCCATGCAGTTAAATGGCATGCCAGGCATGTAAAACTTAAACTCAAGCTGAAGTTTTAGGGGAAAGGCTATTTTTTCCTTTCAACACCATTGATGTTCTTTAAATATATTCTTTCCTTTATTACATAATCAAATAGCAAGAACATGAATTACCTGTCTTATCTTCTATCCTGGACTTAGGGGCATACCTACTTAGGCTTTTGCATTGTAGTAGTTAACATCCAATGTCATTTTGGCTACTTGCAAAGTTTCTTGTGAAACAGAAATCAACACATCTAGTGTGTGTGTGTGAAAGATCAGATGCACATTGCTTATGTCCCACGCCACACTGTCCCAGAAACTGTTTGCATTACAGATGTAGTAAAGATAGTAATGCCAACATCAGACTATGATCCGCTTACCTAGAGTCAACATTTATGCTGTTCTTCCTGAACTACACTGCTCCTTTGTTTCTCTCAATGAGACAGGTCTTGGCACCGATGGGTCTTTATTAGTGCTTTGCAACCCATTTAATAGTCTGGGAGAGATAATCCATGAAGTTGTGCATCAGTGTTTACTTCGGAGCGTTAGCTAAGAAGTAGTAAGTAAATTATCTCAGTGCAAGTTCCATCTTATTCGTTTAAGTAATGAATTCCCACAGGTTTTATTGGGGCATGTGTGTGTCTGTGGCAGCTACCTGGAATCACTGTTACCCTCTTAATAATGAATTTATAAAGCATAGCCTATTATTGAACAGCTATTTCCATCTGTTTAATTAAAAGAAAGATTTCCCCAGAAGTGCTCTTAAGAAGAACTCATCCAGGTCTGTTTCCTTCTGCTAGGCTCAGATTAAATGCACACCTCCACCTTAAGCCACCTGTCTTCACGTAGAGCTAGAATATGCAAGCAGCACACCTTACCGCATTGCATCTGAGACATGGGGAGTGATCAGTGCTGTCAGCCTCTTCGTTGTCCTGTAGTTTCGTAGTGATGAACCCAGTACGAGAGCTCCTTTCACGTAGGAATCATTTGTGGCTAGCGTCACAAAAGACTGGTCTTAAGGAGAGGAGACACAAATCATGTTAGAGGTTTGTAGTGGGGGCATTTGGAAGACAGTAGGCAGTGCCCCACTGTACTCGACAGTCTTGTAACTTGGTTTTACTCTGGGAGCAGTTTCAGCATGGCACGATCTAGGAGACAAAACGGACATTAGGTAGCTGCCTTATAACAAGTCTGAGTACCAGCTAGTGCAGTACGATCAGCACTGATTGGCAGCAGCCATCCGGGATTTCCGACAGGTTCTTTCCAAGCCCTACCTGGAATTGCCATGAAACAAAACTAAACTTTCTCCACACAAAATACATGCTCCAGAACTGAGCTACAGTCCCTTCCTTCACAGTATTCAAAAACTATGTCCAGCAGCTATGCCTTGTCCATTTTTTATAAAAAAAAATCTAGGGCTGGTGCAGGAGACCTGACTTAGATCAGACCCTTGTTTTCATGCCCAATAGAACGTCCACATTCAGTAGCAACAGCATACAATTCTGGATCAGTTTGCAAAGGACCACAGAGGTGGGCAATTGCCTTCATGCCCTGCTTGTGAGTTTCCTGAAAGAATCTGACTGGACAATGTGGGAAGAGGATCTAGGACTAGATGGACCTGTGTCTGTTCCAGCAATGCTATTATGTTGATTTTATTCCACATACATAATGCAAGGTATTTTCATTCCCTCAGTTTATACTAATGTTTACCTTGAACATTTAGGAGTTCACAGAATGTATTCTATACAGTGAACAGACATTAATTCCAGTTTGCCGGGGATAAAATACGTTCTCCTTTACTTCAGTTTTGTTTTTGTAGTGCCCAGATCTTTCACAAACTTTCAGCTAACTGTTCAGCCAAAGTGTCTGTATTCTCTAGTTCATGGACAAGTCACGTAAGAGATGGCAGTACCAAATTCTAGTTATTTATATGTTACTGCATATACCTATGGCAATTTAAGAATGCTGAATAAAAGGTAAAATACATACATGAATAAACTTGTTAGAAACAAGTTCAGCAAAGTCATATCTGTAAAACCATGGCTAGTTAGATTAGGAAGGCTCCCTGGAATAAGTGTTGCCAAGAGGCACGGGAAACAATATAATGTTGGGTCTGCCTGACTCCCAGGGGCAAGGAATCCCAAAGAAATGGAGCTGCTACGCTAAAGGCTCTTCCCTGGATGGACTCCAGCTGGCCATGGGCCCATAGAGAACCACCAGGGCCGAGCCATCCCGTGACCTTAGCTGATGAGGGCAGGCTGATATTTTAAGCAGCTTGATATAGCATGTGCTTTTGTTTTACAATATTCTACTACACCTTACTTATGTTCTAATCTAAAATAGTATTCCTGAACTCTTGCACTAATGCATAGCATCTTTGTAGCTTCATGCCAGTAACAGAGCATTGTTTACCACTGTCTCACTCAAGCAATAGCTGACATTCTACCATTCCTGCAGCTTTAGTTATTCACCCATAACGTTGAATTGCTATTAAAATATGTACAGCGTGCAGCAAAGTTTTATATATTTATAGTTACCTAGTATTTTGCTCCGTAAGGTTTGGAATGTAGACATTGATCTACTGAGTAGGACAAGCTTCAACTTTTAAAAAATTGCTACTAATCATATTATGAAGACACTGCCTTCCCCACTTTTAGTGAATCAACTCAGCTGGTACTGACTGAAGAACAGTAACCCCGAAAGATGGGATTAGAAGAACAAAAGGGTATTCATGCTACAATATTAGTACATGCATAGTAAACCCATTTAAGCAACTGTGCAGTTGTATCTTTATTCTGAAAGTGTAATTAGAGCCAGTCAAGCTTTGTGCCCTTACAAAAAAAAAAGGAACTGTTACTAGGAAATTGCTGTAGCTATTTAGATTGTTCAGATTATACCACACCAGCTAACAAATTTACCCAGTAACTATTTTTTGTTTTTTTTTAAATGTTACTTTTTGCTGAAGTAAATGAAAACAATTTAGCTACCTTTAGTCTTCCCTCATATTTCATTTAGCTTACTATAAACCCATTCTATAAGCTTTGCACAGCCTAATGATCAATAGATTTGAATTTAAAAAATATTAAAACTATTTCTACAGATTTAATCACCAAAATACACCCTTATTTTATAGCTCAGATATGTTTTAATGGGCAAAAATTAAACTGACACCCCTTCTAGATATAGTAATATAGAAATCTGATTGATTGATTAGAACATAGTGTAATTAGATTTTTAAAAAATCCAGTACATTTATGAGTTGTAATATTAAGCCTATACTATTTAAACAGGATCTTGATCACCCTCCATGCTGCATAAACTTTAGCTAAAACAGTTCATGCTCCAAATCACTTATGGCCGATCAAGCTATGATAACCTGATACTGTCTTTGAATCTCTGAATTCCCCAGCCATAGCTATGCTGCTTGGAATCAATATTTCCAAAGGCAGTATAAATTAGAAGTATCATTCCAGCTATAACAGTTTCAGGTAGTTGAATGCTTATTGTTTTGTTAGTTGAGGAATTCTGCAATATGATTTTTCATAAACTATTTTTGATTCCAACATCTGGTTAGAGTATCCTTTCCTTGAAGATTATACAGTGGTGACAGCATGAAGGAGAAACATCTTTCTTTTGCTAGATACTATGTCTGTGCTACATCTTTACCTAGAAGAGCTACGTATCCTGTGTAGTGCAAAGTCTAGAGGCTTCAGGATACCTGTTTGGAAAACAAGCCATGGGTTACCCAGTAAGTAGCAGTGCCATGATGATTATTGTTCGAGTAAAGCAGAAGGCATTCGGATCATGACAGGTCTAGTCTATGGAGGAACTAATATTTAGAATGGTAGTTTGAGGCTGGAGTTCGGACAGGGTAATCCTTTATAGTTGACCCAGGGGACTGTTCATTGCTTCTCTTGGCACTATAATTCTTGTCCTTTGAACTTATATAGTGTTTGAGGAATCAGAAACTCATCAGTGAACTATTTAAAATGGGTCAGCCCTACCTGCTAGTATGGATGAAACTTTGAAGTTATGAAGATGATGTGCAAGTTTGTTGGAGATCAGCTTGGCTGATGAAAGCCAGGTCCTGAAAGACTACATTGTTAGCTAGCATTGTTGTTGCTTGTTCTTCATTCAGGAATGGCAAAGTGCTGTATAGGCTCAAATAACCATAACTACATGGTTCTTCCTTTTCAAAAAAAAAAAAAAAAGTGCTAATCTGAATGCTGATTCCCTACTACTAACCACTAGCCCATCTTCAGCTTTTGGAGAATGGTTAAGAATGTGGCTGTTAAGAAGCATCAGACACACCTGGCTAATGTTCCCAAGCTATGGCTAGTGAAGCTTTGTACATTTGTTGCTTTACCAATTTCTTCCTGGTGAAGACCAGGGGCAATTAATGTATGCTCTCAATCTTTTAAAGAGTTTTCCACAGCCTCAGTTGTTCAGGAGTACCCCTGAGTGGTTCCACTTGTTCCCAAGATGTCATGACCTGCTGCTCTTTAAACCCTGGAGCCTTTTCCACAAAGTGAATCCCATCTCTTTTCCCACATCCCCACTTTCATTCCAAAGAGGCTGTGAAGCAAGATCACAGACACTCCTGAAAGAACAAGTCCTGCAATCTTGATCCTTAGCCAATGTCTTTGGTCACAATGAGGGCCTGGATGAAGGCGAGCCAGCTAAGGTTCAGTCAGGCCTTGTGTCTAGGAGAGTGAACTTTGGTGCATTCATAATGGATAAACTTCAACATCCTCTTGACACCAAGCAGGCAGTTTCAGAAAGCTCTTGAATTAATGTCTGTCCTTGTTATTACAAGTTACCCCAGTGACCAAGACCTTCATTTATGAATTCCAGTGAGCTGAGGACAATGTGAAAAAGGAGGTTCAGCATCAACTCCAAAGGGGCAAAGGTGCTACAGTGTTGCTTCCCCCAAGTTGGAAACTCATGTTTGGTTAAATTAGAAATATTAAGTGCAGTTATGGGGAATTCCACTGGGTGAAAGTTGGTACTCTAAGTTTATTTTATTTATTAAAACATTTCTTGTTATTTACAAGCAACATGTAACTTTTAGCACTTCTGTCTCTGTGGCAGTTTAAAGCAGTCTCAGTGCCTTCCACACTATGTTGTACTTTTTATAAGAATGTTTTCAATTCATTGGGCTTCAGAAACAAATTAATTAAGGATTATTGAAAAGGTGGGTCTAAACACTTAGACTAGACTTAATATGGTGCATTATTTACTATTGTTACACAGAAGCAAATCTAGGAGGCAGTATGCATTGCTCTTGCTGGAATAAAAGACTGGGTGGGGGCAAGAGGTGCCATTTGCTTACTCAAGGCAGCCTGCCCTACTATCAGAAAACATTGCTTTATGGTTGACTTTGGACAGGAGATAGAAATTTAAGGCACAGACATGCACACATTACTTTGCATCACTCTCATATCGTATCCAAACAGACCACACAGGATGCCCAGCCTTGCATAGGACCTTCCTTTAAGTAACTGCACCCTGCTTGCATGCATACAGGGCAAACCAAGCGTTTTCAAGAAGTGCCTAATGTGGAACTTGTTTGCTACCAACATGCTGGGCCACACAAATCCAAGCTCACTGACTTTCCAATGGGGCAGTTAGAAACTCACTTCATTACAGAAGAAGAAGCACATCCAGCATGACCTTGTTTCAGAACAGATTGTATGGGAATAGTAGCCATTCAAAGAGTGGCCTCTAAAAATAAAAAAGTTTGTGACCCTTGATATTTTTGCAGATAACAAAGTAAGATGAGGAGTTTCATCTTCACTTGAATTTTCTAAATAGTCAAATGCCTAGTAGGAGGTAATGAAAATAAAACAGGGCTGGGGAGAGATATACCAGGTGTATGGCCAGAGGCAGGCTGCCCCTTTAACAAATACTTTATATATTGTAGTTTTGTCTTTAAAAGACCTGAAAACAAAACTGCTCTCCCTATTTTTTCTGCTGCCGCCTCTCCCCCATTTTTTAGGCTGGCTCCAGGCCTG